CTTGCCGTAATTGCTCTTTTCTGTATTTTTCGTGTTCGGGCACTATGAGGGCATTGTAAAGCTCCTGATTCAGCTCATCGCTCTTCGTCTTGACCAAAAGTGGCATAGGTGGGCGGTTCAGCCTCTCGTCGGCAGGCGTCCAGATGATGAGGGGGTGATCGCTCGCTGTAGGCGCCTTCCGTCGCATCAGAAAGTTTGTGATGCTGGACCTCCAACTTCTGCTTGACAGAACCAGCAGCGTCGGTCGGGCGTGTGAATAACTCCAATTATACTCAGCCAACACTGCCTTGATGGTAGAGTGGCTGAGGCCTTTGAATTCCTGGTATAGCGCCTCTTTTGCAGCCTCCTTGTACCGCCGCGACCGGAACTTATCCTCCAAGGCAAGCGGCGCACCTCTTGTGTCCCTCGGCGCGTCTTCCTTTCGGTACTTGTACTTGTGCGCTGTGTCGCGTTGCTCCTCCTGCTCTGCCGGCATCCTGTACCTTCCCCGTACATATTTGTTTCCATGCTTCAACAGCGTCTCCGTCACCACTTGTAGCCTGCTCTCCTCGCTAAATGTCGACAGCATCTCTCTAAAGACTTCGGGTTGTATGTTGGGGAAAATGTCCGTCAATGCCTGGAGTGCGGCGTTGAGATCGCGCAGATCGGGCTCTTCGACGCCATAGTTACTAATCGAAGCTAGCGAGCTCGTTGCTTCCTGAGTATTCGTCGATGGACTTCTGATTTTGGGCGGTCGGACGAGGGAAGAAAAGACGGTAGACATGACGTCTGCAGGCGTTCAACGCCACGGCCACGAGGTTTGCCGGGCATGCGATGTTGCGGGTCTGGAGGTGGACAAGTGAAGGCAGGATCAAATATACATTAAAAATAAATAGCGAAGGTGCGAAGCAGAAGAGTATGGCGCCAAGTCGTAAGCATGGTGGTGTGCTCGTTGACGGCAAAGCGTCTACACAACTACAGTAGTTAGTTATGCTTCCGAGCCATGACGCGTAATGCCGCCAATCATCGTCGCATGGGCACGTGAGCCACCAACCTTTGCAACCACCAATTCACAAAACTCACCATCTCAGCCTACTCACTACGAATGGCCGGGATGCCTTGTGCTGCCACCCGATTAGTCTGACGACCCGGCAATGCTGCTATCACCATTACCACAGCCATCTCACCATCAAACCAAGCGCATCACGCCTTCAACTTATTCCGGGTACAAGCATCCAATGTACGCCAAACATCTACCATGGTTACACGGGCTATGGACATTGTTTCAAACGGGCTTGCCTAAACAACTTCAACAATAATGACAATCTTCTTCGTCATCGTAGGGTTATCAGGTATCATATTGGACCGTTGGATTGTGTTGTTCAAACCGAGACCGAGACTTATCTTGACGAGAAAGACGCCATTGAAAGAACAGCTGGCGACATCGCAGACGGTATTGCATCGTCAAAAAGCAACCATGACGTAAAAGTCGTGAAAGAAGGCTAACAGGTCCGCGCCTCTCAGCTTTTCGAAATGAAATAGGGGCAAGGCCTTAAGCCCGTTCACCAATTACCGCAACTGTAGTTCGGTCGAATACCCTACTTTATGAAAGGTTTCAATGTCGGGGGCAAATTGAAGAACATAACTACTCATCAGGAATCGTTGTGCAAGATGGTGAGCTTACTTGAGGCGCTGAAGATAGCGGTCAAAAGCACGGAGGGAGGGGCCGCCCTGCTCTTGTGTGATCAACAAGGCGGGCCGCTGATTATATACCAGGCTAAGAAGGATGGGGATTTCCTGCCGAAAGAGAACATTGAAAGGCACTGGAACTAAGCTGAACCAAACGTATGCTATTCAAGCCATGTTCTGGATGCAAAGAGATGACTTGTGATATATAACCCATACAAACAGCACATATTTCAAAATACACTCATATATAGAACCAGAACATCGCAAACACTACAACAAACATCAGCTAAGAAAAGAGAACCACCAAACCACCTACTTCGGCACATCCGTAGGCGCCTCCCTCATCCACTCCCAAGTAACCATTACCCTCCCCCTCTCCCTCGTCCCCCAATACTTATCAAAAACATCCGGCTGAATATCAATATCACTAACATTACACCCCTCGCACCGATCCCTGACCACAAACTCCATCTCTACCGCCTTCCCCCCACCCGAATCCCCAATCCACGCCTTAATGCCCTGATTACACAACGCACTACCCGCACTATCAATCCCGTTAGATCCTACCCTACCCGCGGTGAACCAATCTTTTGCAAAACTCGATTCTCCAATTTCGCGACCCATGTCGAATAACTCCCAACTTATAGCGACTGCTAGTTCATTGGAGGCCATGTTGGGTTCGGCACATGCGCCGAGGCCGGGGTTGAAGTAGGTTAGTTGACCGATTTGGGGAGAGGCGGGTACAATGTTGGGGGCGACATAGCCGGTTGGGATGGGGAAGGCGTAGGATACGGGCCAGTTGCGGGATAGTTGGGGTCCGGTGTAGATGGGGGGAGTTGCAACAGCATTGGCTGGTATAGTACGTAGACTGGTGTAGTTGGCGGCTTGAGTGCTGTAGGTTAGCATTGGGATGGTCCAGTCTGGCGGTGGGGTAAATTTGTGGTGGGATGGTAGTTTGCCGATGCAAGATGATGGTAGGGGTGTTTCTGGTACTGCAGGGCATGCTGCAACGGTCGTTTTGGGGGGTGTTGAGAGTGTTGGGGAAAGGGCGTTTGTCGATGTTGGAAGCGGAGGGGTAGAGGCAAAAGCAGTGGAGGGGGCAGTAGAATCGGGAGTCGGACTCGTGATACCATGCTGTTGAAGAGTAATCGACAGCGACTCGGAATTTGTCGCGTTGCTGAGCGCAGACGAGCCTGTGACAGAGTCCGCTGCTGGTGATCCGCTCGAGTTCGCAGTCAAATTGCTCGCCCATCCAGCCATTGCACTTCCCATACCAGATGCCTCACTTCCACACGTATCCAGATTGCCAGCGTAAACATCCTTAACCCCACAAAGCTTCTCCAAATCCTGCACCAACTTCTCCCCCATCTTCTGCAAATTACACACTTCCCCCACCTTAGTCTCCAAACTCTCCCACTCACTCTTCGTGTCGCACTTCCCGCCCTGAGTCACAGGCGGGAAACTACCATCCAGCGTACTGCAAATTATCTCATCTAATGACTTGCCCATCTGCAGGTCTTTCTGTGCCGGCATCGGCGTAAGAGTACTATCCTGGTACGTCTTGACGTCAAAACACATCTGCACGGCCTGAAGACGCAGCTGCGAGAAAGCTTCCCAGAAAGTGAGTTTTCTTCCTTCAGAATCAGGCAAAAGAGACGCAGATGGGCTTTGACGGCGTACATGGGGATATGTGGGTGCAGAAGTCTGTTTCGGAATGTATGGAAGTGAAGTGGATGATGTTTGTGTGGCTTGGTGACGCCGATGAGGGTTAGTGGGCATAAAGGTGACTCGTCTCCATGGTGCTGCGTGGCGTGGGGCTGCGGCATTGCTGCTTGGTGTGTGGAGAGGCGTTCTTGTGGCACTTCCCTTACTTTTGAAGTCAATCATTGTAGATAGGTGTACCTTTGTCGTCAAATCAAGTGCTTTCGACAGTAGATCTCCAATGGGTGGAAGGTCAAGCCCTCTACGGGCTGCAGCATTGTCATTTGACGTACTCAGGGGTGTGGTACTAGTCTCTTCTGCTCCGCTCTTTGTCTCATCGTTCCCGGTCACAGTTGGCATTGGCGTGATAGATGGTAGAATATGTCGGTTCCCCTCGCCGATTGGGTTGAAAAGCAAAAATTGTCGCAGACGCTGGAATTTATCCCATGACGGGACACCCAGTCGCGCTCCCGCAGCGCTTGACGATGCGGATAAGACAGAGGCGTCCGTGTTTCGAGATTGAGCTGTTTGGGTCGTGTTCGGAGGACGTGTTGGTGTTGGGTCCGGGGTCTGCGATAGCGTGGCATATGTCGATTCCAGAGGATTAAACCCAACTTGCGCGGCTGATTGTGAAACTCCTGTATCTGAGGTGCTTTGATCCCTGGGCGATGTTGGAGACTCATTCGTAGGACTCACGTTGTTTGACTCTTGTTCTGACTCATCACTCGCTGGCTGCACGGACGGGACAAAGCTTTCCACGCCCGCTGCTGCCAATCCGGAGGTGTGTAATGTACTCGTTATCGTTGTCGTCAGCGTAGTTGTTATTGTAGTGGTGGTATATTCGTCTTCGCGTTTTCCATCTTCATTAGCATATGCGATGCTAGGCTCTCCTGCTACGATCGCTTCCTGTGCTCTATTGAGTATCAAATTTACGTCAAAGGCCTCGTCACGTAAACCGATATATCCGCTTCGTCCAACAAGGCTGTCCTCTATAGTCATCGTGGATACGAGTTGAGGGGCAGATGCAGAGCCGGCAGCGGATGAGGGTGCTGATTTGATCGAACTTGGCGAGATTTTTGGAGAATGCGTTGAAGACTGCGAAGCCGTTGTGCTGGAGTCGAGGACAGAAGTCGCAGACACAGTACTCGCTACGTCGGTCTCTGGACTGGGAGCCATGACAGTGGCTACTCCCGGTGTCGTTGCTATCATTGATGATGTGATCGGTGCTATGCTCGTTTTTGAGCTCGGATTCGACGCTCTGAATGGGTCTTTTGGGCAGTGACTTCCAAAGGCACCCGAAATACAGAGACTAAGGAGGATGACAACAACAATAAGCAAGACCACAAATAAAATGCCTACCCCAAAACATAACCCTTTCTTCTTGACAGTTCTTTCAGGCATCTCGGATGGTTGTTCGTTTATGTCAATATTTTGAAATGCCTCGCTCCCGACGTGTTGGAACGTGGGCTCCAGAGCCGGTTGTTTGTCTAGCAGCTCCTTTGCCTTCTTCGATCCTGGTAAATCGAGACTTTCCTCGCGATCAGACCTGTCGAATGTCGGGACCTCCCTCGATTGTCGTCGTACGTGCTCCTCTACCACAGTACTGTGTGAGTACCACGAGGCTTCTTGTTCGTCGGGGCCTTTGCCCGCTTGAGCCTGTGCTTGTGGTCGTGATGGGAGTGGTTTATCGTGATCAGACCTAGAGCTGTATTTTGGTTCAGCTAAGAACGGCACGTCGCTGTAGCAGCTGGTTCTATCAAGATCAAACGCCGGGATAGTTGGTGGTTTGAGGGTTTGCGCAGTAGAGGTTTCAGAACTGTAATGTGGCAAAGGGTGTTGATCCTCTGTGGGTACGAAGTGCTTTATTGTCGATTTCCTGACACCCGTATTGGATTTGGAGGACAAATTACGATCTAAGCGACCCAAAGGCATGGATTTGTAGGTAAAATGAGGTAACTCGATATTGTTGGTGTCTTCGTAAAAGCATCCACACGGCAGTGGATACACAGTTGATACGAAGGAATACTTGTACGAAGCAAAAGAGTAGAAGAAGAAGGTGTAGTTATAAGTCAGATCTAGAAACCCAGAATATATCCTTGTATAAGCGGAGAATATTATCTTGGCCAAAGACGAGTCACAGTTGACTCAAGTCTGAGTCACAAACTGTGTACTATGAGAAAATGACACCCTTTACAAGAAGTACCAATCTACCTTGACCCTGCCAAGGTCGTGTGCAGCCATCTTGTCGAAGTATACGGGTGAGACGTCGATATCATTGTAAGCGCAACCAACGCCTGGGAGTGAGTTAGTATCAGTGTTGTGAAGGTCGGCAAGATAAAAGTCTTCGTCTGGAATACTTACATCTGTCGGCAATAGTAAGTTCGATGCTGGCCTCCTTGCCAGTCCTCTCGTCAACGCGGTGAGCTCGGATCTTGCGGCCACATAGCTTGTTATGGTTTGGGTTCCCGTCTACCATGTTCTCATCGACTATTGTTGGAGTACAAGTTAGCTTATCTCGTAAACGATATAGACAAGGGGGGTTACTTACACCTGCCGTGGGAAATAGAGACAATGGGGTCGTTGTCGTTGTTTGTGATGCCACAGGCACCAAGTCCAGTACTGTAGTAGGTAAAATCGCCGGTCACGACGGTTGCGTTATCGGGCTTAGCCGGTATGTTGTTGCTAAGCACACGTGATTAGTGTATGTCACGGAGGTATTCTGTTCCAAGGGCAACGTACTGGGAGCCGGTCGTGAGGCCTACTGCGAGACCAATGATGAGAGCCAGAAGGGAGAGGAAGGTGACACCGATTATGATAAGTAGTGTACGGCGGTTGATACGATTGTTGAGATATGTTTTTTGTGGCGGTAGACAATTGTTAAAGTGACGGGAAAGAGTAGAAGCAAAGGTACTAGTTTTTATAGCCCCTAAGCACGCCAGAGCACCACTTGCAAACCGCTTCCTCTTACTTGGCTTCTCATCACCCGCTTCATATGCAATTGAGGAGGCAGTGTCGCCGTTCGCCATGCCCATCTCCATCTCTTTCGTTTGCATGTTTGAAGGTGCATCTTGTGTGTGTGGGTATGACTTGCTCTCGCCTTGCTGGTCGCCGGGAGCACCCAATTGACTAGAATTGGGGGTGTCTTCGCTCGCCGCATCTATTGCAATCTCTTTCGTTTGCGGACTCGAAGGCGCATCTTGTCCGTCTTCTGTGATGACCAATCTTATAGTCGATGTCCTGCCGCTGTCCAGATGCGCGCTCACGGGTCTCGGTACCGGCTTCCTGGGTACCGGAGTGGTACTCATGTCTTATCTATCACCAATAAAACGCGTAACGGGCGCGTCGAAAATCACAATGGGTATCTTGAAGCAAACGGGGTATAATGCATTAAAAAACGAGCGTAGTGTAGAGGGAGCGGACGCCGAGGCAAAGTATGCCTAGCATAAGTGTAAGTGAAAGTTTGGGTCCGGGTGGAGTTGTGGGGAAAGAGTGAAGCTTATGGACGGGAGGGTGAAAGGCTCACCAGGGGTATCCTTGGCGGCTAAGATGTGACGTTCCCAGTTCCGGAGATTTGCGGGTTGCTGCCGAAGCTCGCCCGACGCAGCCAACGGTGGTTTTAAGGTACGTCGTTGACATGCCACTTCACCCATATAGATATCGCGCTATCGACAAGAAGTCCCTGATAGCTAGTCCTGACGTCTTCTGGTCGCATAACCACCATACCGACTGTCTTCCCATAATCTACAACTGTCGTAACCAAACTCTCTTTACGCCGCACCTCGGCACACGTCAACTCAACCGCAAGCAACTCGACGCCACTCGACTCATATCGCGCGAACAGTCATGGCGGAGCAAAGCGTCAACGTGCCCCAAGTGCTCATTTTCGTCGTCGTCATCTTCCTCGTTTCACGGTGGTACCTCAGCAAGTCGGGAGATGCAGCGCCAGGCACGCGGGCAGCGGCGAACCGCGCTACAGTCCGTGTGAATCCCGCGCACATTGACCAGGTAGCCGAGATGCTGCCACAGCTGAGTAGGAGAGATATCGCATGGGATTTACAGAGGAACGGGGGAAATGTGGCTGCAACAACGGAGCGGGCGTTGAGTGGGAGGGGTTTGGACACTGTAAGACTCACCACCAGGCATTTCTCGATACATGTGACAGTTTGCTAATTCTCGAACAGGCACCACCGTCTTTCCAAATAGCGGCCCCTGCCGCACCACGAGCCCCTCCCGCATCTGCACGAGCCGCTGCACCAGCGAAACCCGCTCACCCTGACCTGATAACCCGCTACAACCTATCCTCTAAGATCAGCCAGACAGAGCAGTCAGCCCAGGAAGGCCAACCGAAGACCAAGTCATGGAGCGCCGATAAGAATGAGAGGCAAGCAAACTTGCAAAGACGACGAGAAGAGATGATTCTGGCAGCACGGAGAAAGCTCGAAGAGCAGGAGAAGGCGAAAGCCTCCAGCCCCACTGCATAAAGAACCCTTTTATATTGTGGCGTCGCCGGGATGGATTATATGGCGACGAGCGAGTGTGTTGGTAGTTATACCCTGAATCGTCATGGAAATGCAAGCGTACCCCAAACTTCACCAATTTGTCCACCCCAACATTGTAATTCACAACATCTTACTACCAACCCGTTGTACATTCGGTACATCTATCTCCTGCCTGTAATCGTTTCCGGCGCCGATGAGCCCTCGCGTCGCAGCCTATAATTAGCCCCCCACCCCGGGGCGCAAATACATTGGGGCCAAGACTATACCTCATCCGCCCCAATCAGGCCATCACCCATGTCGATACCGGCAATCTCAAATAAATCCTTTGGGAACCGATGTCTACTAGATCCCGGGATCGTGGCTCCAACCTCCCATTCTTTTACGCCACTTCTTCTCCATGTCCACAGCAGAAGTCTTCAGTGCTCTGGGCACTCCTGCACGAACAGCTGCACGCGTGCTCCTCGCACCACGCTATATTTTCAACGGCTTTGCGCCGCTCCGGGTCTGGAACGCGAATGCGTATGCACAAGCGCGGTACGGGCCGCTGTACAAGTACCGCTTATGGCTGCTGTTTGACTGTCGGGATCTCGAGGTTTTGGAGAAGATACTGAATGAAGGGAGTGATGACGATGTATTGAGGATGCGAGAGGCGAAGATGGAACAGTTTAAACTCGTGGCTTTGGTCGTATGTACACCTACACCCCTGCGCACAGAACAGAAAAAAGGATCATTATGCTGGAATAAACGTGGGAAGAGACAACATGCTGATACAGAACCCAGGGCGCCCTTCTCGCAACTTTGGCTTTACAAGCACTCTCCATGCCGCTCCTGGCGGAAACTACCTTCATTGTGAGATCGAGCTTTACCGTTAGCACCACGCTTTCCCTGCTCGCCACCTTTTTTACTTGCATTCAGCAGCGCGAGCTGGGCGTTGTGTACAAAGCCTCGTCCTTTCGTATGTGGCTTTCAAACGGCATCCGGTATACCAATTCTTCGAACCAGGTCGTCCTCCAGTCCTCTTTGGCTAGCCTAACTTTGATGGAAGCACCTTACGAGTTGATCAGTTTGGCTGTTGCCAATTTCGTTGCAGGCATGGCGGCTTACATGTGGGATATTTACAAGCAACGGTTGGAACTACAGAAAGAGAGTGGATGGGCGCAGAGTGTGGCGATTGTTGTGTACTTTGCGTTTGGGACGGGGTTTGCGTTTGCCATGTTTCCGGTTTTGTTGGGGAGTAAGGATCGGGAGGTAAAGGCTGCGGCGGCGGAGGAGCGTGCAGATGTGGAGATGGGTGTTATAGCAGCGAGGAAGGAGATGCGGTGGGAGGCCAAAGCAGAATCGGAATCCCGCGGCAGACGGTCTTGTTAACGCTGTAGGGAGGTGGGATCATTCGGAAGCAGGATATAGTACTATCGTAGCGTATTTACTGGCTATAGAACAATAGCAGATGTATATTCAACAGGGAGAAGAGACGGTATCCGAAGTACAAGCGGTATGCTTGCGATGCCCGAAAAGAAGTCCATATGCCAAGTGTTCGTATGGCATGAGCAGTCCCTCTTGGAATGGAAATTCAGGGCCTCTTAGAAGCAGGCAAGCAGCCAAGGATTGGTACATGTACGAGCTCTTCTGGAGCTTTGGTAGTACTGCGAGCACTGCCTTGGTGATTTGCCCTTCGTTTCCCTTCCAGTTCAGCAAAAGCAGGACCACGTCGGCCCCCACCCCGGGATTCAGTACCGCTTCTTGTATCATCTCCGTAGTGAAACAGATCTGGTCTCCTTTCATGGAAAGAAGTACCTGCATGGTTTGGTATCCATACCATATATTTTTAATCACAGTACGAAGAATAGCTTCTGTCACCTCAATACTTTCGTAGTAGTTTTCGAGGAGGTGCTCCATGATTGTGTCCGCGTCCCCGTGTTCTGCAACGGCTATGAGGACTTTTACAAGCTCATCTCCTCTTTCGGTGATGATAAGGGTGAGGACACTCTCTTTGGAACTTCGCCTTCCGTCTCTTATATTAGCAGAGAACAATTCTTCTTGAACCGTAGGTGCATCTCTGAGGTAAGTGTGAGAAATATCGATAGAGATCTCGTCAACATCAGGCCAGTGACGCTTCTTCTTCCGTAAGGTCTCATACTCAACCACTGCTGCCACGAGTATTCTTTCTGTGATGACAATCTCTTCTCCTCTCCTTGTGAACAATAGCTCCATGATATCCCGCCCCTCGCTCTTATTATGCGCTACTGTCTCCAAGATATCTTCTGTAATTTTGGCTTGTTGCCCATAATGATCGAGAAGAAGTGCCATGGATTCTGATTCATTCTCTGAGTCTTGTCGCCTCACAAAGCACTGGTTCAGAATTTCCCACTTTGCTCCCACTTTGAGCTAGCAGTAACTTTAGCGACATCAGTCCGTATTTCTCATTTCGTAATGATGCAGCGAGGATCGATTGCGAGATTTCCACTCTGCCACCCGCATAATCGAGTAGTAATGTGGTTATCTCAAGAGCGTCCTCTCCATGCTGTACTGCTGCAATAAGGATTGCACTCGTAATTTCAAAATTACTCCCTGAACGATCAAGAAGCAATTTGATTACGTCTAGCCGATAAAACCGGCGCTGTAGTGATGCCACCAGGACATATTCTGTGATTTCCACTTTATCCTCCATATGATCGAGAAGTAGTGCCAAGACGGTTGGACGAAGGAATCGAACAGATGTAATTAGCATTTCATCCGTGATTGATATGATAACCTTTTCTTGATTCAAAAGAATCTTCAGTGCTGATTTACCTCCATCATATGCCGATTTTACGACGGAGTCCGTGATTTCAATCTTCGTCCATGTGGAAGCAATCATAAGATGAAAAACTTCGTCGTCGTCGCGGTTTTCTACAGCAGCCACGATAATGTCTTCGGACAGTGACATGCTCTCCTCCTTTTCTTGAAGCGCAAAATCCACCACTGCTGGTTCACACCATCTTGCAATGTCGATCATCATTCGCTCAGTAATCTTGATGTCGTCCCGCTTGTGTCGTAGAAGAGTCTCCACAACACTCGAGCTAAACCTATTGGTGATTCGACTGAAATATTCCTTCGTGAAACAGCTTGGAGTTCCGGTATTTGGTGATGATAGTCCTGTAGCGATTGCGGCTAGCAATATCTCTTGAGACTCTGCATGGGCTCCTCTTACCTCTTCTAAGATTAAAGCCACTGCCATCATTCTTGATGGCTTGTCCATAACATCCTAGAATGACTCTTGTGGTTTTGCACCTTCAAACAAGTGTGATGTCCATGCCCAGATAAGTGGAAATTCATGTTCGAAAACTGTCACCACACCCGGGACTGAAAGCCCCGAGAGCGAAACTGAAACAATTGAGAAATAATCCTATCGCCTTCGAATGATCGTAGGACTCGCCACATCTTGCAAGCTACAGATAATGTCACCTTCCAAGACAGGGTTCGCGGTCGGATGGCAGATGAAGGTTTCGCGTGTGAGATCTGCGTCAACACTAAAAAAACCAGTCGCTCCTCTGCTGAAATTTATATCCATAACCTGCTGGCCGTCAGGTTTCGTTGAAACGCCGTTCACGCTACCGATAACGCAGCCTCTTGCATAGATGCGCACTAAGTCGCCATTCCCTTTACTCTTGACAGACGTCTCTTTTCCAAGCAAGAACCGGAGGATTCGGCGTGATAGGTTTCTCCATGAAATTTTGTAATTCACAGGTAACAGCCCGTTTCGTCAATATCTTCAGAACTAATACCGAGTAAGGCGTAGACTCTGTCGTGATTCCTGGTAGCTTCATGCATATGATAGCGGTTTATCAGCTCGTTGAGAGAACATATGTTTAAGGATGTTCGCCCGGGGTTATGGTGTTCAAACTTCGGCCGAAAGATCGCACCTCTGATTAATGATGTGACTGCGTAAGCTTGATTTCACAGAACCACATCAGTACCATGTATGAAAGCATCAAGGCCTAGATAGAAGGCGTGGCCATCCATTTCGATATTACCACACGTCACCAACATACGTCGGGCGGCTGCTGCTTCTTGTAGTACCTGGTTTGCTTGTTCAGCATCTATCTGGGTTTCATGAAACAACTGCCATCTTACCCACACCCGTCGAAACCACGATCGCTGGAGCAGAAAATTCACAGCAATTTTTTGTTTCTCGCTAAAAGTCGATTGGACCAGGAGCTGAGGCCCGGGACCTAAACACAAGCCCCCAGATTCTTTATTAATCGCGTGTGAAGACGCTGACGCTGAGAGGCAAAGTGTAGGCGACTCCCGTACCTCGGAAGCCTCTGTTGTCTCGACCTCCTTGTGTTCAGTCGAGGATATCGGGCGCAGATTTGCATCTCTGATTGCTTCGAACGCCGTGCTACTGTCATCTGCCTCCTCACCCAGCCAAACAACGACTTCTTTTGCGACAGCATAGATTTGCGCCATCAACTGGATCTGTCCAGATTTCTCATCGTCATCTTTCTGATTGATGCAGAGAGCGTCGATCCAAAGAATCCGTGCGAAAGAAGTATCGCGTAGATGTAGCAAGGCTGCGTGGAGGTTCGGCGTAACTTCAGAGCGGCAATCGCCTATGTAGATGGAATCCGGATTCTCAGAGAGACCCCAGACGTAAGACAATGCCTCATATGTGTGAGTGGGTCGCGTGGCTTGCCGCGTTGCCCGGGCCAGGTAAGAGACGGAACAGGCGAATAGCGTTGATGGGATCCGACAGCGGCGAATAGCTATAGGTAGACATATTTACCTGAATGAATTATCTGCTGGTCTGGTTGGACGTTGTTGACTGAGTTCGACAGGCAGCAGCGATGTGATGGGACCGCAGCCACATTCGCTTAAGCGGCTAAACATGATACTGAATGCAACTAGGCCCCAGACCCACGTTATCAACAGGCTGATATGAATCCTACCTGGGTGGGAGGCGTGCAGTAAGGCTGAGGTGCGCTTAAGGTTTTGAATGCGCTAAAGCCGATGCTACGTCATCGTAGCTTCCACTCTTCGTGGTCCAATCGCGAAGTTGGCAAGCGCAGCTACCAAACATGGAGAGAACAACGATGGATATCACCTACTACAGACTACAGACGATGCTTGGGATAAGAAGATCATGATGCAATTTCTCAGAGGTATTTACAAGTTACGATTGTGCAAGCTAGCTAGACGTCAAGCGCTCGCTTTTGGAAGGAAAGTACTAACAAGAATAAAATATCTACAATGCAGCATCAAAGCGTTCTGCAAGTTTTCCAGGATTTCGCCAGCCTGGAAAAGGTGAAAAGAGCCCGAGCAAGCTCAAGGTTTTGTTGCATAGAGCAATTTGTACCAATGATTGTCTATGAGCACTTCGTAACGCTAGGTACGTTGGTGCAGCTGCCATAGGTCTTACCGCCGGTCACGGAGACACCAGACCAAGTCCAGCCAGTGCATGAGGTGCTGCTGCCGCAAGTGACAACGACATCGAACCCGCTGCTGGCGACAGCACCGGTACCAGAGATGTTCTGGAGCGTCAGACCGGTGATGGGGATGCCGGTGCCGGCGGTACCGTGCAGATCGCCACCGTCGTAGTTTTGCTCGATCAGGATGCCGTATCTATATGATGTTAGATTACCTTCAAAAGTGTTAGGAGCAAAAGGTGGCCTACTTGGAGATTTGAGACAAGGTGATGCCTGAGTAAGTCACTTTGTTGATCTTGCCAGTCTGGCCAGAGCGGGCCTTTACGCGGATACCGTTGGTGGACTTTGTGACTTGAGAGTTTGAGAAGGTAACGGTATCGACAACGTTGTCGCTACGGCCACCGACTGAGCCAATGGATAGACCGTGCCCTCCTGAGCAGATGCCGTTCTTGAAGGTGATGTTCTAGTCATGGTATTAGCTGGGAGTACTGTGCGACATGCATGTAATACTCACGGTTCCGGAGTTTATAGCAACGCAGTCATCCTGGTTGAACACCTTCGCACCATCAATGACGATGTTGTTGCTTGACCCGATGTCAAAGCCATCGGTGTTGTGGCCCAAGGCTCCCTTATCACCAGCAGAAGCATCGATGGTCATATCAGTAATAGTGAGACCATCACAGCCGTTGATGCTGACAACTTGTACAGGTGGGTTCTTGATCAAGATGTTGGAGATGGAAGAGCCGGTGAGCGAGTGTGCGGCGAAGAACTTGGGCTTAACTTTTCCATTGTCACCCTTGCCATCCCAGTAGAGAGCACCCTGGCCGTCAAGGGAAGATCCCGCTGCACCCTTGACAACGATTTTGTTGCCTCCGATGGAAAGAAGAGGTCCCTCCCACTCCTTGAAACCGAAAGTGGTGGTGCCTTCAAAAATGACCGTGGTACCATCAGCCAGCTTGGAGAGATCAAGCGTGGTACCAGCTGGTACATCGAGGCTGGAGAGAGTCATGGTGGAACATGAGGACTGAGCCTTCATCGCTGCAGCAGCTCCGGTGGCGCCTGAGAATGTGCATCCCGCACGTTTCTGGGAGGGCACTGCGACAGCAGACGCCGCCAGGGTAGAAAAGAGTACGCTAAGAGTTAGGGCAACCATTTTAAAGATGAGTCTGATACTGAAGAGAAGCTTGAATGTATGAAGGATGCGCTTGGCTACTTGGCTATGTGCTTGTATCTCCACATATATATACATTATTTAGGGGTCTGGAATTCCCAGAGATTGATGTCCAAGCCACCGGATCGACATGTATCCAGCGATGCGGTTGATGCGTTCAAAATTTTCCGGCGCGAATCTCTCCTTCGCAAATAGCGAAGAGAAAGTGGCTGTTTCAAAACTCCTCCAATAAGTGGGCCTCACGACACGTGAAATGAGTAGGTGGCAGCCACTTGAGTCGATTCTCATCGGTGCGTCAAAACTTCCTCCAATGAGTGAAGTAGCAGTGGCGCATTGTTTAGACTCCTGTAGAAATAGGTAGATTGTGGAATGTGACCACCTGACTAGTACCGGGCCTTGCGGGAACCACGAGGCTTGACATGCGTGGTGATGGCTACGGCCCATAGTGCTGGAGGCGAGCATGGGAACAAGAACCCCTAATCGGCCGAGGTAGTTCCAGAGGTCCACAAAAGTGGATAGGTCACTAGTCTATCCGTAGGACCTGATTGCCACAGGGAAATTTATTTCCGAAGGCCTCGTTTTGGCTCGATTAGTATTGAAATTGACCATGACTTCACTACTGTCAACCAGCTTATGTTTGTGAAGTTGACCTTGATTACGTGCGCAATTCCCAGCTTGCCCGTTCCGGCAAAGCTTCCGCTACTGCAGTCTCTTGCACACACCTCGGCCTTTCGGACAGATCTTACTCCACGTACCCCCGCAAATGTTGTCTCCCTGGGGGCACTAGTACCTTGCATATTTACCCCGCGTATACATTTATCCATGGCAAATAATAAACCATCAATGATATCGTCGCGTGGCATATAGGGCCGAAGCGCGATCTCCAACCGCGGCTGGATTGCATGTGGAAGTCTCGCCCGAGCTCAAGAACGACATCATGTCGCGAAAGTTGCCTGGTGTCCCTTCTACGATTTCCCCTATACGACAGATGTCAACATGAGACTCGTTCATTTTGTTTTAGCTTTCATTTCGCTGTTTGCTAGCGTGCTGGGTACAGGTAATGGCGTACAGACGGATGTGGAATGGGATAATGGATCCCTCATGGTCAATGGCGAACGCGTCATGGTCATGAGCGGAGAATTTCGTAAGCCTTTATTTCTACCATAGGGTGTAATTTCTACTGACCCTGTATCCGTAAATTACAGACTACGCGCGCCTCCCCGTTCCTGAGCTATGGCTAGATGTGTTCCAAAAGTTCAAGGCAAATGGCATGAACGCTGTCAGCATTTACTTTTTCTGGTCGTATCATTCTCCGTTCAAAGGCGTGTACGACTTCACAACCCCTGCAAAGGACATCCAACATCTGTTGGACTTGGCAAAGGAAGCGGGGCTCTACGTGATTGCGCGACCAGGGCCATATTGCAACGCCGAAACTAATGGTGGAGGCTTCGCATTATGGACCAGCGACGGAAGTGGCGGCAAGTACAGGACTTCAGATGAGACTTACCGCCAGGCATGGTCTGAATGGGTTGCTGAAGTAGGTGAAATCATTGCAAAGAACCAAATCACCAATGGAGGGCCGGTCATTCTAGCGCAAGTTGAGAATGAGTTGCAAGAAACGGTTTACGACCCAAAAAACACGTTGGTGGTCTACATGGAACAGCTTAAGACTGCTTTCAAGGACGCCGGCATTGTAGTTCCCTTGACGCATAATGAGAAAGGGTTCAGATCGAAGAGTTGGTCTACAGACTATAACAATGTTGGTGGCGCCGTCAATATTTATGGCTTGGACAGCTACCCCGGTGGCATGAGCTGCACGAACCTCGATACTGGTTTCAACCTGCCGCGGACCTACTATCAGTGGTTCCAGGACGTCTCCCCTACTCAGCCAGAGTACCTTCCAGAGTTTGAAGGTGGATGGTTCCAGCCATGGGGCGGTTACTTCTTTGACCAGTGCCAAGCGGAGCAAAGCCCCGAGTTTGCGGATGTGTTTTACAAAGGCTTGATCGGGCAGCGTGCTTCACTATTGAACCTATACATGGTACGTTAGAACCAGAGGAGGCCACACGCGATCTTTGTGCTGATTTGATATAGGCATACGGTGGCACGAATTGGGGCCATCTCGCCGCGCCTGTGGTCTATACCTCGTACGATTACGCCGCACCACTACGCGAGACACGAGAAGTTCGCAACAAGTTCAGACAATACAAGCTTCTCGCGCTCTTCACTCGCGTAAGCAAAGGCCTCCACAACACGTTGATGGAAAGCAATGGCACTGCAAACGCTGTCGACAACACTGCCATCTGGACCTGGCAGCTCAAGAACCGCGATACAGACGCTAGGTTCTACCTCGCGGAGAATAACAACACTCGCACGCGCGCAGTGACCGACTTCTCGATAACCGTAAAGACGTCTGCGGGCAATGTTAAAATTCCGAGCATGCAGCTTGCAGGTCGGCAGAGCCGGTGGGTAGTCACTGACTACGATGTGGGAAACAAGACGTTGCTTTACTCATCGGCTGAGATTGCTACATATGGTTTATTCGATCGACCTGTCATCGTGTTTTATACGCGCGAAGGGCAGACTGGAGAGTTCGCTTTCAAGTCGCAACAGAACCTTACTTTCAACACGTACGGCGCGGAGTCGAATATTGCGAGCGCACCGACAAACGGCACCTACTCGCGTTTTACGTACACCCAAAAGAAGGGGGCCACAGTTGTAGAGTTTTCTAACGGTGTTCTTGCTTACTTCCTAGATATCCCATTGGCATACAACTTCTTTGCGCCAGCAACGACTAACGACCCGAACGTCACTCCAGACCACCAGATCTTCGTACTTGGCCCTTACCTGGTTCGTTCAGCCAGTGCTTCTGGGGGCAAAGTCGCCATCATTGGTGACAACGCCAACGCAACCACGATCGAAGTATACGCAGGATCCAACGTCGATACAATAACATGGAATGGCAAAGATCTCACTACATCGAAGACGCCATATGGGTCTCTGACTGCCAATCTCGCTGGAACTGCAGATCGAACAATCAAGCTCCCAGCCCTATCAAGTTTCAAGGCCGCAGAATCCTCACCGGAGACCCAGCCCTCATACGACGACAGCAACTGGGTCATCGCAAATAAGACCACGACGCTAAGCCCCGTGAAGCCCCTTACCCTGCCAGTCCTCTTCAGCAGCGACTATAAGTTCTACGCCGGCGCCAAAATCTACCGCGGGTACTTCTCCGGCAAAACCGCAGCTTCCCTCAACATCACCGTGCAAGGCGGTGCAGCCGCAGGCTGGAACGCATGGCTCAACGGCCAACCAATCGGTTTCCAGCCGGGCAACGCATCGCTGACTTCGACCACCGCCCTGCTATCTTTCAAAAACATAACGCTCAAGGACACAGACAACGTCGTCACTGTCATAACAGACTACACAGGCCACGACCAAACCTCCACCGGCCCCGCCGGCGCCGAGAACCCACGCGGTATTCTAGGCGCCCAGCTTCTCAGCGCAAACGCAACTAAACTCTCCTTTTCGCAGTGGAAAATACAGGGTAACGCTGGTGCGGATCGGAATATTGATCCTGTCCGCGGTTCCTTGAATGAAGGCGGTCTCTATGGTGAACGGCTCGGGTGGCATCTCCCCGGCTTCGATACTTCGGGCTGGGAAAGTGCGAGTCCGGTGAGCGATGGGGTCACGGGCGCGGGAATCCGTTGGTTTACGACTTCTTTCTCTCTTGATGTCGACGACGATCTCGATGTTCCTGTTGGTATTGAGCTTGGCGCTGTAAAAGGCACGGTTGCAAGGGTCATGATCTTTGTGAATGGGTATCAGTATGGCAAGTACGTGCCGCATATTGGGCCTCAGACGCGCTTCCCTACCCCTCCGGGCATTCTTAATATGCGGGGGGAGAATACGCTGAGTGTAGCGATGTGGGCGCAGACAGACGCTGGTGCTAAACTGGATACGCTGAGGTTGTTCGAGTATGCCAGGTATGAGAGTGGGTTTGGATTTGGGGCAATTGACGGCAAGGCGTTGCAGCCAGGGTGGGAGGATAGGACGCAGTTTGTTTGAGTGGAGTGATAAAACATTTAATGTATATATGAGGATTTTGTCCAATCTACTCGTAAACTCCCCGCTATACGCTCATGTGCATTGCTAGAAAATCTTTTCGTCGTTAGAGTCGTGTAAGGCAGTTTCGAAATCAATGGTCCCACCCATCGTCTCCACTGTCCGCAAAATCCATCACCATGTCCACCCAGTTGCCACCACCATACTGGCACTTGCTCGGGCCAACCTCCTTGAACCCGGCCTTTTCATAAAATGGTATATAGCGATCCCTGCAAATAAGTGCTATGCGACTGGCTACTCCCGCGTCCTTGATGCGTTGCGTGTAACTTTTCAGCAGAATCATACCCAGCCCCTTGCGCGCAAAATTGGGGTGAACGCAAAGAGAGTGAAGACATACTGTCTGGCCATCCTCGTTATGGCCTATACTAGGGGCGAGTTGGTACTTTGTCTTCCAGTCCTTGGGGTAGTCCATGGCGTCATCGGTAACGAGGGGCGACTTTGCCTTGGTAGAGATGATATGGGCCAGTAGCACGCGCTTCCGATCGCTGTCTGATGAGTCTATGTGAGGAAAAGATCGAGTTTTGATAAGTTCACCCAGGGGGCCGGAGTTGGTGGGGTAAGCCGATGAGAAGAGCCCGCTGCAGAGTTCGCCGCATGTTTGCAGACGGTATTCGAGCTAGGTGTGGTTAGCGGCGTGGTTCAGGTACTAGGGTTCAGGCAAGGCTGATTTGTTGTTGATGGTGTGATTGGAGATGTGTGCGAGGAAAGGGCGGGTCACACAAGCCACCGAAAGAAGAAAAGATATCTCACTACATGTGGTCTAGTTATGTGCGCCACGATCGATGAGCTATGATTATCAAGACGCATGACGGTAGGACAACGCTCGTAATGGCGTATAAATATGAGACACGACAAGTGACAATATACAGACAGCTAGCTAGAATGCAGTGAACTCAATCGAGTAACTGGAAAATGGAGCAGAGCGCACTGCTCGATGCCTGACGATGCCCAATGGTAGTACTGAGAGAGAAAGAAGGAGCAAGCCGCGAAGGCGATTTCCTCATCAGGATAAGGCGGAAGGAGACAAATGGTCCTCACCTTTTCCCGCGTTGCAGCTTCAATAGGATCAAAAGCCGCATGCTCGAGCCAGTCGCAGTCGTCCAAGTCGGCCACATTGAGCAGCGAAGCGTAAGGCCTGACGCCCATCTGTTTGAGCCTCTCCTCCTGGGCAATATGGGAGCTGCGGTGCGGCACCAGACTATTCGACGATTGCTCCACGGGTTCCGGGCTAGCGACGGTCTCTGGGGTTCTTGACAGTTTGGGCATGCTATCCAGCGTCTTCTTGTCTGCTAATAAATCTCGTGGCATCTTGGCGGTTTTCAGCGACGCGCGACGGGAGCAATTGATGAGTATATTGATGGCACTGCAGGAGGAAGCGCTGTGATGAGCTGGTAGGATTCGCGGTGCCTGAAAAGGTTCACGAGACTCTAACTAAGCCCCCGCCTTTGCTAGCGGCTCGCTTCGAGTGCCGCTGCAGATCGTAGCGTCAGGGCTGAGAAGGACGGCCCCGGGACATGCACACGATAGTCATGGGCAGTTATCAGATGAAACATGTGGGGTGGGTTTTGTTTTTGCGCTGACGTGTTGGTCATGCTGTCATTTCTCATGTTCGCGATTGCTTTTTTATTTTGTCCGGTACTGTTCTGCTTGCACTCTCGCGCAGACGCCGGCGATACGTGGGGTGAGTCGTGGGGAGATGCACCGCACACAACATGAAGCTACAGATGTACAAGTCACCGGTGACCGGTTGCAGTTGCAGGGTACTGGGTCTAGACATGCTGCGCGCTGGTGGCCAGAAGTTGTCCTGCATGTCCTGTGGAGTCGACGATGCCGGCCTCAATATTTTCCACGTCGTTGGGCTGTAATGTTGCGATGGCGATATCAGCAACCCCGCGGCCATGGTGGAATGGTGGACAAGGCGCGCATAACCTCGGGTCTGTCGTATCTCATGGCATAGCAGACAATGAGGATGGTGACTCGCTCGGTGCAGTCGACGAGGTAGGGACTTGATGTGCTTGGTGCAGTGCTGCCCTGCCCTCCCCTCCTTACCCGCTTATGCTCGTGTGCGTCAACATCTACGCCCCTCACCCAGCCCGACGTCTGGTCTGATATATTGCAGGTGACGGTCTGCCCGTCTGTTGGCCTACGCCATACTCCCACAACATGACGCTGCTGGCTGTGCACTCGTCGCGCTGATTCATCCGCGTCGTGGGTTTTTGCGGCTCCACTGCGTTCCATTCCCTTCTTAGCAGACCCGAGGCGGCGACTGTGCCCTTCCTTCACTGCGTAGGAACACCAGCCCACGATCAGAAACATCGGCCCACGGCGAGAACGACGGGCTCACAGCGCTCCCCACTTGCCTGCTACGAGAGTCGCCCAGTGCGTCCTGCCATATAAGCAACGCGGCACCGAGACACAATCTCCCGACTCATCCCGCTGTCCCGCCATCCAACCCCGACCCAAAGCTCAACCACCACCCGTGTTACATTCTTTGGCCTCTTACAGTTTTACCCGCATACGCCCCAAGACCCGCTACGAACACCGCCATGTGAGTTTGTACCGAAACCGTTGCTGTGCGACCACTCCAAGCCCTCTGCTAACCCGCCGCTTCCAGGCCTCGCGTCACCATATCCATCACCGCGCCGGGCACCCAGTCCGACACGGACCTGCTGACGCTGGAAATGCCCCCAGGCAGCACCATCAAGGACCTCAAGGGCTTCATCGAGGCCGACACCAACCTCCCTTCGGCGTCACAGAGCCTCTACCTGAACGGCCAGCCGGTATCCATCGAAACACAAACACTAGAGGATGCCGGAATAAGGGATGGCGAGATGTTGGCCGTGGTGATGCGCGCCGCACCTCGACCAAACCGGAATCTTCACCAACCCGGACGACCTACCCAGCCTGATCCAGAGGGTGTTCGCCAGCTCGTCCTGAACGACCCGCAACAGATGCATAAGCTGCGTCAAGGCGACCCCGAGCTCGCCGCTACTGTCAACGACGCTGCCCGCTGGAGAGAGACGTACGCCATGCGACAGCGACAAGCAGAGGAATCTGAGCGCGAGCGTCAGAACCAGATCGCCCTGCTCAACGAGGACCCCTTCAACGTCGAGGCACAACGGAAGATTGAAGACATTATCCGCCAGGACCGCGTCGTCGAGAATCTGCAAAAGGCCTACGATGAGAACCCCGAAGGTATGCACAAACCCTCCGTTGCCCGTGCCTTGAAGCGGGGCGCGGGGTGCTCCATCATGTTGAACCATAACTAACTGCTAACAGTATTCACACGCGTGCACATGCTCTACGTCAACACCGAAGTCAATGGCGTACCCGTCAAGGCCTTTGTTGATTCCGGCGCCCAGGCCACCATCATGTCACCCGACTGTGCAGAGCGGTGTGGAATCATGCGTTTGATGGACGTACGGTACGCCGGTATGGCACGTGGTGTCGGTACGGCACGTATCCTGGGTCGTGTGCACCACGCCGAGATCAAGATTGGAGGTGCCGTTATGCCGTGCGCCTTCACTGTCATGGAAGGCAAGGACGTCGATCTGCTGTTTGGTTTGGACATGCTCAAGCGCTACCGCGCCAAGATTGATCTAGAGAAGAACGCACTATGCTTCGAAGGTCAGGAAGTACCTTTCTTGCACGAGTCTGAGATTCCCAAGAGCTTCGAGGAGGCCGAGCTAAACGAGCCTACCGTTTCTGGTCCCAATGGAGAGGAAATCGGTGCCAAGACGGGTGCAGTGCGGCCCAAGGGTTCTGCTCATGCTGGTCCCTCCAACGCTGCATCATCGTCATCGTCTCAATCGGCTCAGTCGGCACAACCGCAAGCAGCACAGTCCAATGCATCCAAGGCGCCCCTGTCGTCTCCAACCCCACTTAACTTTCCTCGGGAGCACGTCCAACAGCTGATGAGCATGTTCCATTGCAGCGAGCTAGCAGCCAGGCAAGCGCTGGAGATGTACGGGGGCGATGTCGAACTTGCCGCGGGTTTCCTTCTCGGTTCGTAGGAAGAAGGAGAGGACAAGGAGCCAACAGCAAATCTTCATAGTCATTACCTGGCCTCTTGCTTACCCTGAACATAGAAAGCATCGACGAAGATGACCCGGCGCAGTTCCTAATCACTCGTCGGTACTCGGCTTGGTTACACGAGCGGTACTGGGAAGACGCACGACGACGACAACGACAACGACGACGGCCTTATTGAGCTCATGACAAATCATGGATAGCGGGCATGTATTATTCACACGTAGGGATAAGGATATAAGCACAATCGCATCCTTTCCACGCAATATGGGAGGTCATGATAATTAGATAGATGCAAATGAAGCAAAGGCTTCAATAAAATCTTTTCCTTCCTCTCCTTGACCACTTGGATCTCTCTACCTAATTTTATACAGACATGGCTTCAACACAGCTTTTTCTTTTTCATCCCCTTCTTCTTCGTCAGCAACAGCACTCATCCTCTTTCCCTTGAGCCCAAACTTCATCCCTCCGCCTCTCTGCGCCACTGCACCAGCTTTCTGATCATCCCTTGCGTTCTTGCCCTTGCTAGGATGCGCAGCCTTGACAAATTGCATCTTGACAAACATCTTGTTGCTCAGATCAATCGCATCACCGGGCCTCTCTGGCAACGCATCCAGCACAAAGCCACGCTTACGCAGGACGTCGATGAAAGCAGATACATCCGTGCCGTCCTTTCCCTCTTGCCCATCAACCACAACCGCAAGCTCCGCCTCGTCCTCCGAGTCCTCCGGCCCTTCAGCAGGCGCCTTATCCGCTTTTTGTTTCTTCGTCGGTTTCAGTAGTTTCTTATCTACATTCTTCTTCAGCGAGCCGATTGAGTTTATAGGAACACCGCCCTTTTTCTTATCGACGCGACCGAACCGCGACTTGATTTCCGAAACCCACAATTCGCCTTTCCAGCGCAGGATGCGGTATGCTTCGTCGATGAAGTCGAGCCAGTTTGTGCCCATGAGGGCGAGGCAGAAGATGGCTACGTCGACCGAGTTATCGGGGAGCGGAAGCGCCTTGATATCTGCGACGGTGACGAGGTTTTTGGAGGGGCCCGTAGGCTGCGAGAGGTCGAAGGAGTGGAATGTGAGGTTTAGAGATTGGAGGTGGGGTTGGAGGCGGTAGGAGAGGGAGGCTGTGCCGCAGCCCAAGTCGGCGATTGTGCTGTGGCCTTTAAGGTCTCGGGGGAGGGGTTTCGCGTCGCCGCGGGGAGGTGCGATAGTGGTGGTTTCCTCTTCTTCGAAACCAGGACCTCGGCGAACGGCGTTCTTGGGTGGTCCTCTTCGGTCTCTTCGCTGGTCCTTGGGCCGTAGCTTGCTGCGTACTAGTATGCTGTTGACATAGCTGTCTACAGGGTTTGATGGCCAGACTTCGACTTGCTGCGCAAAACCGCGGTGGTAGTCTTCGAACATGGAGGGGTCTTCCTTGAAGAGAGAAGCGCTGTCAGCGGAGGGCTTGGTATAAAGCGCTTCGTTTAGGTGGCGGAAGCGGGCGCTGGCAAGCTTGCTACGCATTGAGCGTTGGAGGGGAGTTAGGCCCTTTGGTTCGGGAAGGAGATTCTCGAGGGTTGGAGCTGCGGGGGTAGAGGCCGTATCATTCGCATTTGCAGCCAGTAGTTTATCTGCCTTGGACTCCTTCTTGCGCTTCTTCTTGTCGCGTTTGGATTCAGCATCGGCGGTTGTAGGTTTGTCTGTGGCAGGCTTCGCAGGGCTAGCCTTTGTATCATCTGCTGCCGTCGCATCCTCTGTCTCTGAATCTTTTGCGCCGTCTTCTCCCTGCCTCTTGTCTTTGTTACCGCCAGCCTTCCCTCTCTTCCTCTTCTTTCCGCGCTTCTCTTGCGCCGCCTCATCTGTGAATTCTACATCCTTCGCCTCAGCCTTCTGTGTCTTCACCACCTCACTACCCTTGCCACTCGCGATGCTTTCCCATTGCTCTGCTAAATTATCTGCATTCACCTGTTGCTCCTCTCGCTTTTCTTTCCGCTTCTGCGCCTTTTTTCCCGGTTTTGATTCTTTTGGCTTTGGCGCTTCGACCTGAGTCTTAACCTGCGCGGCAACGTTCCAGCCGGGTACTGAGAACATAATTTCCAAGTAATTGAGGTGGTAGAGGGGTTGTTGTTGCTTGAACACGAGATGCGCAAGAAAGTTCTGGGTAGCCCGAAATTTTGGGCGGTGGAACATTCCGCCGAAAGTGGGGCTTCAGCGCGGAGTTTCCTGCCTACTCTCGACCGAACATGGAACTGACACTGTCTATGTCCGGGAGGCGTATATAAGCTTCATGTAGTGGGATCGTATGTTCGAAGCATTGTTGGAATAGCTACATGCAGTTACGTACGGTTTGGAAATAGCTACATAATGTACTGACGTCCTCCTGGCCTTAAAATGTACCTAGCCATCACTCATGTCCTTGATCTGAGCTACCTATGGATCTCGAGACACTCTTTGTTACCGCAATCAATATACAAACTCTCATTAACAAAACCCCTCACAACCTCCCCTTCCCCGCCAGTCAAGCAAAAAGCCCTTTGACCAAACCCTCCACAGCCTCATAAACTTGGCCCTCCTTCTGCCCCCCAGTAGCTCGCTCCGTGATAATCGGAATCTGATCCTTGCCAACCTTGTACTTGCTCAAATCACTGTCCAGTTCCAGGTCCTTTACCAACTGCAAAACCCTCTCCCCAACCCTATCCGCATCTTTCTTCACATCACCCGACGCACTCTCGCCAATAAACGGCAACAACCTCACAATCTGCTCTGCAGCAGCAGGATCCTGAGCTTTGAGCTTGACCACATGCCCCAGCGTAAGACAAGACGTAATGCCATGAGGAATCGAATACGGTGAGCCAAGTGCATACCCCAGCGCATGGCTCAGTCCCAACCCGCCCTTCATGTTATACCCCATAAATCCCAGCGACGCAAAAGCCGCAAGCTGTAGCTTCGTAATTATATTCTCGTTCTTGGGGTCCTTCTTATACAGGGGCAGAATCTCGAACAACGTGGCCGCAGATTGTAGAGTGAGCCACCGCGCAGGCATCTCCGTGGCGGTGGGATGATACAGTAACTCAATGGCATGATCCATGGCACGCATGCCTGTGCTCATCCAAAGACGCTCGGGTGTGTGAAGAGCAAACTTGGAATCGTAGATTACAACGCTTGGGACTAGTTCTTTGCCTCTGACACCGGTTTTCACGCCGTCGGATTGCGTGTAGCCGGCCATGAATGTGCATTCACTTGCACTCAGCGTGGTTGGTATAGAGATGTGGTAGAGGTAATTTCCAGTCTTTTCGTGTAGACGGTAGCTGATTGCTTTGGCGCTGTCAATGGGGCTTCCGCCACCGACAGAGATGACGGTATCGATGCTATCATCTTTCTTTACTAACTTGGTTGCTTCGTCGAGTTGTGCGACTGGTGCATGTTCTCCGATTTTGGAAAAGGTGCCTGCGTGTCGCGAGCCCAGAAGTTCCTCGACTTGTTTTACGAGGGGTGTTTTGTTGGCGAGTGAGTTACCGGTGATGATGAATGCTTTGCTGGACTCTTTAGGAAGACAGGACAGTAGATGCTGTTTGACAGAGTCGGGTCCATAATGCAGTCTCTGAAGTTGCGTGGGCTGCCAGAGACCGGACAGGGGATAATTTGTTGCGTCTGTCATCGTGGATTTGTTACTTGAAGTTTTATACCAAACGCTCGTTGAACCTGGAAACTGGATGCAGCCTAAGCTTTTCTTTGATGAATATAGTGTGAATTTTTCGAACCAACGAGACTGTAATCTGGTGGTACCGGTCCGTGTACTGCTATATCTACGTGCGAGGGTAGATGCTTGCTTAGTCAAATTGCTGTATATCCGGTTTACCAACATATGATTGAATTAGATGTTATATACCTCAGATGCCGGATACGCATGGATGTCAAAGATGGTGGCCAAAATTCCCCATGACGTAACTATTGTCCACATCGATGACCGATGAGGCTATCCCGAGGTCTAGAGGCGGGGCACGAATAACTACGTACGTAACTCCAACATCTCAAGTAAACACTGGGAGCTCAAACGAGACCAAGGCGAGATATGGACATCTGAGCCCTCAAATTACAAGCCGTCAATTAACAATAGGCACGACCTTGGACTTAGTTTAAACATTTCAATCATTGATTGTAGAGCGGAGAAGTAAGCTGAGCGTTACCATCTCGCATCTCTAGGTTATGGTACACTCATTGGCTTCGCCATAAATTACACAGTCCTTCCCACATCATCTCGTTTTCGCCAAAGGATATCACTCTTTCGTTACTCCGACATGATCCAAGGATTCGTAAAGGGTAATAGAACAAACGCTAAAGGGAGAAGAGAAATCGTCGGAGGAATATGATACAGAATGCTCAACACGTAGCGGGACATGTACAAGTCTAGGAGTAGACTCAACCTAACCGACCGTGACCGGATGCAAGACGCCAACTTTTGACGTTATAAAGTGACTAGTAGAAAAAGACAGAATGGAGAGTCAACAACTAAGCATTTACTGCTTCTTGTCGCCCTCACCCTCACCAGGCTGCTGAGGCTGCTCGCTCTGGTTTTGGCTCTCAGAGCGGGCCTTGTGCATCTGGTCGAAGAGGCTCAAAGAGGCGTTCTGGAGCTCATCGGTCTTCTCCTTGATCTCGGCGGCGGTGGCGGAACCCTCACCAGACTGGCTCTGGGAGATGAACTCACGCATAGAGGTGATCTTCTCCTTGATCTTCTCAGCCTCAGCCTTGTCGAGGCGGTCCTCGAATTCCTTGAGGGCCTTCTCAGTGTCGTTGACAACGCTGTCGGCACGGTTGGCAGCCTCGATAGCGTTCTTGCGCTCCTTGTCTTGCTCAGCGTACTGCTCAGAGTCCTTGACCATGTTCTCGATCTCGGTCTCAGAGAGACCAGATCCAGAGGCGATGGTGATGGACTGGTCCTTGTTGGTGGACTTGTCCTTTGCGTGAACGTGGACAATAGAGTCAGCATCGATATCGAAGGTAACTTCGATCTGAGGTACACCACGGTGGGCTGGTGGAATGCCAACAAGCTGGAAGTTGCCTAGGAGCTTGTTGTCACGGACGAGCTCACGCTCACCCTGGTAAACCTTGATCTCGACGGCGCTCTGGAAATCGGCCGCAGTAGAGAAGACCTGGGACTTCTTGGTGGGGATGGTAGTGTTACGGTTGATCAGACGAGTGAAGACACCGCCGAGAGTCTCAATACCGAGAGAAAGAGGGGTAACATCGAGCAGAAGAAGGTCGGTAACCTCACCAGCAAGGACAGCACCCTGGATAGCGGCACCGATGGCGACAGCCTCATCGGGGTTAACCGACTTGGCGGGGTCACGGCCGAAGATGCTCTTGACGGATTCGGTGACCTTGGGCATACGGGTCATACCACCAACGAGGATGACCTCGGAGATGTCGGTGGCCTTCAAGTTAGCATCCTTCAGAGCCTTGCGGACGGGCTCGACAGTGCGGCTGATCAGAGGGTCCATCATCTTCTCAAGCTGAGCACGGCTGAGCTTGGTGTTGATGTGCTTGGGGCCGGAAGCGTCGGCAGTGATGAAAGGCAGGTTGATGTCGGTTTGCGAGGAAGAAGAAAGCTCAATCTTGGCCTTCTCGGCAGCCTCACGGATACGCTGAATGGCCATGCGGTCGCTGTTCAGGTCGATACCCTGCTCCTTCTTGAACTGGTCGACAAGGTGGCGGACGAGGGTAATATCAAAGTCCTCACCTCCAAGGTGAGTGTCACCGTTGGTAGACTTGACCTCGAAGACACCGGCCTGAATCTCAAGAATGGAGATATCGAAAGTACCACCACCCAAATCGTAGACAGCTACGACGTTGTCGGTGGCCTTGTCAAGACCGTAGGCGAGAGCAGCAGCAGTGGGTTCGTTGACGACACGGAGAACGTTGAGACCAGCGATTTGACCGGCGTCCTTGGTGGCTTGACGCTGGGAGTCGTTGAAGTAGGCGGGGACGGTGACGACGGCGTTCTTGACATTCTTGCCCATGTAGGACTCGGCAGTCTCCTTCATCTTTCCAAGGACGAAACCACCAACCTGCGAAGGAGAGTACTTTTGTCCCTGGGCCTCGAGCCAGGCATCACCGTTGGTGTGCTGGACGATCTTGTATGGAACTTGCTGGATATCGCGCTGGACCTCAGCATCGGTGAACTTTCGGCCGATGAGACGCTTGGTGGCGAAGAGAGTGTTTTCTGGGTTGACGACTGCCTGGCGCTTGGCGGCAATACCGACTAGACGCTCACCCTCCTTTGTGAAACCAACGACAGATGGGGTTGTGCGGCCACCTTTGGAAATTGTTAGTTCCATGGTGCCCATTGATGGTTGAGTGGGGTTAAAAACTTACCCTCCGAGTTCTCAATGATGCGGGGGACTTTGCCCTCCATGACGGCAACGGCAGAGTTGGTAGTTCCCAAATCAATACCAATGACTGAGCCCTTGACCTTCTCTTGGCCGCCCTCTGCATATCCTCGCGCAAACATGGGCGGAGCCCTGAATGCGGGTGTGCGTCGCGCCGCCGCAGCAGCACGCGGCAAAACCTTCGATGAGGTCAGACAAATGGGTTTTATTTGAACATGACGATGCAATGTTACTTACATTCCGTGATAATCTCGACGAAAACATTGTGATGTGAGAGAAAGACGCTGCGAGGGGGAATGCAGGCGACAGAGAAATGGATGTAGAGATGATGGGTGGGATGTGGGTGGAATATATGATGTAGTGATGGAAGCTTGGACGATTTGACAAAATTCTCGGAGAAGATTCTAGCTCGTTTTGGTGTAAAATCGCCGCCCGAGGTTCCGCTGTAAAAAGACGTCTGTGCTCCTTCCCTGCGGCGGCGCAGATATTGGCAATGCAGTTGGTCCTGTCAACAAATTTTTGCACTTGGTGCGAATTGCGAACGCTCAAGGTACTATCAGACCATGGTCAGCCATAACCCGACACGGGCTCTGTCGTTGTCGCATTCGCGGCGTTGAAGGCTTGGCGCATGTGGCTCGCGTGTGGGGAAGATGCTTGACCATGGACCACGTCGAAACACTGCCACTCTATCAGTCAAACCTCGTCGAGACACATCAACCTACTCGCTCCATAGTAGCCAAGCCACCTTTACCATACGAGCCAGGGCTCCACTGGCCTAAACACTTTATCCTCAGTACACCCGTCCTGTCAAAACTCGCACCTAGTCTTCTGCATCCAAGTGTATTGTGACGTAGAGCGCCTCCGACCGTTGAGCCTCAGCAGCTCCACTCGGCTCCACGGAGACATGCAGCCTTCTTCGACTTGACTGCAAACTATGGCCGTCGATGACTTTCTGTATGCACCCATGCCGCCCTGCGTGCTGCCGCCTACTAACTGCCACAGGAGTCGCGATACGGACGCCTTTGTATTGGCCCAGAAAGCTTACTATCCTACAAAGATCCCTATCGCGTGAGCGCCTTCCATACGTCAACCCGGCAGTTGGCCAAACTAACCCGCGTAGACACTATCAACTACGCCACTTCATCTCGTGTCCCGAACCCGACCTCCTCTACTATGCGAGCGGCGCTACCGTCTACTGCCTCAATGCGGCTACACGAACCCAAGCCCACGTAACCACACTACCCTGGGAGGCACGCTGCACCGCATCCGGTCACGGCTATGTCTGCGTCGGTGGGGAGGAAAACGGGAATTTTGCAGCCATCAAGGTCACCGGCTTCCCTCCTACCGACCCCTCCGACGTCGACGCCTCCCTGCCTTTTGACTTGGACCATCGCCTGCCACGACCGCCACTCCTAGGCGCCGCGTCGCGCATACGCCTCGAGAAGATTGGAACCGATATCGTCAACTCCATATCAATACACAAGCTGCCTGCGGATGGCCACGGTCAGGATGACATTGTCGCAGTCCTTACCAACAACGACAAGACAGTGCGCATATACTCACTCACCCAGAACCTGGAGCTGGCAGTACTTGACCTGCCCTTTGCAATGAACCATGCCACCATATCGCCCGATGGACAAATGTTGGTCGCCGTCGGCGACGCCCCGATTGGCTACTTTTTCCAACGTACAAAGTCGCAAAAGTCCGGCAGCAAGCCCCTTGAGACGTGGATACTATCGACCCCCCCAGAGTGGGAGCTGCTCAAGCATGTGACGCTGTACCGTCCCGCAAATTCGCATGCCGACGGCTACTTTACAACGGCATGGTCACCTGCGGGCCGTCTCTGCGCCGTTGGCTCGGAATGCGGGTACATTACTGTTTTCGATGTGGAGCTGTTGAAAACGGTCGAGTATGGCGAGGATGCCATATTGCAGCTAATCAGCTCTACAAGACCAGACACCCGAACCGGGCCCGGTGCAGTGCGGACAATGCACTTCTCACCAGCCCCATGGGACTTTCTCATATGGAGTGAGGATCAAGGAAGAGTATGCATCGCTGACTTGCGAGCTGGTCTTAAGGTGAAGCAAGTCCTCACATTGGACTCGAAAGAGGAAGGTTTGGAGAATGTCGAAATAGCCGACTTTGACCTGACTCTCAGTCCAGAGATGCATGAGTTGCGGAGAGAAGCAGACTTCATCCGGAGATACCGCCGCGCTCTCGATTCTGAAGGGACTGCGGCGGCCGTGAATGCAGCAAATGAATATTTCGAAGCCGACTCTGAGCGACAAAGACTGCATCGCCGATTGGGTGTGGTAGAGTCAGATAACGACCCGCTTGGCTTGACGGCACGCGAAAGGCAGGTTCTCAGTGCCCTACGGACTAGCCAAAGGCAGCGCGAGGACGCTCGCGAGCAGGGAATAACGCCCAGGAGCATCAACTACACGACTTCTGGGCACCTTGACACACCATTGTATGTTGCACATTTCACTGGTTGACATGTTTGTGTTAACAGTTTATAGGGAGCCCACCGCTCGCGATGTAGCTGATGTCATGGCCCAATTCATGATGGAAGGCACTAGCCCAAACCATTCACATCGCTGGCTTCAAGAGCGCACAACGCCCCGACGCCAAGCCTCTGTAATTGTATCAATCAACGAGGGCACTGTCAACGCGCCTGCCATAGTCACCAACATTACCGACACGGCCATCACACGGTCACCCAATCCAGTTCCAGCACATGCACGTCGTGTGCCGAATAGCGAAATAATCGCTTCAACGGATGCAGCGTGGCGCACAGTGGAGGAGGCGCTTGCGGTTGAACAAGCTCGGGCTGCGAACCGTAGCACAGCATTGAATACACTCGGTGCTGATGGTAACCCCACTGCGCCAGAACTTCGCAGTGAACTTCGCCGCATCCGCCAATTGACGCAGGCGCGTGAGCGACTTCGAAACACTCGCGCTGGTCAGCCCATGACGGAAAGTTACGAATTCAGTCTGGGCCTTCGTCGAGCGAGTCGTACCACACATGATGCCAGACTGGGTGCGCGTACAGCAGGGCTTGCTATGAGCCAAGACGGAAAGACATTATACTGTGGTACGGAGGAAGGCATCTTTGAGTTCAAGATGAACCTCCATGTGAGAAAGGCGTTTCCTGCAATTACGCCACGATAAAAGCTGCTTGGGCGGACTGAATTGGGTTCAGACTGTGGTTTCTTATTGTTAAGTTGATGATTCAAGGGCTTTGGTACATTTTCAAGCACCACTGAGACGGTTGGCATTCGGCTAGGCGAACAGGTTGGAGCGCACCGGTACCTCGATGTAATGATTGTAATTCTTCTTGTAGGCACAAGTTTGTCAAAATAGGTATACCCGTATATTTAGGTAGTCAAAAACATTTCAATACTCTGACACGGCCCTGCGGCGTAGTTTCCCCGGGCATGCGAAGTGGGTTCGTTGTCTCAATCTGGGGTAATTAACTGCCCTTGTTTCGCCGGAAGGAGGTGGCCTACCCGGGGGCGATGTTCGGAGCGAGGGAGAAGTGCCGATTTGCTCTCGATGGCGCAATTGCAGCGGTGACTCCCCAAGCTTCAGACTAACTAACGTCTGGCGGCGCAGATGGCTTTGAGAAGGTCTGTTGAATCCCTTTGATCTCTGCACTCACACTCCGCTCACCCGAGTCTTTGCAATCCGCCGAGCATCTCTGCTTCGGCTCTTATCTCTACCTCACGCCGACTTCGTCATCGCCTCAACGCGTATATCGAACTCTGTGCAACCCCACCACTCGACTTTCATCAAGTCTGCACGACAACAGTAATGACGGGCGAGTCTTCTACAAAGGCCGCTGCGGCTGGCAAGGCTGCCATGCCACTTGACATTGACGGCCACAATCTTCCACCTTCGCCTGCGCCAAGCTCGCCCCGCAATGGCAGGAAGTATGCGCTCATGACGGAGCTGGTGTACACGGAGAGCAGCGACCAGTACAATGCCAGCTCCGTACCAATTTACCAGGTATGCCAAGGCGAATACAAATGTATTCAAGCGTGAAAGTGGCCAAGTCTAATATGCGCAGTCTGCTACGTTCAAGCAAGAGTCCGCGACCGGCGGCGGCGGCGAGTACGACTATACACGCTCCGGTAACCCCACACGAACACATCTTGAAAGGCATCTTGCCAAGATCATGAATGCGAACCGCGCGCTTGTCGTCTCGTCTGGTATGGGCGCCCTCGATGTCATCACTCGTCTTCTCCGACCCGGCGACGAAGTAGTGACTGGCGACGATCTGTACGGAGGAACAAACAGACTCCTCAAGTACCTCTCAACCCATGGCGGTATCATTGTACACCACATAGACACTACGAACCCGGAAAAGGTGCGCGCCGTAGTAAACGAAAAGACGGCTATGGTGCTCCTTGAGACGCCCACCAACCCTCTGATCAAAATCTGCGACATTCCGGCCATTGCCAGTATTGCGCACACCGCGAACCCCACGGCTATTGTTGCAGTCGATAACACCATGATGTCGCCCATGCTACTCAACCCACTCGACCTTGGGTCCGATATTGTTTACGAATCCGGTACAAAGTACCTATCCGGCCACCATGACCTCATGGCCGGCGTCATCGCTATAAACGATTCCGCGCTCGGGGATCGCCTTTTCTTTACCATCAATGCTTCGGGGTGCGGGCTCTCGCCCTTTGACTCTTGGCTACTTCTCCGCGGCATCAAGACGCTTGGTGTTCGCATGGAAAAGCAGCAGGCGAACGCTATGCGCATCGCCACCTTCCTTGAATCCCATGGTTTCAAGGTCCGATATCCAGGTCTAAAGTCGCACCCACAGTACGATCTCCACTGGAGCATGGCACGCGGCGCGGGCGCCGTACTGTCTTTCGAGACTGGCGACGTCAATATCAGTGAAAGAATCGTCGAAAGCGCAAGGCTCTGGGGAATCAGTGTGAGCTTTGGATGTGTCAACTCGCTCATCAGTATGCCTTGCCGCATGAGTCATGCCAGTATTGACGAGAAGACGAGAAAAGAGAGGAACATGCCTGAAGACATCATCCGACTCTGTGTCGGAATTGAAGACCCGGAGGACTTGTTGGATGATCTCAGTCGTGCTGTAAGTCGATTCTGAGACGAACGCCCCCGACAAGATGCTAATTGTATGTAGCTCGTCCAAGCTGGCGCTGTGAACATTACGACTGAAGGGTTCCGCGCTCTGGCCACCGAGGCTCCTATCTCGGGCCAGCCAGCCGAGGATGTTCCTGCGCCTCCAGAGTCGTAGATCTCTTGGTTTTAGTCACCTCTGTCCTACTTGCCATAGCAGGTTAACGTGATACCCCTTTTCCATCTGTCGAGAGAGACATGTTGGTTTCCCTTCGCAACTCTCTCTGACCCCAGTCACCTCTGTCACTGTAACTACATGGTGTTAACGTGATATTTGTCTGATTGATTTAGCATAGCTCTACTGCTAGCTGGAGTTCCTCTGGGCTAAAATGTCTCCTTGTTTATTACAATGAAAGCTTATTCATCTTGATGTAAAGTGTCTGATGAATCGTGACTCCCATATCAAAGCGGGAATACCCACCGGTCGTTGCTGATAGGTCTGAAAGCGTTCTGCACGGTTTGATAAGCAGTCCTACGGGTATTTTGCTTTGGAACGGGATCCTTTGGCTTATTTCGAGCAATAGCACTAAACCAGGATAATCGCTGTATTCGTTTTGTCATCTAAGCTACGTCTACGTAGTAGTAATCAGGCCCTGATCGCAAGCGCCTAAATGTTCCACAATCAACCATTGTGCCAGGTCAGCTTTGCTTGGAGTAAGACCGAAGTCCGTGAGTGCTGGCCAGTTGTCCGATCGGTGCATTCCGAAGATTACGATCACGTGGTCGGGCTGACTATCGAGCAGCGGATCTGCCGGCCGGGCCTTTGTGTGGAAGCACCTCAGTAAGCCGTTTCAACCACCATTGTGTGCCACGTATGACTTAGTTCGTACTCATACACTCGGTTCCACGCTGAGTTTATAAGTTGCCATCGCCAAACGCTACGTCTTCTTGGTTACTTTGAAACTCGTCTCGAACATACAATCTTGTGGTAATACAAGGTGTCCACGGGTACCTCCTGAAACGATCCCGGGCACGCGAGCAACTCTGCCAACGGAAAAAAGAAAAGAAAACGCATACTTACAGCTCCGACTCGAGTGCAGACGCAATGCCGCAGCTCTTTGATCTGCCACGCGAATTGCGCGATCTGATATATGAGGAGATTCTCGCATCGTCTGCCCCTCTGCCGACATTGAAGGATACGCGATACCCATTTAACTGGTGTCCCCTAAAACAGCCACCGAGAGGTCTTACAGACTATGATTGTGTCATCTCATTCCAGGAAGCACCGCCTACATGTGCAAGCTTCTTGGCATGTAACCGCCAGATCAATGTGGAGATGATGCATGCCATTAAACGAGAAAAGCAAAAAGGCCAGATGTGTGCACTGATGGACTGCGTCGTGAACGATCAGATGCACCACTTTACTTGGCTTGCTGTCCCACTTGTCAAAACAGAAAAGAAGGACGCGTCGAAGCCAATGGCGTGCAAGGACACCCCAATGTCTAAAGTCATATCAAGCTGGGCAACTAGGCTCTTCCATGCAGGAACTAGCCACATATTGGGCAATAACATCTTTCCCGCGTATTCCCTTCACTTCACTACAGTGATTGAGCGATTACGGATCGATATTCGGCTTTTTGACTCAAGTCCACCCATATCCACACTCTCGGACTCTCATCGGAACTCTACAGCGTGGGCTATATGTGCAGCCCTCAGCCACATTTTCGACAATGGCCCCGATCTCCATACAGCAAGGAGAGTTGACTTCATCGGAGAGGTCGTCCTCAACCTTGTACCCCAAGCCAACGTCTCTAATGCCTCACCACCCCAATCTCCGGACAATGCCAACGATAGCTTGTTCGTCCCAGAGACAGAGGCTACGCCAACGGAATTGATACGCAATGAGCTTGTTGAGGTGTGGAATAGAATCTGGGCTGCGGACGATTTTCCTACAAGTGAGCTCCGAGCAAGATACTACCGCTTTCTCCTCGAGAAGATCAATAGAGTGAGAATATGTGTCAACGGCAAAACGTTTCGTACCCGAGAGCTGGCTGCCGAGCTGGAGAGGGGCAGGGCTGAGATGAGGAGGATCCAGATGCGGTAATGGTATATGTAGGTTCCAACGGGACAAGTTCAATGTCAGTATGGGTTGCTCGTCCCAGTTCGGAGAGCGCTGCGGCTGGGCAAAGGGCGGTTCGGAGATGATGTGGGTCATGACTGCTCTGTGCGTTGACAGTCGTGTCTGGACGTGTTCTCAAAGTATGTTCTGGAAGACGTAGATCGTGTAGCGGCCTTACTTAAGTATGATTCATAACTCGGCAGTGAAGATTCCCCACTCGGTCAGAAGATGTTGAATGGGTCCAAGTCGCGGGTTCTGCTTCTCTACAAGCAATAGCGCCCTTTCAACGGCCAAGACAGCGTCCAAGCCACAATAGAAATAGAAATTGCGCCAGCCAATTCCTTCCCGCTACCTACCCCGAATACGCCTGGAAAGCTGACGAGGCTTTTTGACGTTGAATCGTTCGCGGGAGGTCCTATTGGCTCGATCAATAGACACGTCAGGGGTAAGTCCTAGCCTCGGTTCGGCACGCACTTGTCTGGACCGACCTGCCATTGCACGACGACTTTGACATTCCTGACACAAACACGGTCGATCCAACACAGCTGCCCGCACCAGTACAGGTTTCATGCAACGGCGGCTTATGCACGAGTGAGGCTTCTGCCCGTTACTTGGGCTGTTGCAATTCAACCCAACCGATGCGCCACTGTAGTGGCAAGCTACAGCGGGATGGCGAACAAGAAATGCATACTTACTACAACCCCATACCACCACATCGAGCGGCGCACTTGGCACGGCCTGAGAACGTTTCACTAAACGAAGCACCGCGTCGCGTCCCTTGCTGGACAAGCGGCGCCCCTGCCGTCATTCGTTACGACGTAACATGCCTCCCAAGTCTTCTCCACTGATCTCCCCAAGACAATTGGCCAGACCACGGCGATTTGGCTCAGGGGCACAATGTGCCAAACGGCCCCTGCATGCCCAGGTGCCAACGTGTGTGCCGGAACACATGTCTGGCTTCGATAGATCCTAGCAGAGAGGCGGCGGGAGCGAATCCCCGTGGGCGCCATGGGGTCGTCAAGAGAAATTTTGTGCGTGGTGCAGAAAGGCGTGTTTTATATTTAAATACAGCTTGGAGATCCTTACTCCTGCCGGGAGTTGTTTCCCTCGCTTTGCTTTATCCCTCAGATATCTTGCGTCTTGTCGCTCGTCACTCTTTCTACAAAATTGTTATTACTTGTTCGCATTGACCATAGTCTGTCGTTTGAACTGCTGGACGGTTAGCTCACGTGCTTACGCGATCTACATACACGCAATATGGCGGCATCTAACGCTTCCACCACTAAGACTCTTCGGCCGGATAACATCGAAATTCCGTCGTCGAGCGGATCAAATCACCCACCCGACGATTTTGATGGCCCTATCTCACCGCGCTCATGGCGACACCGCACTGTTACATACCAGGTTCCCTCCAGAAGGCAAACAAATGGCTCTCTCGATGCTGAGGACTACTTTGTGAGTTCGCTCTGGATGTTATATGTTATGGGCTATACTAATGGTAGCTGATAGGTTGGTCCTCGTGACATGTCAAAGCACAGCAAATGGCCCTTCTTCATGCGGATGCACGGTTCCGTGTTCCCTAAGATGATTCTTCCTCTGACAGTTGTCACAATCTGGTCTACTGCCATTACATGCGTCTCCGAATTTGTCCACCCACTAGCCGTCAGCACCCTGCTCCTGACAGTTCTCGGTTTCGTCGTCGGTCTCGCCATCTCCTTCCGAACTAGCACAGCCTACGAGCGATACACCGAGGGTAGGAAATACTGGAGTCAGTTGATCACCGTAAGCCATAACTTGGCAAGGACGATCTGGTTCCACGCATCCGAACGCGATGGCGAGATCGGCAAGGAGGATCTGCTTAACAAACTTTCGGCCCTCAACCTTGTCAATGCTTTCGCATGCTCCGTCAAGCACAGGCTCCGCTTCGAACCCGGTATCGACTATCCCGATCTCCGCGACCGTGTCGAATATCTCGACACATTTGCGCGTGCTGCAGAATGCGAGATCCCCAAGCCCGGCGACAAGAAGAAGTTGAAGGCCGTAGGAGAGTACCTCGGTGTTACGTTTGCAGAGTCCAACCCCCGTAAGAGGATCAAGCGCGCTAAGAAGCCCCTTGGTAACTTGTCGCTCGAAATCTTGAACCATCTCTCCTGCTATGTCCACAGTATCATCGACAATGACACGCTCAAAGTTGGTCTCTACCAGAACCAGGCCATTACCAGCATCGTTCAGCTCAACGAAGTCCTTGTCGGCATGGACCGTGTCCTCCAAACACCCCTCCCGATCGCCTACTCCATCGCCATCTCTCAAATCACCTGGGTCTACGTAATGATGTTGCCTTTCCAACTGTGGGATGACCTCCGCTGGATCACAATCCCCGGCTGCATCTTCGCCGCCTACATCATGTAAGCCCCGACTCCCCCTTGAACCCCCAAAACAACACAACTAACAAATTCCCTCTAGCATCGGACTCAGCGCCATTGGCCGTGAAATCGAGAACCCCTTCGGCCACGACGTCAACGATCTCCCCCTCGAAGCCTACTGCGAAGAACTCGAAATGGACATTGACACTATCACATCCCAGCCCCCGCACTCTGCCCAAGAGTTTATGCGCCGCGACGGCAATATGCCCATCTGGCCTCTCAGCCACAAGAACTACAACTCCTGGGCCCACCGCAGCAAGCAGGACATCAGGGATGCGCTCATGACAAAGACAAAGGCCGATATGGCGGTTAGGAAGAGTTTCGCTGTTCCTCGCGAGAGCGAGAGCGATGAAAAGGAGCATCATACCATACAGCAGCAGCATCATGACAATTAGTTTTGGACGTGTGCGTTTGTTTGTGTTGTACGCTATGCATTTTTTGTTTTAGAAGCGGGGTTGGCGCTGCACATGGAGTTTAACATCGAATTTGGGGACTTTGTTTTGGATTTGGGGCATCGCTATCACAAAAAGGTTTCTTATATTTCTCGCCTACTCGGTTCCTTTTTCCTGGCGGGAGGCATCATCGTAATGCATTCTATTGATATTGACGTTCACTGTGTCGTGCATATGCGTGTCTAATATGCTTAGGCTAAAGTCCTTTTCGACAATGCTGGTCTCATATGATTGCTGATGTACAACTCTAGTTTATATCTCAAATTTACTTTGTGAGCTGTTAACATGTACTTGATCTGGTTTCTATATCTGCAGGATTTTTCTTATAGAGCCGGTGTCGGATTACAGATGTTAACGTGTCCGTGCACCTTGTGCCCGGATTCATCTCATGCCCCGCGAACACCATCTTAGCGATCTCAAATTTGAAGCTGTACAACACCACACAATAGCTTAATATTAATAAAAACATAGCATTGCAGTAATTAGATACTTGCGATTAACTTGTACTATCTGAATTTTTGTGGGAGGTTGACGTTGCGGCCACGTGATGTGGTCTTTGGTGGTGGAGGCGATGGAGGAGATGCAACTCTATCGCGAGCTCTATCCTCCATCGCTCGTTTTTGACGCTTGTTCTTAGAAGAGGGCGCTCTTGAGGCTTTACGCTTGCGTTGTTGAGCTTGTTGGGTGGCTTTTTTCTGGTGTTGAGCTTCAACTTTGCGCGCGCGTTCAGCTGCTTTCTCAGCTCGCTCAAGCTCCCTTATCTCCTTGAGCCTCTGCCTCTCTACACGCTTCTCCTCGAGCTTAACTTGACGCTGCAGTTGAACCTCCTCACGCTGCTTCTTGGCCTGTGCTTTTTGGAGTTTCTCCTCTATCTTATCTCGCTCCCGTACTACTTCTCTAGCTCGAGCCTCGCGTATCTTGCGAGGAGACCAGAAGACAGAGCCACCGTGATACTCCTGGCGCTGTTGAAGGTCAAGAGCTTTGCCCTTCTTCTTATGCTTCTTTTTATGTTGAAGAGCCTCCTTTAAGCCCTCGTTCTCATGCTGTAAAAGCTTATACTGCACAGAGAGATGGTGAACGCTTGAGCGCAGCTTTCTTGCCTCATACTGATGGCTATCATTGACAGCAGCTCGTACTAACCGATCGAGCTTTCTCCAGTCATGATCAGAGAGCCCTGAAGATGAGCTTCTCTCAGCTTCTGGCGTGCTGGCAAATCTACGAAGGATAACGTTGGGATCTATTGGCCATATACCAGTAGCTTCAAACGCTTTTAATATAGTTGATTGCTTAAACGAGGCCTGCCAAGCTCTCCAGAAGAGTGGGAAGAAGTCTCCTTTCTTAATTGGAATGAGGCCTTGAGCCTTGTAGAGATGGTTAGTGAGCTCGTTGGAGTAGGCTTGAGAGAGTGGCTTGAACAGCACTACATCGAGCGGCTGGAGCGTATGAGTCGAATGGGGAGGAAGGATCATGAGGAGGATCCTATGGCGATCGCAGTACTTGATAAACTCCATCGTGAGGTGAGATCCATGGCCATCAAGGATGAGCAATCGCCATCTCCCTGATCGCTGCTTTGTATAGCGATCAAACACCTGCTCTAGCCAAGCTAGGCCTACGTCATTGTTTGACCAGCCTGTTAGAGATGATGAGACAAAGACCTCATGTTCTCCTGCCTTAATATCCTCCACCCAACTCGATCGTATGGCTCCATTTTTAGCTGCGTAGATAAGGGCTGGAGGCAGCGAGCTCCCATCGGCGCAGCAGCAGGCCAGGAGTGTCAGAAACTCGCGTGATCCATCCTGGAGAGATGCTCGAACCTCTTTCTTATCCCATTGACGCCTGCTAAATATCCTCTTACTCCTGCCTATCATACCAATAAGGAAGCCCTTTTCATCCATATTGTATATATCTCGAGCCTCTAGGTGGTATTCGGTGATCTTCTGGTGCAGCAGCTCGAAGTAGAGTCTATACTTTGACTCAGAATCAGCCAGGTGGCGCGTACGATCCATGGCGGTGGTCCACTTTGAGATAAGATAGATCTCGTGTCGGTTAATGAAGCGAGTAACCCAGCTCTCGCTGAGCTGCTGATGGGCTACTTCTGATGAGAAATTCCTGATCATCTCTCTTGTAGGAGGTAGGCCTTGCTTAGTGAGCTTAGTGATATATCGTACAAGCTCTAACTCTTGTTGTGGGCCGATAGCTTGCTGCTGAGCGTATCCATCGCTCCTAGGCCCTGTCACGCGCCTCCATCTTCGCCCTAGCGTTGAGCGGTTAACCCCCCATTTTTCAGCAACTTCTTTTAATGTGAATTTCTCTCCTGGATCGCGCGATTCTAAATCTGCAATCGCTTCATCAATCGGAGCCATAGTTGTGGAGTTATTGCGCGTCAAAGTTGTAGTATTGAGACACGCGTCGGTGTTCGGCGGGGCATGAGATGAATCCGGGCATGAGGTGCACGGACACGTTAATCACGGGCCGCGTCGGTCCTACTTCGGTCTGACTCGTACTAACCCCGCGTATATCTTCATAGCAACCTAGAGATAGAACAATCAATCAGAACCATCACCGAACAGAATGCATTCCTAGTTATCCTTATTCCCTTTACGCACTTAGTGCAAAGCCAACCAACAGCCGGACTAACTGATATGTAAGTCAAGAGAGTGTGCCTAACTGGCTCTTTAAATCACAACGCCACAAAGCTAAGGGGGTTTTCTCAATTGGAAACCAACGCTAAGATATTAGCTCCTTACCTTCTTCTTCCATTTCTCTGGTATTCAAAGCTAGCTTTGGAAAATAGGCTAGATATTTAACCTACGGTTTCCCGTATGTGTAGTCGTACATGTACCAGTTAGTAAGCCTTCGCAAAGCATGGACAGAAGAATTAGACACGACTTGTGTGGCCCAAAGAGGGAAGAAACGAGAGAGAAAATAGTTGAAAGACACCGCTCCAACGGTAGCATTGAAGAGGACAAGTATGTTTCACGCACAGGATTGTGCGAAGAGCGTACAAGACAAAGATGTCTGAGTAGATACAGGTCCACACCCATCCAACACAAGAAGTTGGACATGTTAATGATGATCCATGTCCATTGTACCACCCTAGCCTTTTCCCGATGCCAAACGCTTGCCTAGGCCTCCAGCTCATTTTTTGGGTGGAATCACCCATTCTTGAGCGGCACATCTTCGTTTACCCTGCCCATTGTGACACGGCTCGTTGTCTGGCAGGTTTTCAAGTCTCGCGACGAAGTCAAAATACTCGGTGAAAGTACTTGCATGGGCACAATTTCGTCTGTTCATCTTGCACTACTCGCACCATTAGGAAACAAACGTAACGCGGCGGCTAGCTAGCGTAAACCTGGGAGCGCTCTTTCGACTTACACAGACGCCTATATGTGTAGATTCTCCGCTTTCAGTGTCATGACTGCCGGCGCACTGGTTTCCGGGAGCCCAGTCTGAACGGTAACAGCAGTGACTGTATACCAGTGGGAGGGCTGCGAGAAAAAGGCCGAGGGTGGCTGTGAACTTCATTTTGGCCAGGGTGGGTGGGCTTTTGTATAGTATAGGGACGGTGGAGTTTTGGTGGGCGGTCTTTGATTGGTGAGAGTGAGTTGCTACAGGAGCGGAAGGCCCCATCTTATACACTGGACACTTGGCTCCGCAACTGATAACAACAGGCTAGTGCTTCTCATCAATCGCCTGCTTACTGCGTCGATGTTCATTTCTTATTAATAAATCTGCTGGGCGGAGAGAGCGAGTACCGCCGTGATCTACATAAGTAAGACGGCCCCATCTACGTATGGACACTTTGTCCCAATACCCATGAAAGCACTAGTTGTTGGAAGTTGTAAGTAGGACGAATGACAGCGGAAACGTAAGCACTAACAGACTAACATAGGAATAGCTTCACTTCGCCTAGCAACTAGCGGTGAATTGTGGAACTTGTACAGACTAGACCAGTGGAGGGGATTCTTTCCGAGAATGAGCCATAATCAGAAGCCGTGAGAATCCGGGTGTCCGTAAGCTGACTTTACCTACTTTCTTCCCAGTAAGTACCGCGTATGAGCAGATCTCATAGGTTTCCGGTATTCTATCTCTTTTTTGTTCCTACTCGATTGTACAGCTGTTCTGCCTTACTATTAGTATTCAGCTTCAATGTTAGCGGTGACCTCTCAGGTCTTTGCACAGGCGGTATTGCGGTATATCTCGAGTAAAGCGTCTTACAAGGCAACCAAGCTTTCTCACCAACGTTGGCCGTTGTAGGTTTGGTCTTGCTCCTCTTATCCTCGTATGATGTTGTGTTGTGTTCGGGTCCGGTGTAGGGTTTTGCTGACTACAAAAAGGTGACGCTGTATCCGAAACTGCATTCAGCATACCAATCCGTGCTTCTAGAGTCAAGACAAAAACATACAGTAGATCAGTATACTTGAGATAGGAATGGCTGTTATTCTCAAAACACTAGCGTTTGGATAAAACCGGGTCGACCAAATAGTGTTTTAGGTTGGTCGTAAATGTTCTACCATAAAATACAAGCTTCCGGCAGCTTACGGATTCCAACTTTAGCTTAAGGACACCAACAAAAAAAGCGGGTAACGTATGAGCGGCACAGTCAGCTGATTGGATAGCACTGAAAAGCAGCACACAGCACTGTAATGGACCTTGGAATTGCCCAAGAGCGACTCTCAACTTTACTATCGCCTAACGGTACTCAGTAGGTATCTCAAACGAGCATACGAATGGCTATAGCGCTAATGTTTTTCTGATTACTCTAGAGAGCCCTACCTTATGTAGATAGAATAAGTTTGGTAATATCGTCAATCTCCTTTGGTGTGGGTGTCAAGTTCTCAAAGCCGTTCTTTGTGACTAGAACGTTGTCTACAGAGTGTAAGCATAAATCTAGTCAACGCAAACACCTTAACTTACCTTCAATTCGCACTCCACCGACGCTCCAATACTTCTCCAGAACGCTCTCATCAATGTACTTCTTCTTCTCCTCATCCTTCAGATACGGCTCGATGATGAACCTACAGAAGTAAACTCCAGGCTCGACTGTGATTACACTGCGCTCAGGCAAGGATCCCCTCGTTCTCAGATACCTGAACATGACATCCTTGTCCGCGTAGTTTGGATTACCTCCTGTGTCATGGGTGTCCATGCCTAGGTAGTGGCCAAGGCCGTGCGGGAAGAATGCAACACTGATCCTCTTTGTGAAGATCTCTTCTGCGTCTCCCTTCAATATGCCAAGCTCCAACAAGCCCTTGATGGCAACCTTGTGCGCAAGTTCATGGACGGAATCCCATACTACGCCTTCTTTGAGAGCGTTGATGCATTGATGTTGCATGTCCAACACGATCTTATAGATGGCGAGAGACTCGGTCGTGAATTTACCCTTGAGTGGAAATGTGCGTGTGATATCTGAAGCGTAACAGTCGACTTCACAGCCCGCATCCAACAGTAACAAGTTCTGATCAGAGATTGGGGCAGCATTGTGGACATAGTGTAGTGTTGCGGCGTGTTCACCGGCTGCGACGATGGAGTGGTAGGCCTGGTTCTTTGCATTGCGCTCTACACACGCTTTGAGAAAGACAGCTTCCAGTTCACATTCATTCTTTGCTGTGGAGGCAGCTTTCATGACGGCTTCGTGGGCTGCGGTGGATATGATGTTCGCTTTGCGGATCAGTGCGATTTCGTAGTCGGACTTTATGACACGACAGTACTCAATGGCGGGCTTGAGCTGTTTGAACTCCTTTTCTTTGTAGGAGATGAAGGTGATATGGTCTGAGACTTGTTCTGGGATGGCGTAAATAGTAGATTGCGCAGACTCGGAAGTGCTTGTAAGGTGGGCATTGACGTCCTTTGTGGTTAGACACTGATCAATATCATACTTTTCTTTGGCTTCCTCTGGGCTCATAGGTAAGCCCGACCAAATCACCTCATCAGGCTCCACAGGAGGTATGAAGAGTGTGAGCTTCTCAGTGGCGATTTCATATGTAAGATATGAATCTGGTAGCTCGCAACCACTGAGATAGAAGAAATACCGACGTTGCCTGAATTTCATAGTCAATTCCATGTGTTCGGGCCTGGGTACAAGGAAATATCCTACCGAAATGGTGCTTCTCCATCGTTGTCCTAATTTGAGGCGTTAGTTTCTTCTGGGATACACTCACGGTGACCGTACATGGTGAAGTCAGTGACGACATACCTCATTAAGTTTCTGCTTCTGCGCCTCGAGATAGATAGTCCCATTCTTATCACCGCCCTTTGCGATGATCCACTCGGCAACCTTCTTTGCGTGCGCCTTGGCTGGGTACTTGCCCTTCAGTACATCCTCATAGTTTTCTGCGATTGCCATGTTGATGTGGGTCCAGCTTCCGCTCTTTGTAGATAAGCTATAGAAGCAAGGTGTTGCAATAGCTGAAGTTGCAGGTTGTGAGGGGCGGACGGTGCGCAATGTATGTCGAAGGGAACGACCAATATGAGGTAGAACGGTGCGCATGTGAGCTTCAACGAGCTCAGCTGTCAGGTGTGAAGATAGCTACAGGTTGGGAAAGTGGGGTTTGGTGGGGTCAGACACGAGTTGACAACTGCGGGTAGTCGCGGGTGTACGAGTCGTTTAGAAATGAATAAGGAAGGTGCGTACTTGCCAAATAATCCGCAGTCGCGAATTAATGGGATGAAATGTTTGAATAATCTGTCCATTTGGCCATGCTACGAGTGAGCTGGCTAGTATACGTAGAAGTACATAATCATGTCTAAACTATTGATAAATCCCAAAGCATCGCTAGCAAGCCCCTTAAGCTCCAAACACCTGCATTATGCCATCCCAATGCTGTAACTCGTATGTCTACTGGTCGTATTTCGGTAACAACTGCCTACACGATGGTTCAACGGTGGTGGAGAACAAGGCCGTCTCTCAGCCACCAACGGTACCAAGTCTTCATCATGCAAAAGACGTCGCATGTCATGTAGACAGCGAGTCTTGACGATGATTATGGCGACGGAACTCGCGTCAAGCCAAAGAGTCCAAGCTGAACATGCGTTGATTTGCATATTCGACAAATCCTATCTCTACAACAGAAAATCTAGTCTTCCCAGCGTCTGAGGAACTTGGCCATGTCGTCAGTTGCGTGGGGTGCAGGGGCAACCTGAGCAAGAGTCAGCAAAGTATTCATGCGAGAAACATCAGGCATGCGGCCTGTCTATGCAGCATTGTCCTCTCAACATACCGTGTTCTCCACACTCGAGACTGAGTATGTCTGGGAAGCCGTGAGCGTAGTCTGTTGACTAGGTATCGGCAGCCTCGTCTTCGCAATCTGCACGCTACTTGTGGGGTACAGCGGCTTCGTGTTCGTCGCCGTGATCTTGGTCGGTGGTACGGGTTGCATGGGCGCGTACCGTGTCGGGCCCGTCTGCATTGTGTATTCCACGTTGTAGAGGTCGTCATTGGCAGTGTCCGTGGCCGCGGTGTCATCTTTGGCCGTGGTATCCTCGGCGGCAGGCCCTTTCGTATCCTTTACGGCGAGAGCAGCGTCCTTGACGACGGGATTGAGAATATTCTTGCCCGTCATGCCCGAGTAGGAGAAGCGGTCCGAGTAAGCAATGAGCTGACCACCAGTCTTTGCGACTGCAATCATCTTGACGAAGCTAAATCGCGCGGGTTAGTCTGTTGCGGCTGCCGAGTGAGTGAGAGGTCGTGGCCCGGACGTACTAAGCATTGGCACTCTTGAGGTCCTCTGAGATGGTTGTCTCGATGCGTCCTGAGGCTTGGTTGCCCGCAGTGAAAAGACCGCTCGGCGTAATCGTGGTTGCTACGAACTAGTCGCCATCTGATCAGCACATGACGCGCACGTAATGGTTTTCTCGTGTCGCAGCCCTTACCTGCTCGTCGCCTTTATTGCCCCCTACGATCAGCTGCAGCTGGTAGCTCTGCAATTCGGAGAGCTTAGGTCCTGTGTCGCCCTCGGTCCATTGCACTGCAATGGCGGTACCTGCCGTAAGCTGCGCTCCAGCGGCCGGCGATGTGAACTTGATGCCCGCATGTACGAGTGGTGATAGTGCGGCGACGAGTGCAGCGAAAGGCAATAGTATCCGTGTCATCATGTGCAGTTGTGATGAAAGCGAGCGACTGGGCAATGGCAATGGGGGTGGTGCGACCAAAGGCGTCGAATACACGAGGCTGCGGCGCTGGGCCTACTGTACTCTTTCGGGACGATCGAGGCTCGTGTGAAGCCGATAAGGTGAGTGATAGCGGCGGAGACGGGTAATACGCGGTGCGGGTGCGTGTTTAGTGCTAGAAGTGTGAAGGATGCAGTCTGGAATCATCAATCCAACATGTTGGCGCGCCAGGGGCACCATGATCTGCCGCCCAAGCTAGTCTGCGATTGGCAGGGATGAGCACTCATTCCATTGCCTGTCGCCTCAACACCATCTTAGTGACAGCACTGTTCTACCTAGCCGCCACAAATGCCCACCCCGGCTCCCAATGCCGTATATTATGCCTTTGAGCAGACACGGACAAGCCGCCTACTGCCCTGTTGGCCCCGATAATACACTCGAGACGGTACCCAATTGCCCAAATACCGGCTCTCCACGACCAACCGTCAAAACAAACTTCACACTTTCTCCATAGACGGATACATGGACTTTTCCGGTGATTAAGGAAACGGCCATGTATTCTGCCCGCTTTATTGTCCATATTTTGCTACCCAAACGCCATGCCATGCTCATGAGGGGGATATCCTGAATTCCAAACAAATGAGATGCTTTTCCCTTCACTTTGCCAATCTTTGACCCATTCAAACAGCCTGCGCATTTCGCACCTTTGCGCCACCCAGCTTCAGATTGAACGAAGTGGGTAGTCTGCATGTTAGTGTCGCTGCTTGTCCGGCCCTTTGCAGTTGTAGCGTCAAATCCTTGAGTTTCTCCGGAGTGAATATCTGCACGTCGAATGACAGCAAGAATTCTACACACAACTCAAGCCGGCTCAGAGCTGCCTCATCTACACCACCCACGGCCGCAAAGCGTTTCTGTGGCCACCGGTGATCTTCCAATGCCTTCATTGCGACAAGTGCACATGCCAGAATGAGCCGATGCATTGTGCGGTAAGTGAGTGGAACGCTTCTATCGACTACACATAGTCGCAACATGTACGAGCCAGCTGCTAGCCAGACACCGGTTGATAACGGACAGAATCTCTGGATGCGATTCATGTATTCTTCGACACCCACTTTCGGTACCGTCTTGGAGAAGAACTTTCTGGCCATGTTCGCTCGTTGCACGGACTCGGGCTGAGCTCCGGCACCAATGTCGTGTATAGTCACTGGCTCATCGTGGCCCGCTTCTGGTGGAGCTAGTTCAGTGGGCTGGTGGTTTTCCTTCTCGGCAGGAATAGGCGTTGCTGGCCTAGAGGATGTCCTTCGGTGGGCTCGAATGAGGTGGTTTTCCCGGCCACCTGGTGTTCCAGGCCGGGAGATTGGTGGAGTTGCTGGCACATCGCCAGCGGCGTTTGCTATGGCAATAATTGATCGGGCAATCAACTTCATTGCCGTTTCTCGTGACATGTTGAGAACATCGAGGTCCTCGTCGTTTGCTGGTGGTGATGGTGCGTCCTGAATACTGAGGCTGTTGAACTCGGGCAGTACGCCGGCATCTCCCGCAGGATTGGGTGCCGTGGGAGGATTCATTGTTGTTTGATTTTGAATGACCGGTGCAAGTACGAGTCGCCTCGGATGCACGGTCTTGAGTGGAGGGGCGGAAAGACACACTTGGATCATTTGAGCGTGTGAGACGATGTTGCCGAAGTTTACCGATATGCTTCACACGACGAAGGTATATCGCTGGGGGTTGCAGAGCTTGTATACGAGCTTTCTGGAGTGAATCAGCACCCAGGTCTGCAGCCATGTCGGACATGTGCTTACATACAAGTGGAAGTAACGATCAGCTGGGTTAGCGTGGTGACTAGAGGGGTTCGTCTTGGTATGTGGATACAATTAGGTGATGGTGGTCGGTATCGATGATTGGCTGGTATGTAGACGGTGGTACGTATGTGAATGTGTAGATGGCCAACAAGTTTGAGGAGGTAAACGGGCGGGAAGGATTGAATGTCGAGTAGCGCTGGTGGGCGGCAGTATTAAAGACAGAATGCACGATAGCTCGGGAAGAGGCGTCGTATGTGAGGTCAAGTGACGCTAGGAAGGTTTCGTCTGGTCTTGAACAAGCTGGTCCGAACTGTAATCCACGCGCGTTTCCGTAGCTTGGTGCCGTCGTGTATAAACGGCGGCCATGGATTCGTAGCGTGGAGTGCTTGATTAGCAGCAGCAGCAGCAGCAGCAGCAGCAGCAGCAGCAGCAGCGGCCAGTGCGCACCGGCAGGTTGGTACGAGGCGCTCCGTGTAAAGAGCAGTGCGGCGATGGATCACGATGAGAAGGTACGTGGAGGGCTGGCAGGCGTCGAGCTTGAGATGTGAGGCCGCAGAGCGGGTCTCGTGGGATGCAAGGGCTAGATTGCTAGATTTCTGGCCCACCGGGCCGTGACTGTACAGGCAGAAGACGCGCAGCCCAGGTACTGTAATGGCCTACTCGCCTACATGAAGTTGTCGGGTGGCGGCGAAACAAGGCAGCGATGCAGCAGAGATGTGCAACAGATGGTTCGTCGACGAGGTGATTGGCGCAGCATTGGCCTCGAAAGACAAGAAGCAACGGGCGATGAGCGATGAGCGATGAGCGATGGGCACATGCATCAGTCAGTCCTGTGTCGTTTGCACGGCTGCGGAGTCGGTTCCGAATGAGTGCTCGAGTATTGCGGGGCACATGTCCAGCACTGCAGGGTCCAGCAGGGAATTCAGCCATGTCATGTGAGCTGGCAGAGCAAATCAATGTATTGATCATTGATGACATTAATCGCACCAGCCAAATGCTGGCAGAGTACCCGAGAAATCGAGTGCAGGCCGTGAGTCTTTGCTGATACTATCATGGTCGCACCTTGGCCGCCGCAGCCACGCTCGCTGCCAGGCCATTGTCGCCAGCGTGACCCGCCTGTCTCACCCCCTCCAGGTGTCGTTGGCTGTGGGATACGGATGGCAATAGTCGCCCAGCCCACCCTCATCGTATTAGGCAGCTACAACCCAACCCAACCCAAGCCATTACACACCCTCACAATCATGACAGCCACATGCAGATCCACCACCACCACTACTACTACCGTCTCTGCCTGCATCGCGGCACCGGCTCGCTATAGTACCAGCACTATATCACTACTTCCAGATGCACACTGAGATGCACCTCCACGTGTTCGCGCTGCCGAGGCCACACCATGGCCATTACACTGGTCTGCCATAGCCAACTTGTCCATAGCCGGCCCGCCCGCTGCTGTCCGCTCGACACATGTCAGACACCTTCCCGCTGCCACTGCCACCGACGAGCAAACACCCGAACCACACATGAGCCCTTCCTGTCTTAGCGTCAAAACTGTCTTGGCCTTGATTCTAGTCCGCTTGCCACGCACGGCTTCTTCACCAAGCGTCGGCCTGTCTGGTCTTAGCTTTCTTCACTTACTCCTCTTTATTATCAGTCTTTGAGCCAGACTTCTGTTTAAGTTACCATCTTGAACCGTCATCATGTCTCACTTCTGACTACTCCTCGTTCCCGCCACCACCCTCCACACTACGAAGCGCCAGGTACCCCTCCCCTCCCTCCGCTCGGCCGTCTGCTCAGCCACCAAAATCCGATGACTCGATCAAGTCCGCAAAGGCCACAGTGCATGTAGCACCGTCGTCCCAACAATGTCTATACCTTCGTAGCGCACTTGCTTTCCCTATTCGACAACGTCACCGTACATGCATAGTTTCATCGACAGCAAGGGTACATGCAAGTAATCGCAACTGCACACGCTTGATCTGGCAAACACTCCGATCGCTTATTCCCTCAACTTCAGATCAAGCCAGTCATGGTTTTTTCTTGCACATTGCCAAGTGAGAGAACCGTGAGCACGATCCATCATCCCGATACGGAATATGGTGTACCGCGCCTTGCTGGTCACGTCCCCACACTACGAATAGTCTCGCATGAACAAGCCGTATTCCTTATTACTGCACCAACAGTCGCATGGTGATCCAATATGACTTGATATCCCCTAGATTTTGCTCCCACTACACTATATCAAAGCAAATCCTGTGGCGATTATTAGTTATACATGATGTACATCTGGCGAAAAATAAACCCGATCCAGCCCTACAGAGAACCTACACTACTCACGAGCGCCGCTCCTCGACCCATTCGTATGAAACTATTGTCCCGTCCTTGAATGCCAAAGGAGGTACCCGCGAAATACGGTCGTTTGGGAGAAAGTATGGCAGGAAAGAGCACATGCCGTTCATGCGGCCGAGAGCAATTTCTCGCTTGAGCCACGTGCGACGTGGACTTCAACTTTCGAGCTGAGCTGTAGACGATATTAGACACATTTCTCAACTTGAATAGTATACGCGTTTGCACAAAAGTGAAGTTTGTCAGTGCAAAATCAAGCAGCATATATAGCCTGCTGTCGCATCTATACCTGACTCACTCTAGCCCTCTTCCGAGTACTTCCAGGGACCACACTTGGTCCACTGCGAGTGGGCGTGTCATCTGCAGTACGTTTCTTCTCTTGCTGATCCAGTACTAACTGCAGTACGTCATACGAGAATTGTGGAAATTCGAGACACATGGCCTTGAACTCCGGCTCTGCGTCGTGACGCAGGCTGAAACTGCGCGTCGCCCAGAAAGCAGCGACGGGTTTGCGGATTGTCGCATCCTCTGGGTTGGACTCCTTGTAGACGTAACGCGCATACGCGAGCTCTCCCTTTGCCGTTGAGGCTGTGCGGTGAATCTTGGAGTGTGCGAGGGATCTGAGCTCGGGAAGCTGCAGACGGTCGGCAAGGGTATATATGCGCGCGTGAACGAGGAGGCCGAGACCCTCGTTGTCAGCCAAAGGTTGACGAGGGTCCTTTTCGAGAGGCGCATCGCGTGCAGCTGAAGTCCTCTTTGGGAAGTACTCGCCCGTGTAGAGATATTCGATAACGGATCCCATGGCATCCACATCGCAGTCTGTGTAGATGACCTGGCGTGGCTAGAGAGTGTCAGTGAGCGGAACGAATATAGATCGCAGGGCTCGAACATACTCCCCCCGGCGCAAAGTTCACAACTTGTTTGGCAAACTCTGGCGATTTGACTAGAACTGCCTCATGTGCTGAGTAGGTGGTACGAGCCTCGCCTGATCCAACCACGACCTCGACGACCGGACTCTTCATCAGACTAGTCGCACGTCAGCCGCAAGTCCACTATAGGTGTCGCAGAAATGCATCGAACTACGGTGTCATCATGGCAGGGTAAGAGCTCAGTCGGCGAACGTCGCGCGTGCATCCCATTGCGCCAAATTGCCCCTCTACCGTTGCTCCATCTTTCAGATCATAACGAATTTTCACATGTGCACACGGCACTTACTCTGCGAAGAGGACAAGTTTGGGTGTCTCAGGCTCAATCTCAGGTAAGACGCTCTCCTCGCCTGCGCCCGCTCCAGCTCCAGCATCACCAGAGCCCTCCATCTCTACATCTTCGACTGGTGTCTCAACCGGAGTTTGCTGCTCGATATCCGCCATAGCGACTGTGGTTCCGCGCTTCTAGATGACGACAGGATGTACGCGGAAACGAGTGAGACTTTATCCAAAGCGAGTTATCCAAAGCGAGGTGAAGCTACGAAGAACGATTGACTTTCGCGTTCTATGATGGAATGAACGCGCAAAAGGGCAAAGTGAATGAGGGGCTGCAATTTAATGCGACTAGGCGTCTGATACCAGGAGGGCTGACCAGCATAATGCTGAGCGATGGTTGGAGGTAGCTGGGAGTCGTGGGAGCTCGGACGAGACTCTGGTAGCTCCGTCGCGTTCACATGCGCTAACGCAGGAACAGGTCTTGGCGCGACTGACAACTCTTTTGAGCTACAGAGGCACCCGGATGTCATAAGATACTTGACATACTAGTTCACAAGGGCCACTGTAGCCGCCAGACACGCCTATTAGGTGTTTCCCACGCTGTCAAGTTTTTTATGACACCCGGGTTGAGGATTCTAGGCAGCATAGAGGTTCCGTGAAAAGGTACTTGAGGGAACTGGAATAATAATAGATGGATTGAAAGCTCGTTTCGCCATTAGTTACTCGATCGCGATACAGACGCGCTGTCTTGATCAACGCTACCCAGAATGCCATGCTCCGTGAAATGCTAACGTGTATATAGAGTGGAGCCGTAAGAAGGCATAAGTCGAAAACCAAACGGTAAGAAAATCTTCATCTTGCTACAGTCGACCACCCTTTTCGTGGAATCGTTCGCCAGTCGTCGGCACTGGTTTGTCCGCTCGAATGACATACAACAGAAGATCCTCTAGCGGAATAAAGACGTAAAAGACCTTGTTGCACATGAAAGATAGGAAGACGAAGCATGTGGCGACTAGCGCATCCATAAAGTAATGGTTGGCTGTAGCGACGATGACCGTCAGAATAAACGATGGGTACCCGACACCGAGTATGAAATAGAAGATCTTCCAGAAAGCGTTTTTGCGGACTTCTCCCTGCTCCAGGGTTCGGCGAAAGAGGCCTGAATGATAGATCATTGTCATACCAATGCAAAAGGAGTAACCAAAATGCATCGAGGGCATGGCGGCAAGCTGGTTGACGAATTTGCCGCTCATCCATACGCTCTGTGCATCATCGTGGCGGACTGTATCGAGAAAGCCGTATTCGGAAGGTAAAAGACGAGGTGGCATGCACGGGTATACGACGAAGGTCATGAAGGCGCAAAAGTTGGTAAGGGTGAGCGTGCGACGGGCGATGGCAAATGTGTCGAAAGAGGGCGCCACATAATAGTACCAGCAAATGAAGCTGTATGAGATTAGTATTGATGATGTTGTTCATTTGTTGACAGTATCCTTACCCCACCGTTCCAGGAATGTGGATCAGCGCATAGCACTTATTCAGCACAGTAAGCGCATCCTGGTGTCCATGCATGAACCATTGTTGCACATCTTTTTCTCTGAGAGGGAACAAGAAGCTCAACAAGCCATTCTGTTCGGCCTCGAGCACGGCAATTCCATGTTCTTGTGCCACGTCCCATATCCCTCGCCCAGCAAAGAGCTTAGCGGACGCAATTGAGGTCATCCGGTAGAAGGCATAGTTGATAATCCAGTAGAACATTTCGATCAAGAATGGGAAGCGCTGCAGTATGCGGCTGTGTACATTGTTCCGGAACCGCCAGGTGCTGGGTGTCGTGACCTTGCAGCAGCATAGGCTTCGAACTTTTGGCCCATTTGGATTCTTAGTTGCGTAAACTTCATCGTATTCGCTGTCGCTGTCGGATTGTATAAGACGGTCGGTGGACTCCCTTGGGGCGTGGTCGAGGTAACCCTCACGTTGCGATGATGAGCCGAAGATCTTGAAGTCTCGTTTGCGTGTGATAAACATGGCGAAGAATAATATGCTGGCGACCATCTGCGCGACAGCTGTTAGCATACAAAACAATACACGCACACATATTTCCGAGGGGCTCTCGTCGACGCACAACTGGTTCGCACCAGCCAGGAAGCTTCCAGGCTGGTTTACTGTTCCATTGGCCATTGTCCGGTAGTGTCATGTTTGCCATATAATGTCGCGTGCGCGCAAACGAGGCGCACTATGTTCTGTCGAAAGAAGTGTCCAGGTACTAATACATGCAGACTCCTGGATGATTTGTCCAACGGTAGTTGCAGTCGATTCCACTCAGCCCTGAGTGAAGGCGCGGGCCGTAAAGTCGAAGTCGAAATATCGTGTAACGTGAGAAGCGACAAAGGAGTGACGAGAGACGAAGGAGGGGGAGGATTCGATCAGATCAGACTAGGTAGATGGCTGACGGACGATCGATTGCTTCACCCTATGATAATGCTTGCCCAGAAGTCTGCGTGGAAGCCGGGTCACCGGCAAAGGAGCAGGGAGGTCCAGCTTGTTGCACTGAGCAGCGACCCAAGCGTGCGTTGCGTATCAGAGTCCCACTTTTCCCGGCCGTAGTGTCAAGCATCAGCGGTGCGCGGCGGCGCGCGAAGCAAAAAATCGCTGGTGCACAAGCTTCTACACTTGTGATGCCCAATCCCAATGGGCAGTTGGCGTCGTTGTGATGGACAGGTTGACAAGGTCGCGTGCTCACTTTCTCTTTCATGTGCCCGCGACTACCGCGGAGCATCGCCAACGCCACGAATCGCACCTTTGGACAGGAAAGTTAAAAGCGATTCGTGACGTCAAACATGCCATTCCTCCCGCCCGTCGCGCGGTTAGACCGAATACGAGAGTACGAGAGGAAGCCGCAGCAGCAGGTATGTGTAGGAGATTATGGCGGTGGCATAGCTCGCCTGAAGCTCGTCTTATTTCCATTGGCTAGGACTTCATCTTCTGACACGTCCATGCTGTCGAGCTGCTTAGCCTTCCTCTACAACGGCAACTTCTGCCATCTTCTTCTATGATATCCTTCATCTCGTCCTGTACCAAACACATTCTGGCTGCACAGGCAGTCCGGATCTCTGTGTTAGCCGGCCTCGGCGTCTGAAGCAACCGCGCCGAAACCCCTGAGGAAGCTGGCCCGACTACCTTTTTCCAAAACCTTGGCAGTGATTTCTTGGCTTCATTAAAATGTTCTTGGCATGCCGATGTAGTAAGGCGCGGGTAATTTCGTTATAATAAGCACAGTGACAGTCTTAATCTCCGGCCATTCTCCCTTCCCGACTCCGGGGCCGACTGCGACTATCCCTTCAGCCCTAGGCGATAGCCGAGAACCGTGTACGGCTCCTACTGTACAGCCCCCACGATGCCAGGAAGTTTCCTCCCGGCGCCTACGTACAATACCTTGTGTTGACATGCAATGCAGGTACAACATATCATACACAGGACTGAAACAAACGTGGCTGTTTTCAAACATTGTGTTTTATAAAGCAGAGCAAGAGATATGTCCCGGTCTGGCGTCAAGACAGGAGAAAAATTAAAGGTGATTTGGATGGCAATGTGTTCCTGATGTTTAGTATACATGTACACTTTCACCGTTGTTCTCTGTAGCCTCTCTGTGCTACCGCTTTGTCAACGTCTTCTGTGCATTTGCATCATCCCTCATCTCTTGCTTGATCCTGCTAATTGTGCCCGCGCCTCCATAGATCATGGCGGTATACACCTGTGCCACACTCGCTCCCGCGTCTAGGATCTCTCTGGCTTGACGGCCATTTGTAATGCCACCTGTTGCGAAAATAACCTTGCGAGGAGCATCTGGCGCCGGTGCAGCCTTGGGTGTGGCTTGCAAGGTAATCTTAGGCGCGGACTCCGAAATGTCATCGATGTTGGAAGATAGCGGTTTGGGGGATGGTTGATCGAGATCTAGAGTGGCCTTCGTCTTAGAGCTTTGTGATGAGGATAAAGGCTCGAGCTTCTCTACGATACTTGGGGACGGCTCGTCACCTGTACTTTGGCCGGTGACGGATTTAGAGTCTTGTGGCGACACATGCTTAGGGCCCTCGTCAAGTGCTTTCCGGTACTTGCTCACAAGTGCCAATGTGCGTTCGAACATCTGTGGGCCTGAGTATCCACCTTGCTCGAGGAGGAGCTTGGCCTCGGATTCCGGTAGTAAGTAGCCCTTTGGCAACGGGTCTGGCCGCTTTTTCGTCGTGTTGCCGACAATGACACCATCCACGCCTGAATCCCACACAGCTTCACAAATGCCTGCGATTTGTGATTCCGAGTCCTCATCTGGGCTAACCTTGACCATGACAGCGGGCTTGGTCTTGCGATCAATCTTCTTAACAGCACTGACTACACCTGAGAGAAGTCGTGTCAAAGGCTCGACATTTTGGAGGGTACGGAGGCCTGGGGTGTTGGGCGAGGAGACGTTGACCACCAGTATATCTGCATACTTTCCAACATAGCCTACCGCAGTGGCATAGTCGCGTACTACAGCATCAATGTCATTCTCCGATGTCGTCTTGTTCTTTGCAACTTGCACAGCCATAAGCCGTCCTTTCAGTAGCGATCCTGGAGGTACACCTGCCTCGCCATCCAGCACTCGTCGTTCCGCATCCTCATCCAGCCCAAGCCCAATACGGTATGCAAACTCTCTCACGCGTTGCCGTAGCCTTGAAGCCACTAGCTCTGCGCCCTCCGAGTTGAAGCCATAGCGGTTGATAAGGGCGTTCTGACTTGGTAACCTAAAAACGCGGGGCTTTGGGTTACCTTCCTGCGGTAGCAATGTGACAGCTCCAACCTCTACAACACCAGCTCCCAGCTCGAACAGTGGTGTTGGTATCTCGGCGCCCTTGTCGATGCCAGCAGATGTTCCAATTGGATTGTTCAGAGTGTGCCCAAAGACCTCAACAGCCAGGTCGCCTTGTGTATCCGCTATTCCACGTTCTCTGGGGTTCATGCCGAAGCTGTGCAGCACTTTGAGCATGCGAGTGCCAGCATGATGTGCCTCTTCGCCGTCTGGGTATATATGTCGTAGTGCAGGTACAACGAGCCATTCGTGGATGCTGGCGCGGGTATCGGTTGCGTACAAGTAGCCAAAGGTGCCACCCACAGCCAAAACGGTACCGTAGATGAGATTCTTCGTGCGTGTGCCTGCAGATCGAACATTTGTCGCGGCTTCGGTTGCCGTCGCAGCATATCTCCTGGGTTGCTGTATATGGCGAGGGGATAGCTGCGAGCGTATGATTGAGGGCCGTACGCGTAACGCACGCATATTTGCGGCAGGTATCATTACGACGAACGTGGTTCAGAAGCCCATGTGACGTTCAATGGCTGTGCGGATTCTCCGTGTTGAGGGTAAAGCTGCCGAGTTTGAGCCGGCGAATGACGTGGGCTTGGCAAAAGCATAGTCTCCCAGACTGGGTTGCAACTACCACACATCAAGTTATACTCTTCACAAATGTCACCATCTACAATCTACTCCTGGTTTCATGAAGAATACTGCACAGTTCATGTAAAAGCCAGCTGACATCTAATCATGAAGCCGTCACCCAGGTGTGCCGCAAAGCTTGTCATGGCATACCACAGTCAATTCTCCATGTCTGGTAAAGAAAGTAGAACAAGACATGTACTAAGCCGATCATTAATGGCTTTACTCCTCTGATCATACGTACAATGCTACATTTCCCACCTTCTCATACAGATCATCCAGCTCCTTCCCATACAAATCCAACATGGCTCTCTTCTGCACTGTGCCTTTTGGCGTCTTGAGAAACGGCTCTTTCGTAACCAGTACCATATGCTTTTCCACGCGTGCATAGGTGGGTGAGTCCTGGTTGACTTCCTCAGTCACTTTCCAAACATCTTCCAGCTTCACTCCAGGCTCAAGCCTCAGGATCAGCGCAGCTTTTGGTCTCCGCGTTCCCACCATCATTACCTCCACAACGCCAGCATGACTGGCAATCCTCTCTTCCGCAACTGTGGGGAAGAAATTCTCGTTGGTGATAAAAGTGAGCATGTCGTCAGCACGACCGTGATGTAACCATAAGCTAGCATCCTGGGGGTGTTGAGCGTACAGATCACCGGTTCGCCTCTCTTTCGCCTCAGTGAAGAACTTGAATATAGGCTGGATATGTCCCTTCCACTCTACTCCGTCATTTCGAGTTATGACAGCTTCGTACAGTACTGTGTCATCTGTAGACTTGGAGACAGGGTCGAAGCGGAGATTGAATGCTGGATGCGGCGCTGCATACCCCGCCGAATCGTCCTTGGGTGGAGCACCAATAGGTAGGACACAAGGCCACATACCCTGTTCTGTAGAGGCCATGATGTTCATCACTTTCATCGTGGCTGTTACCGCATTCGTAGCTGCTCGGCTGACACTGCCACCACCCCAGCCTATGTGACTAGCACGCTTGCTTAGTGACAAGACATCTTCCGGGTGTTTACCAAGATGTTCGGCACAAGGTGGTCCAATCATTACGGTGTCCACTACAATGTCTTCATCTTCGGCATCTCGCGCTGCCAGTACGTCTAGTGCTGCCAACGCACCTTGCACGCCCTCGGCTGGTGTGGTGAACAATGGCGAGTACACGGGCACGACTCCAAGTTGTAGAGGGAGAAATATCATTCCAAACATTCCACTAGCATGAAACGGAGGAAACTGGAAGAAAGCCCTCATTTTCTTGCAATTACGCAACCCATAGAGTGGCTGCTCTTGGATTTCGTAGCCTGGTGGTGGGTCGAGATACATGGTCTGCACCGCGCTATTTGCCCAGTCATGTGTCCAGACAATAGGCTTAGGGAATCCGGTAGTGCCAGATGTGTCTGTTACACAATGTCAGGTATATTAAGGAGTGCGGAAAAGGGTGAGTACTCACGAAGACAGACAAAAGGTTCATGCTTGTACTGCTCAAACTCCTTCGTGTACGGATACCGCTCAGTCACTGTGGAGAGTAACCAATCCACCGCTGGTACCTTCAACGCTTTCATCTCTTTTATCTTTAGCACCTCATCTACTACCGGCACATTGGATTCCGGCATGAGCATGACCTTTGCATCTACGCTCTCAATGAGCTTGACCAGCGCCTGGGCACCGTACCGTGGAGAAGGGAATAGCATCTATACCGCTTCCTGTTAGCCCATTTGACACTAGAAGAGTATAGCGACTTTTACTTTATACCCACACATTATGCTTCCTAGACACAGTACCACATATCTTATGTCATTTGGTCCAATATATACCAACGTTTCTTTACCAATCTTGTCGACATCCTCCAATTTCCCCACATTCTGCTCTATCCACCATGCCACAGCATGAACAGCGTTGGCAACCTCTACAAAAGTAATCGCACGATATCCCTCACTTATGTTGAGGGGATTGCGGGGAAACTCAGCATAGGTGATTTGTGGGTACTTCTCGGCAATGTTGAACAGATTATGTGGAAGGAGTTGGTTTGTGACCTTAGGCCAGGGTGAAGGTCGCGCTGTCATTGTGCGGCTTGGGGCGTCTTTGACTCGGAGTATGGAGTGATGCGAGCCGAGGGTTGCGTGGTTTGAACAGGTAGAAGAGAGAATGTGGGGAGACGATGATTCTTGCTCCGCTTCCGCGTGACGCGTAGTCATAACCAAAGCTAACATCGTCTCACGCCATCAGAGCGTACCATACTACCATTACATATCGTGCTTATGTCAAGGTTTAGACGGACCTAATACATTGCTGACGTGATACAGTGCGCTGATATTGACCTGTCGGAAGATCTTCCACCGCGTACTGCATGCGGAAAAAGCAGCTAAGTACCTACTAGACCAGTTCTAGAACATGTGGATACATTGCGTACGACGGACTCCCCTGCAGAAATGGACTACAGCCCAAGAACTAACCCTGAACACATATACACAAGACCGAATTGCTCAACATCCAGAAACTTCAACCGGTGAACGCTGCCTTGGGGTCATGCCTTGTAAGCCACCAAACAGATCCGTAATAATATCTAAGAATACGCAATCGCCCCGGAAAGAGCTTATACCCAGAAGGAAGAGCAAGGGAAAGCCCTGAATGCCTCATACGAACCCATATCCGGTCAAATCCTCGTCATGAATTAAGCAAATCTGGGATCAAATGGCCGACAACGCCGTCTGAAAAGGACATGAGGGTGTCTATACAAAAGATCCGATTCATATTGAAGATAGATGCGCCCATTTCGCATCTGTGTCCGCCTCGTCGTTCTCACTGGTACTTGGTCAGTAAACGCGCTCGATAATTCTGGCTCCGGCCGCAAAACTCTAACACACATACCTACCAAAACGCATGCACAAGAGCGGACTAATGAATCCGCAAACCTACCACTCATACACCCACCCACTATTAGCGGTCATGAACTCCTCGCAGGCCTCTTTGAGTGCAATGTTTGGTCGCAGGTCGTTGATGGTGAGTGTTTCCCTCGTCAGAGGGTCCGTTGGACTGCGCTTCAGGTGCTCGATCAGTGTCGCACGCTCATAAGATCGACCGTTCTTGGTGACGACCGGGTCATGCATGATCTCAAAGGTAATACCGTCGACAAGGTAGTCTGGCACTTCGCGCTTCTGCTGGTGTTCGGGGTCTGAAATGGCAAAGGCTGTACGAAGGTCGTCGCGCTTCTTTTTGAACTCGGATTCTCTTTCTGTCTTCTCTTCTTGGCCGTCTGATCTACTCGTCTCGCCCGACTCTATGCGCGCTTCTATATCATCCATATCCTTCTTATACTGTGTTTCCAGCATGGCCTCGAGATCTGAAAGAAGGTCTCCGCGCCGCCGTATGCGTTCTCGCTCGCGTATGTCCCATTTTGCTTTCTTGCATTTGAGTACAAGGGCGGATATTGTGGCAGCGTTAGAGGTTTGCTGCGCCGAGGTGGTGCACAATTCGTAGGCCATAAGCGCCGAGGAAAGGGCCTCATTGGGGTGGTTAATTGCTAGTTGGGCCTGTGCTATCATGATCTTAGCGTTGCTGCCATGCGTGCGGAATTCACACAGTCATGATGCTGCGATCATGCATGGGTGGGAATGTGCGGCCTACCAAGATAGAAGAAGGCCTTCATATTATCCTTCAGTAATTCAATACTTCGTATACAATCATCAATAACGCCCTCCCATTTCTCCAACTTCAGCCTCGCATTTGCACGATTCGTAAACAACAGAGGGTTCGCCGAGTTCTTCTGTATCGCCTGCGAGTATAACCCCTCAGCTCCATCGTAGTCGCCATTCTTGAAGCACTTGTTTCCCGCATTTTTAAGCTGCTCGGCGGCATACTCGTTGCCTGGCGGAGGCATGTCTGCTCAGGCGGTGGAGGAACTGAGGAATAGTCGGAAGTGAGAGCGGAGTTTGGCTTCGGTGATTGGTAGGCACTGGGGGGTGGGGCACCTTTTGTTTACGCCTCGGTATAGAAGCTTCGAGACGCCGAAGGAGAAGGATGATGAGGTGAGCAGGCCGAAGACTCCGGAAATCATACGATGATGCAGAGGTCAAGCAGGCGCTTCTAGTGTTAATGTCAAATTTACATCACACGTTGTTTTATCTTTGACTGTAGGATCAAGGCGTGTTCGACTCAGCGACAGCACAGCCACACTGTGATGACATAAGCACGCCACTGAGCATTGCATCTGAAGGACAAAGGAGACGCGAGATACGAGGCTTTGATGGATCAAACCGTGCATGGTATCTAGTAAAGCTGTATGCTATGTTGATGGTTTCGAGAAATAGTCATGGTACATACAACCGGAACGCCATCATATCCGATAACCCAATGTAAACAAGGGCGAGCAGCCGGGTACAGGAGTGTTGCTAGTCCTTCGCGCTGTGATTCTCTGCGGTTGCTTCTTCATATTCATCAGGCTTGACTACATGCGACTCCTTTTCATCTTCACCCTTGGAATCCCTCCTATCCTCCTTGTACAGATTTGGGTAACTTCTCAGACGCCGGAGTTCGCCTCCGCCATCTATTCTGTGTCGACTAGGCGGTGCGCTTCTTTTCCTATACCTTTTCACATCTTCCTCATTGTCCAGAAATGCATCCTCGTATTCCAGGATCGGACTCCTAGTCCTGCACCTGCTGCTGCTCCTGTTGCGCGCCCTCCCTCTGAAAGTGTGATCAGGCTCTGCGTCGCTGCGTCGTCTAGTCTTCTTCTGCACAGACGTGGGTGGGGATATGGAAGAAGATGTTGGGGAAGAAGGGCGGTGGTGCTTCCGATGGTGGACTCGATACCGCGATCCGCTGTGACGGTCGTGGCCGCGAGAGGGAGAGGACGCACGACGCGGAGAGTGCTGCGAAGACTGCCTGCGTCGCTTGAGGCGGCCACGCTCTTGCGCATCTGCATCTGTGTCTATATTCGCTTCCATCATCTCTGCGGTATCGACTGTAGATGTTTCGCCTAGCGAAGGCTCAATCGGCAAGTCAGCCATGGCGTCTGCAGGCATTTGGTATATGAAGAGGTTGTTCACGCCGCTGCTCAGCTGTAAAGAGTGAAGTATAAAGCGCTTGAGGCCAGGAGACGTGAGTACATCAGAGCAGCACCGATTGAGGGGTGCATTAGTCTTGTGCCTGGTGCAGACGGACCGTTCGCTCACAACGGGGGTTGTCTAGGCGTACGTGTGAGTACCGTGTTCCAGGCATGACAGACAAGAGGCGTAGAGCACCTGCGACGTCATTAGCCTAATTCGGGTATACGCTAGCTGTCGCAGAAACACTCCTTGTAAGTATAGTTCTTCATCACATGTCTACCTAGCTAACCTTCTATTTCTAGTTTAGTACCTACTTATACGATTTCTCGTATTAAGACATCATAAAGTCGACTAACACGAGGACACGTGATACCTCGCCGTTTCGGAACTTATTACGATCCGTTCCGGTTGACTATACAGGTACTAATCGCAATCATGGTTAACGCGAGAGGAAGGACCGAATAGTTCTATACTATTTGTAAGCTTAGCCGTGTTTTTTTTGAGCGCGCGAACTGTGAAGTTTGTAGTACATTTGTAAGCTTGTTATGGCAGATGATGTGTAAGAAGTCGGGGTGGGAGAAATGATACTTAAGTACTCAAGTAGAGCGTCTCTTGATACATATCTCCGAGACGAAACAATCGAGACATTCAAGCTTTCGTCATTAATATCATCATTCCAATTCAACCATGGCCGCAAGATTCAGAGTTGCCGTAGTTGGTGCGACTGGAGAGATAGGTCGATCGGTCATGGACGGTTTACTTAGTAATCCCGAACAGTTTGTACGTTATTCAATCGGACTCTAGAATACCCTAGAAGTCGTGCATCCTCGTTAAAATTATGGTCAGAAATATAACCCCGTCTCACAGGAAGTTTTCGCCCTGGTCCGCCCAGCCTCTGTGAATAAACTCATTCTTAGCACCTTCACCGCTCGGGGTGCAATCGTGACACCCACCGACTTTGGCGCAACCGATTCCCTCGCCATAGCTCTTACTGGCATACACATCGTCATCTCGTGCCTAACTCTGCTGCAGCAGAAGGAAGAGATTACTCTTATCGAGGCCTCTAGTAAGGCCAAGGTTCATCGCTATGTTCCTAGTTTCTTCGGCCCGGTGTGTCCACCAAGAGGTGTGATGATGCTTAGGGAAAGGGTATGTATCAATACATCTCCGGGCTGCTATGTGGCTTGTTTCTCTCGCTTGTTATTCCGCTCAATCAGTCATACAAACCTCGAACTAGATCGCTGACGTTATCGTCACTATGTGATGAGTAGAAAGAGGACACACTTGATTGCATCAAGCGCCTTTACCTCCCTTACACAGTCATCGATGTTGGTTGGTTGTACCAACTGAGTCTCCCGCAACTGCCTTCAGGCCGCATACAGACCAAGGCAGAGTATTCGTTGAACGATTTCGTGGGCGATGGTGACGTGCCCATTGCGCTCGTGGATATACGCGATATCGGCAAGTATGTTGCGCGGATCGTTGCGGACCCGCAGACGCTGAATAAGATGGTTTTTGCCCATGGGGAAACCTGGACGCAGAGCCAAATTTTTGATACGCTTGAGGAAAAGTCTGGCGAAAATATTGCCAGGAAGAATGTAAGTCGTTTGACTCTTATCTATTGCGCTCTTTTGTGGTATCATGCTGGTTCGATTGTCCGATTACTGACAAGGATGTTAGTTGAGCAAACAAGACGCTGACACCATCATCTCGGACGTATACAAAAGCTTCCGAACAAATCCCACAGGTATGGAGGCAGTGGCTAGTCTAGCTCTCATACAGTACAGGGTTTGTCTCGGCATACGTGGGGATAATACAGTCGAGCATGCGAAGTATCTAGGGTATTTGGTAGGCAAAGAATTGTATCCTGATGTGGAGGTTGTAGGGTTAAAGATGTTCATGACAGAGATGTTGGAGGGAAGGGTAAGAGCTATATATTCAGCGGCTTAAGAGACTCTCAGAATCGCGGATACGCGAGCGAGCGAGCAGACCTATTTTGTATCAGTAAATTCAAATCAAGGATCTTTAGTTGCAAATACTCAATATACTAGTTGAGGCGCTTGAATACTAATAACGACGTTTGGGCCACAGAGCGTCTGCCATCTTCACAACCTGTGACATCTCTTCAACGTCGTGTACTCTCACAATATCAGCACCACCCTGAATAGCCGCTGAAACCGTTACTGCGGTACCCCAGGTCCTCTTGTGAGCATCCTTCACTCCTGTAATCTTTCCGATAAATGTTTTTCGGCTGGTCCCTACCAACCACGGCATGCCTTCTAGACCAGGATATCTCATTAACTTATCCTGATGTCGAAGCAGCTCAAGATTTTGGTCCAATGTCTTCGCAAAGCCAATGCCAGGGTCGAGAATGATGCGCCAGCGTCTTACACCTGCTTCTTCTGCAGCACGGACACGCTCGAATAGTTCTCGACCAACAGTCTCTACGATTCCATCGGGATAAGACGTCATTTCCGGGGTGTTCATAGTCTCCGGTGTTCCACGCATGTGCATAAGACAGACTGTGCAGCCCAATTTGGCCATGGTAGGTAGCATCGTATCGTCCATGGTTCCTGCACTGACGTCGTTGATCAAATGTGCACCGGCTTTGATGGCTTTCTCGGCAACAAGCCCGTGATACGTGTCGACACTGATTGCTGTTTCGGCAGCCTCGGGTATTCCACGCATCATTTTTACAGCGGGGAGGACGCGTGCTAGTTCTTCTTCAGCCGATACCTGTATGGCGCCCGGTCGAGTAGATTGTCCACCAAAGTCAATGATGGTGGCTCCAGCTTCGATTCGCTCTTGTATCGTCTTTGCTAGTAGCTCGCTTCCTCGATTGTAAATCTGACCGCCATCTGAGAACGAGTCGGGAGTGATATTCAAGATGGCCATGAGCCGTGTATTGAGCGGAATGCGCGCAGATGAGATTGGCGAGAGGTCAGATGCGAGTGGCACCAGCCGCACTAATTGCTCTTCTGATGGTGGTAGTTTTCTGAGATAGTCCTGGATCGGTACCTTGAATGGGGAGTTTTGTTGTTGGTCCTCTGTTATAAGCCTACGATCTATTAGCATCCGCGCGGAACATATGTAATTTACATACTCGCAAAGCGGGCGCAGGACAAATTCTCTCTCCAACATGAGCTTGTGAGGAATCTGTAGCCTCTCATCCGAGTAAGAAATATCATCGTAGAGTAAGATGTCCAGATCGACGTTCCTGGGCCCCTTGTCAACCAGCTTGACGCGACCCATCTTCTGCTCAATCATCTGCAGCTCGTCCAAGAGTTGGATAGGTGACAGTGGAGTAGCGATCTCATTGAGTCAGCACACGTGGTTCGGCTGAGATACGGCGAGCCATACCTCGCAAGCACCGTTCACAAAATCGTCCTGGTCTAAGACATACATTGCCTTGCTCTCCCATAGACTACTTGTGCGCACGATGTGCATTTTTCCAGTGGATTCGATTTCTTTGCATGCTTGTTCAATCATGGCAACCCTGTCTCCCAAGTTGCTTCCCAATGCAATGAATGCACGGTGTAGTTTTGCAGTTGTGTCATGATGATAGTGGGCACGATACATCCGAAAAGTCTGCACTGCAGTCTGTAATTGATGCTTGCCGCTCGCTACATGGGTCTTGATGGCAGACACATGTGGGCGATATTTGTGTGATGACTGGAACACGGCGAAGGCCCGGCTTTGTGGTCTGCTCCAAGAAGTACATGGGAACCTAAACGACCTCTGTCCAGGCGCTGATATGCTTCTCGAGCCCGCAAAGCGCGACGCGTTCACTCTCAAGCTCGCTATACAAGTCGACATGGTGAATTAGTGAACTGACTGACATGTGATGCGGGCTGAAAACTTGGAAGCCGACAAGCGAGTAGAACAGGGGGTGCTACCCCAGACGGCGCTAACGCTGGTGCAGCTAGACCTCTCCGCGTGACAGATGCGACGTGCCTCGGTTCGCTGCGACGGCGGACGGCAAACGGCTCACAAAAGGCAGTCGTGTTCGCTCTTTCTATTATCTCTTTTGAATTCCATTATATCACCCTTGACCTGGTCTTCTCTCCTCTTCGTTATCATCATATCATCGATATATAGCCAGCACTATGGCGTCTCCACGTAAGTCGTTGTGACAGCGCAGATACTTTCACATGGCCATGACCAAGCGCTGACACGTTGCCAGAGCAAATCCGCACCAAGCTCACTGACCTGCTGAAGATTCAGCACCCCGTTATGCTCGCTGGCATGAACGTGGCTGCTGGACCCAAGCTTGCCGCTGCGGTTACGAATGCTGGTGGTCTCGGTGTCATTGGTGGTGTTGGGTACACACCTGACATGCTCCGAGAGCAGATTGCTGAACTCAAGGGTTACCTGAATGACCAGAATGCGCCCTTTGGCATCGATTTGTTGCTTCCTCAGGTTGGAGGCAGCGCGCGCAAGACCAAGTACGAGGTGCCCCTGCCCATAGTCTTGAACATCGAGGACTGACCAGATATAGCTACGACTACACCAAAGGAAAACTCGACGAGCTCGTTGACATCATCATCGATTCCGGCGCCAAACTCTTCGTCTCGGCTGTTGGCGTACCCCCCAAGCATGTTGTCGAGAAGCTACACAAGGCCGGTATCTTGTACATGAACATGATCGGACACCCCAAGCACATCAAGAAGTGCCTCGACATTGGCGTTGATCTCATCTGTGCACAGGGAGGAGAGGGTGGAGGACATACTGGAGATGTTCCCACATCCGTCTTCATCCCAGCCGCAGTTAAGATGGTAAAGGGCCACAAATCACCCTTGACTGGCGAGGATGTACAGATTATCGCCGCCGGCGGTATCTTCAGCGGCGAGTCGCTCGCTGCTATGCTCACATTTGGTGCTACGGGTGTGTGGGTAGGAACACGCTTCATCCTATCAGAAGAGGCCGGCGCTCCCAAAGCACACCAAGAAGCTGTTCGAACAGCTGGCTGGGACGACAATGTTCGCACCATCATCTTCACTGGTCGCCCACTCCGTATTCGCAACAACCCATACGTCGCGAACTGGGAAGAAAACAGACAAGCCGAGATCAAGGAGCTTACAAGCAAGGGTATACTCCCCGTCGAGCATGATCTCGAGAAGATGGGAGATGATCTCGACGACGAGACCATGGATAACGCCCGCCCGTTCTTGATGGGCAAGGTGGCTGCCGTTGTTAACGAGAGGAAGAGCGCGCGCGAGATTGTTGATGAACTTGTCACAGATGCTGTCAAATCGTTGCAGAATTGCAACACAATGATTGTTTCAAAGGCCAAGCTATAAGTAACCTAGTTAGCATGTACTTGTATATAGTCGAGAAAGTTACTTCTGTTACCTGCTATCCTCAAAGATCTACATGTATCGGCCTAGTCACTGTGCGGAACCTCCAAAAAGTTTCGCCAGAATGCCACCGACATGACATCAACATAGTTAATGAGGCGCAACTCCGCGTCGGTTCCCCTCGCACCCGGGTGTCACAAAATACTGGACATACTAGTGTAAAAAAGCCACTGTAGTCGCCAGACGCGTCTATTAGGTGCTTGCCCACACTGTCCAGTATTTTATGTCACCCAGATGCTCGCACTAACTCCTCACCCTCATCTATCACACCCCACATTCGTCTTGTTTTGAGCGCGCAAGCTGTGAAGCTTATAGTCGCAACAACACCCCACACTCAATCATGGAGATATAATTAACTCCAACGCAAAGGTCCTTTATACTGAGACTCTTCGAAGAGGGACTCGTACCATCAATAGACCTCTCCCAGCAGCAACGCGGCGCAACAGTACAGCACTCGCAGCAGCATCCAGGCTACCCGCATCATCTCATGAGGAAGGCTGTCAGAGAGCTGTATAAAATCAAAGCGTTTCACGAAGAAGATATCCCGTGGGCATCCTTTCTTTTCGCATTAGACTGGAAAAGCGCTGACAATGAACGAGATGCAAAGAGATAGACAATGCTATCAAAGCATTAAAAGAACACGATACCAAAGTATGGTTTGAGAAATCATACAAAGACAGGTACGTCGCAGGTGATTAGATTTGCGATAGTGTCGACGGCTGGCAGCTAGTATGAGCGATTAAAAAGGGAGTCGGAACAAACTGGGGACGCGTTGATAACGCACATGTCCTAACAGCTTTCTTCCAGCCCTTTTGACCGCGCAGTACAAAGATATGCTCAGATATCCAGTCGGCACCTCAGCAATCAAATCCACGCTCGTCTCCTCCACGAACTGCGCAATGTAATCTATTCGCACATCTGGACAAAAGACTATCTCGACAAATCCGCAGATCGCATGCGCTATGCATGGGCAGGCATACAAATTCCCAGACTTGGTCCCCTACCACATGTCATTGAGCCGACCCACGCCGACCCTATATTTGCGCGAGAAGCCATGGAAGCGTACTACCACTGCGCCGCTGGCGTCGTCGAAGTCTTCGTCACAGACTATCTGAACAGCCTTCCAAGAACACTCCACAACGATGCCTTTGAACTGGGCGTTGATCCTGCAGCACACTTGAGGAAGCTTCGTCTGGAAGTCCTACTGGATTTCAGAGACATGGATGAAGTACTTGGCCTCCTCAATAACCTTTCCGACATTGTGCATAAGAAAGACTTTGAGCTACACCTTGTTGCGAAGCAATTCCGTATCCGCCTTAAGCTACTGGATCAGGCATTCGCAATCTTCGTTCCCTTCTGTCGCGCCTTCAGAGCGGAAGGTGTACGAGTACACTTAGAATGGCAGGCTGGAGTTAGTTTGGGATCTACAATCAAAGCTGAGCGTCAGTTGGATGACATTATTGATACTTGGCACCCGGGCATGGAAATGAAGCACCGCCTGGCGTTTTACTTGGATATGCTAGATGACATAGACCGAGAATATAGATACGAGCAGGATGACAACTATGATCCGTCCGACTTCGAAGTTCCAGATGATTTGCCCGATAGCTGTTCGGATGGAGAGGAAAGCTAGAATATTTCTAACGGCGTGTCTGTCGCCTACAGCAAGGTCTGTATATTGGGTGTCAAGTACTTCGTGTCACCCAAGTGCTCACATCTTGTTTACAAAGAAAGGAAACGTGAAGTGGGAGGCTGAGTCTATTGATCCAGGGCGACTTCAGAAGTATACGAGCAAAGAATATAGTAACAGGCATGAGCAACAAGAATGAAAAGATCGTAATTATTGAACACCAAATAATTCAATGCAAGATACAAGCTACAGTGGGGCAAGGTCTTTATTCATTACAAACGAAGCAGTCATACTTTATTTGAACTCAGCAAACGCAAGCTCGTACGCCAAAGCAAGCGTCATCCGCGCGTGCTGGAGCATGTGGTCGAAGCTGAGGTATTCAATCTTGTCCTCGGTAGTATGGATCTTCTTATCGCTATACTTGAAGTCTGACTCAATGACGAATGCTGACGGGTAGCCGGCCTTGGATGCACTGGCGTGGTCGGAGCACGCATAGCCACACTTGGTCAGAACGTAGGGAATATCACAGTAGACTGTAATGATCTTTTTAATGAATTCGGTCAAGCCAGGGTCGACAAAGTCGGTAATGACACCCACTGACTCTGGTTCACCAGCATCAAGCGTTTTCTGTACGTAGCCAGTCATGTCCTGCTGAAGCATGGCCTTGACGTCGCGGGCCTCCTTCTCGTAGGATTGGAAGATTGCTTGCGATCCGAGGAGACCTCCTTCTTCAGCTGAGTACCAGTGGAACTCAATTGTGTTCTCTGCCTCGCCCTTCAAGATCTCGTCCGACTTGAGCAGCACGCGTAGAGCTTCGAGGATAGTCACGGTGCCACTGCCATCGTCATCTGCTCCTGGTGCCGCTAGAAAAGCAGGGAAGAAGAGATTAATGCTGTCCTGGTGCGCACCAATGACGATCGTCTTGTCGCTCTTGCCGGGGATGGTGGCGATGATGGACGATTGCCCCCATGGATGGGGGAACGCCTTGACGGACGCGTTGATGGCGCCTGCATCAGCAAGAGTCTTGTTGACCTGGCCAAGCAGCCACGCTGAGCTCTGTACGCCGTATTGTGACTTGTAGTAGCGGGTGTGGAACGAGGTGAAGGTCTCGAGGTGTGCGCGCATGTTGTTCTTGTCTAACTCCTTGAGTAGTGGGGCAAGGGTCTCGTTGAAAACAGGTTTCGATGGGTATTTTACACTCTCGGCGTTGATGCGATGATTCAACGTTCCCAGTTCTGCATTGTGGGTGATGTCGAAGAAGTTGATGTTTTTCTACACCATGTCAGCGGCCAGCTTACAGTCTTGAGATACCGACATACTTTGCGCAGCTCCCACTTCTCATTCTCATTCACCCATCTTGTCTCGCCTGGCGATAGCTCAATAAGATACTCGTCCGGCTCAACAATGGTAAGCTGCTGGTCTTGTATGACAGCCTGCGCATGTTCGTGATGGAAAGCAGCTGCAGCAAAGGCTGCAGTATACAGTGGTAGTAATAGCGCTGCCGACTTCATGGTTGCTTGAGTGATGCTGAATATGGTAGGTTTACGTTATTGTAAAGGATGTGCCCAGGTGACTGAAGGTAGCTGGGCCGAGCTACTTCGATTAGGGCAAGCGCGGGTTGCTATCTATGCATCATGAGGTCACACGTTTTCACACATACATCGTCAATGCGCGAACACAAGCATGGAAAACTTGACATCCCACTAAATCATATAACTACAGTCTTGTCTCTGCTACAACGCCATCGTCGCTTTCCTCCATTGCAATGTCTTCGTCCAACCACATATCGGCCTGATCAAATACATTCAGGGCATCTACAGATACCCTCCTCATGCTTCAGAGGCCCTTCATTCAAGTACTTCATAATGTAGGCAGTTGGGAATGGTCTTCTTCTGGAGTCTCATCCCAGTCATGATTGGCAATGTTCTGCTCAGAATCGTATTCGTCTTCAGTGTAGTATCGCCAGTCTTCTGGATTGAAGGTAGGAAGATGCTCATCTCGGTAAGCACGATGACAGGGCTCAATGTCATTTTGCTGCAGAAAGTGTCAGTTTGCTGTTCTAGTGAGGGGATAGGGAAATGAACCGACCTTGTCCAACCAAGTCTTGGCCTCATTCTTCCAATCCCTTTCGGGGTCTTCGAGTGCACCACTAAAGTCATATACCGCTTTGCGATCGACCTCTCCAAAGTACTGATATTCAAATGACGCCTCGACCGTTCCACCTTCATTCAAAAACGCTTTTACTGGCTCACCAAACGTATCAATGACGTGCTGCCATAGATTCAGCCTGATCCGCGTCTGCGCAAACGAAATTGTAAGCTTGAACCCCCGTTTGTTCTTGATCGCAAGCAGCGGCTTGGTGATCAGCTCTTGCTGCTCTGCTACAGTCTTGATCTGCTTCGTTGAACACTTCTCTACCTCGGTAGCAGGCGGAACGAGTTCTGCTAAGCGAAAGGAAATGTGCAGACACCGGAGGACCTGTGTTGGATCGATCCCGACACCAAAAGAGTCGCCATGGATGAACTGCGACACTTCGGAAAGATCATGTGCGTGGGGTGTTTTTTCATGTGCCTTTGCTACCATGTACCAGCATTCCACCACCTCCCGAACCATTTCATGGTCTACAAGATCTGGCTGGAGAAAATGTGGCAACTGAGTATGGTATGAACAGAGGTCATGGAGGAGTTTGCATTTCTTGCATCCACTCAGCATCTGTCTCATGTAAATGGATGTGCTTTCGAAGGACTCATCGTCCCAGAAGTGCGACCAGATCAGGTCACGGAGTTCTCGAGGAAGTCTAGTACGCATGCGAGTGAAAACCGCATGATTGAATATGAGAAGGAGTGGGCTGTTGCCACGGTGAAGGAGCCTGAGAACAATCAGCCAGAGGGTCAGTACTATAGTGTATGGTAGGTGTACACTGGATCTATTTGTAACGTCGGCAAGACCCACTCTGGGATTCTCCAGCATGAGCGGTTGAGTTGAGTGGAATAGGCTTCAAAGGCTGTGGCCATATCGATCCTTTCCCACGTTTTGTTTCGAGGGTTGATTCTGAAGTATATATGAGTGTCTATATGCGCGGACCTTGTGGTGGAAATTACATTGCCTTAGCAAGCTCGAACATGAGGAAGTAAGTTTTATCAACTTCTTCTTTATAGGTACTGGACTGTTGTAAGTATATTTTCACACATACCTAGGACCTACTTTCTGGTAGAAGCTATGACATTGTCAACACCTACCTATTTCATGTGAAGTTTCTGCGAGTTGCAAAAGAGAAAGCTATATAGATAAACATCGCTATACAGGTTGACACCCCAACACCCACCTACCTAGGTTTCATCCATTAAATATCGAGCCGCTACCAAGTGCTCTCCGTCGCTATTCCCATTAATCGTGCTCAATTCATGTCTCCTTTAAAGTCACCAACAAAGGCAGAAGCGGCCAGGGTCTGTGACACTGAAGACGAAAGATGGAGAACGTGGAGCGATCTGCAGACAACTAACCTTCTGGCAGTTCTACCATATCGATTAGGCATTATTATTTCAGATTTACCGTGAAGGGCACCTTAAATGCCAGCATAGTGGATATATAGTTCTCTAGCCTCGATGGCCTTAAATGGCATTCGAGCAATGTAGATAGCAGTGTGCTATGTTTATTATTGTAGCCATTGTCTTGTTGCCTTGATGTTGAGACAGAATTTCCAAAAGAGTTTTGAATAAACATCAGGTGATCGGACTTTTCTGCCAATATGGTATATGCCAAGAACAATGTCAGGACATATGTCAGAGGTGTGATGTAATATGATTAATGTATGCCTGTTCAGACATCTACGCATCTAAATGCAAGTCGAGATAGTGACGCAAGACGGATCCGCCCCGAGCTTTAGATGGAAAAGCAGATTACCGCCGTGTATATGGTTGTATGAGAGCAAATGAGCAAACAGGATGTTGGCGGCAACAAAGCAGCCTTGGATGTGTCAAAGGACTTAAACCAAGCCGTACAGCGGTCGAGGCAAAGGCCCGCATACGTTACTGCTGCCGTTCCCAGAGTGAAGCTTTGCTCCCTTCAAGCCAATATATGCTTCGCGCCTCGCAGGGTTCCCCACGGTGACGCTCCACGTGTTCAAGCCGTAGTAAACACCAATATGATGGACAAGCCAGCGTCCAAAACTGCCTCCTACGTCTTCCTCGGGTGTCTCGAAAAGCATGAGCTCCCTCTTGATAGCTTCAGCCTCGGTAGGCGAGCGGAGATCGTTCATCTGTCCATTCCTTCCAACAAAGACAATCTCATCGTCCTCGCTGTCTGGATCAGCAGGCAACCCTTCTTGTTCTGCCTTGCGCTCTTTCTCTTCCCAGTCTGCGACAAACTTGCGTACTTCGCTTTCAAGGTCCATGAGCAGGCCCTTTGCCCCGCGTGAACGCTTGAGCTTCTCGCGTAGCTCCTTGGGCACGACACCAGGAGTCGTGGGCTTATTGGCTACGGTCTTGGTAGCTGCTTTCTGCGCGACAGCAGCCGTCTTGCGTTCGTTGGATTGGCGCTTGAGGCCTGCATCCCAAAGTGGGGCGAGGTAGTAGGGGACATTCTTAGGGGTATAGGTGGGATGAACCTCCCAGTCCTTTGGAAGCGGGGGTACGGCGTAGGGGTTGTTAAGGAGGCGATCTAGCTAGAAATCAACTGACGTGAACTTGATAAGAATCATCCACAGAAGCAGCAGCAATATGAAATGGGGTTTTCGATGCGCAAAGCGTCTCTGAGAGAAAGGGTGAGGGGCAGCCCCTACGTACCATTCTCCCACCTCTGCCTGCGCCTAGTACCCTCCTTGCCCTTTAGCACGGCTTCACGTCTCGTCAAGCTATCACGGCGAAGCGGCTCCTTGCGACGGTAGTAGCCACCTTCCTTTGCAGCTGCCGAAGCACCGACGGCATGTACAGCAGCAGAAGGCGCATCGTGCTCATCGAGCGGGATCGCAAGTGTAACCGAGGTACCACGAATCGCATCCTCTGGAGAGGAGATAGCAACCGAACCCAGCGCAACAGTCGCCTGTTCAGTCCATGCTTCTATATCGATAGGCTGGGGTGGGGCTGGAGCCTGTTGAGGGCTTGAGGGGATATCGCCGACAGCCATTGTAGTGACGTTGATGATAGTTATGATGGAAAGAAGAAGACTGATGGAGGCCAAGGAGACAAGACACACGCAAGCTCTTTCCAAAAGACAAAGGTACAAGGTCTAGGAAATAGCAAGGAGATGTGTTAGGGGACAGATGGCGATAAGTGCCGCGGCGCGATAGGGAGTCGTTAGGTCATGGTCGTTCGTTCGCGTCATGCTCACGAACCAATCACTAGCTACGAGCCCGTGAACGTGGGGCAAGCCGCATTCTGTAGTGAGACGGCACAGTCACAGACTCACAGTACAGTCATATCGCTATGACTGTTTACTCACCCTGAACGTGCACAGCTAAAAATACGCGTTTGGTGCCATCACGTTCGTGATACAAACACGTCGGAGCGTCGTTGTTGCAGCTGTGTCGTACGTTTCTGTGGCCATGACTTTGTGCCACTACTACTCGCTCAGCCAGTTGGATCCTAGGCATAGGAGAGACTACTTATTGTCGCGTCTTTTCTAGTCCGTATTAGAGTAAGAGCCAGGTCAGCATGCATCAGTAGTAGCTCTTTCGCAAAGGCGAACCATGGCGATAATCTCAGTGAGCGGTGGCAGTAGATATACATTGCTTCCTGCGTGAAAACTATCAACCTTTTGAATGGTCGCTCTTTGCAAAAGCTGCATGCAAGTAGTACTTATACGAGGCTGCACTCATATCTGGCAGCCCATCAAGGAGCCTGGAAGCCCAGCGTATAAATTTCATCACTGATAGTCATGAAGAGTCTCGTGTCTAACTAAAGCTCACTGAGCCGTGTCCCAAACGCCCGAACCCATTGCTCCCCAGCCAATACCATTGTGAATGATTAAGCCTTCTTAGCAAACTCCACACGAAGAATAAGATGACCGAAACCGACTGCAAAGCGTTAGTATCTTGGTGAGCTATCATCATCAGCGAAAACTTACATCCGTCCATCTTCTCGCATGCCTTGGCAGCATCCGACCGGTCCGCGTAACTGACAAAAGCAAAGCCCTTTGCTCGACCGGTTTCCCGGTCCTTGGCCAAGAAAACCCTAGTGACATGGCCGTATCTCGAGAACATGTCCCGTAGGTCTTGCTCCTCAGCAAACTCGGAAACGTTGGTGACACGCAGAGTGGCGCTGTCGTCGCGGTCGAATTTGCCGCCCATCTTCTCGCCTGCACCTCCACGTCCACGCAAGTGTGGGGGAACGTAGCCTCCAGAGCCGGTACCAAAACTTCCTCCTGCACCAACTCCGGGAGCGTCGTCGGGCATGTCGGCGGGCGCGACATCGCCTTCGGGAGCCATGGTGTCCTTGAAGGGACACTTTGTGGTGAAATGGTCGCCCTGGCAAATACGACACTTGATCTTTGCGTTCTTAAGCTCAGCCTTCTTCTTCGCCTCGTCGCCCTTGTCCTCGGTACTAGCTTTCCAGTTGGATACCGGTCGGAAAACGATGTTCTCGGCCACGGAAACGGTATCTGTTTGCGGGCCGGCGGGCTTGCCCTTCTCCTGTCCAAACTTGGCCCATTGCTTCCGCTCGGCGACGCGCGGGTTTACGATTTGCTTTACGACCGTCTTCTTAATGCGCCGCGTGGTCTTGTACTTCCGGCCGTCTTCGCCAATCTTGTAGGAAATGACTGTCTCGGTTCCATCCTTGTTCTTGATGACTTGGTTGGGGGGGAGGGAGGTGAGAGACTCCTCGTCGTCTTCTTCCGCCCAGTCGGTGCGGCTAAGCAGTCATAGTCAGTACAAAAAGTTTAAACACGGCGCAGAGAACCTCACCCTGCAGGTCGTGACATTTTTGGCGAGTGTGAGTGTGACTTCGGTTTCGTCTGAGTCGGCGAGGTGTAGTCGGGACGGAGGTCGTATATAGAAAGGTGAGAGAAGTGGCGGACAGTGGGGCAATTCAATGTGTGCGGTGCGCCGCCAAGATTTCGCGCTAGCGGAAGTTGCGACTCAACACTGTATCTTTCCCTCGCATAATCACCATGACTCCTAGTAACCACATTCTCATTAGTTACCACCTGGGTGTTATAAAATACTGGACATACTAATTTAGAAAAGCCACTGTAGTCGCCATGCACGTCTATTGGGTGCTTACCCATACTGTCCAGTATTTTATGTCACCCAGGTGTTACCATGGTACTAATGCATCTATCCCAGTATGAACTGATCTTAGACTGAGCTTGTATGCTCCTTACCATGTTAACGACGCTCACGGATCATAGTACCATGCTCATCTCACAATCAGAAGACCACCACTGAGAGACAGAACAATAATTTTCGCACAGTAGAACCAAGGATAATCAACTACTTCGGACCTTTGATACTGACTTCACACTCACAATCTTTCAACTATAACCAGTTCATGACTTGGATGAGTCACTTCCTTATCCTTCAGAGCCCAGATTCCATTGCACTCTACCCCTTCTAGGGCCTTGGAAAGATCCCACCGGCAGCGGCTGAGGTTGCTGTATGACATCGCTGCTCGTCCTAGGAAGTGTTTGTACCATCGGCTTCGGCGTGCTGGTATTCGGAAACGCCGTGTCGCTGCTGCCTCTAGGGAGCTTAGGTTTCTGGATGTGATGATGCGAGGACGGGGCGTTGAAGTCATTTACAAACGTCGTCTGCGAGAGTGCTGAGTTGGACGTTGGTATGAAGTGTGGCGAGTGCATCGATTGTGGTGAGCCATGAGCATAGTCGATGAGCAGACTACATGATGTGAGTATGTCATCCTCATGCAGACTGGAATTGCTTACTCCTGGGTCTGACCACTGCCTCTTCGACTGGTCTGAACACTGCTTGTCACGCTGCCAGCCCTACCTGCCGCGCTTCCACCACCAATCCCGTATACCGCTGCATGATGTGATTGTGGTGTGGCAGGCAACCATCCACTGCTCGTGATACCCTCGGTATCGATAAGCCGTTGCAGTATATCTTCGGTGATGACGAGTAAGTGTTCCAAGGCAGCAATACGTGAGTCTTCCTTCGCAGAGCAACAATGGATGTACGATCTACTGGATGGATTGTGTTCGACGATGCAAGCCCCAATTTTTCTTGAGGAAGTCGGGGCGAAACTTATCACGTCGAGATAGCGAGTCGGTCCATAGATTGCGCGCGCGTTCGCTATAATACGTTAGTCTACCGAATCGACAATACTGCCCGGAAATTGAGAAAGCACATACCGAGTACTCTTCTCTGTGTGCTTTCCAGGGAGTCCTCTGAGTCCTTGTCCTCCATTCGGTGTAGAATCTGGCTCGCGGTGCGTTCCAATGCCAGGCCCTCGTAGCTGCTGCTCTTGCCGTGTTTCATGTGCTTTAGCGTCTCGATCATTCCGCTCGACCGTGACGACGCGAGAAAGTGTCGACCTTCGGGACTTTGTCGACTGCCCAGATCTCGATGATGCGATAGAGTCTCCGGTATTTGTACGTAGAAAGATTCCCACCCTTTCCGAAGGCGCAGATCCCTTGACGGAGCTGTTCCAGGAGGCTGACCGGGGAAGATTCACGGTTGAGCTTGTGCGACTGATACTCGGTGATGATCCACCTGATCTTGATCCGTCCAGTTGACGAGTTCTCTGCCTTTCGATTCGAAGTTGACTGAGCCGCTGTTCTTTCTGTGCAGCTTCTGCGAGAATTTGCCTTTGTCTTGCCTGAAACAAGTCTCCGGTAGACCTTGTGGTATACTTGTCTAGTCGATGCGGGTTTCTAGGGTTCCAGGGGTTCAGCGGCGCGCCCACTGCTATCTTCTCAGCTAATGTGAGCGGCCTAGCGGGCTGCGAGCTGCTTCTTCGGCGAACAGAGGGCGCTGATGTACTCGGTGCTCTCCGACGAACAGAGGGCGTTGATGTGCTTGGTGCGCTCGACGGGGATGGACTTGGGGCTCTATATCTTCGGATGGATCCTGTGGAGCTAGATCTGTATTGCCCGGATCGTCTGGGTGAGGAATCCAGGATGTACGATTACTAGCCTGAAGTGCAGGTTGCTGTGGCCTTTGTGGGTATTCTTCTTGTGGATACCACAGGTCAACCTTACGAGGAGCACAGGTGAGAACAGAATACGGTGTGGAGACTGAAGAGAGATTCTATTGGAATATCAGTAGTCAGTCCGTCAAGGGTAGAAGAGACGCACTCGGTATTAGAAAGTCAGCTGTAAAAGCTGACAGACTTTGTGCGCAGATGTATCGTCGTGATAGGCCAGGGAGATGGCCTGAATGACGTGGTGAGTAGCTACGGGCTGGTGGAGGTGGTGATTGGGGTAAGAGACTGAGTAAGAGAATATGATGAGGGGTGCTAAGAAGAGCAGAATTGCTAGAAGAGGTGTCGGGATACGCGAACCCTCAGCGGTGCGCAAATAGGATATTGTATGAAGCCATACACCTATACCAGTGCGTGGTAAGCGGAGGGCAAAGAGGTGCGGGGCTATGAAAGCGCAGCATGTCACCTTTTATTGTTTGTTGTGGCAGGCACATATGTGTCTCTCTGGCTGTGCTTGCCGTTAGTTGCTAGAGAAGGCACTGCTCATCGCGCATGTCGCCTCAGAGCCTCTTTTCTCTGAGAATCGGCAGTAGCTGCCTAGAAAATGAAAGTGGCCTTTGCAGGCAGAGTCACCCGTCCAGGAAGGCTAGTCGAGGCAACTACTCATGACCATCACCAAAGTTTCAACTGATATAGACTGGACTTGATAGATTTATTGGTGCTCACCAGGAATTGTAGCATCTATTTTACGTTCACCTAATCGGGACAGCTAGCAGGGGAACGCGTAAGAGCAAGCCTTGAATAGACATCACTGAAGCTGTTCACAATATCAAAAATCAAAGGGAAAGAAATAAGTAGTTGTAACAAGAAACCCTACTTTGTCTCACCCATGGTATCCTGCCTTTCGAATCCCGATCTTCCATGCAAATGCCCGCACACAAACGCTTCAAGTACAATTATGCTGTTTCGATATGAGTCACACCGCGCATCACGCTGTTGCCCTCTCCTGTGTGCCCGTGAGCTCATTCCATATGAGCGCTATCGAACCATCAACCACGACTCTCGCACGAAGAAGTTCACGTAAAACCATTTTTACGTGCAAGTCATGGCGCGATCAAGGTTTGAAACAAGAGCCGCGGTTCATCCTCTAGCCTCTAGCCAGAGAACCTGAACCGTGAAGCCTCCAAATCGCCCAGGCCATCTCGAGGAGCCACATTTCTCCGACGGTAGCTGGTTGTGAAGTCTTGAAGGATTGTCCTAATCATCCTGACATCGCCAGTCTGGATGCGTTGACGGATATTGTTAAGAAAACGCTCACTTTCTTGGGGTGTGATGCTTCCTTGTGGCAACATGGCGACAGTGGTAGCAACCCACGTCGCGACTTGTTCTGGCATGAGCTCGAAAAGATCCAGAAGCACACCAGATGAGTCAGGGAAGCAACCTCTGGGGAAACTGTACATCATGCCAGTCATGATACGCTGGACTAGGTCAACACCAGCACCGAGAACAAGCTGCTTTATGCGGTCTCGCAGTTGTTCGGGAACTTCGTGACGCGTGTTGTCGAAGCTGGATGACGGCGATGAGTTACGGCCATAGCCTAGCAAGTCCCGCAGAAAGTGAAGCACAGCAATGAGGGGATCTTCCTTGAGCAATGTAAGGCAGTTACAGGCTGCCCGGAGAATCGTGTCCATGAGCGGCGACATGATAGACTCGGAGGGGAAGTAGAGCGCCATATCTGCGGCAAGACGGAAGTAGTCCTCGATGAGATCAGGATTTTCTTCTGGTGGCGAGTCGTTCAATATACGTAGGAAAGTCTTCGCTTGCTGCTCGTAAAACTGATAGACATCGTTTGCGAGGCTCGGATCGACATTATCCACGCCTTGGGAGAACTCGCGTACAATCGAGGCTGTCGCCCAGAGGAAGCAGCCCTGTCTTGACTTGTCAAAGCCTTCAATGAGTTTTGTAGCGAGATCTGGTAGAAGTGGGCGCATCGCAGTCCGGTACGAGAGGACCATGTATCGCCAGCACCGACATACACGCTCAAGAATGGGAATGCTTGAGTTGAAGTGGGTGATCATGTTTGCAAGTGTGGGGAAGATCTCCTGACAATACGTGACGGCGGGATGTTCTTGACCGGGCGGTAACTCGGGTGCTACCATTTCGAAGAATATTGTGAGTAGGTTTATCTTGTCCGCAATCAGTTTCTGGTCCGCATCATTCTTGGCCTGTTGTGCAAGCTGGATCAGATTCGCCATGACCGGATCGAGATACAGCTTGAGTGTGGCAAGAAGCTGGTCGTTTGGTACCTTTGCGACTACAGACGCAACACCTTCGGTAATCTCTTCTTGGCTGCTAATGGGTAGCTTGTCTAGATGCTTTGCGTAAAATTCCTGCAAGGGGTTGACAAAGGTAACCAAGAGGCTTGCGCAATCATTGCAAAAGAACTTGAACGAGAGTGCGGCGGCACGGATAACATCTTTGGTCGAATGATCGAATGCTGCCATGATGTATTCTAGCTGTGGTTGAAGAGTGTCGGGGTGTTGTGCAGTCCATTCGGTATACCGTCCCAGGGCCATGACAGCCTGGAAGCGTAGCTTGTTGTGGTCGGGTATCGTTACGATGAGCGGAATTAGACGAGGTAGCATGATATTCTCGTCTGGGGGGACCATTCTACCCATGGCTCTGACGGCGAAAAGTGGCGCTTCCAGTTTCTGCCACTCTGGTACATTGTTCGGTCCAGCTTGAGCGCCGTATGTCTGCACCCATTGCTGTACAAGGTCGTAGGGCTTCTGGAGACACTCAACGACGCCCATAACCTCGCAGCAGTCCTTCAACACATCGCCCATCTGATGACGGAACTCGCGGAACTTCTCCTCTTGCTCACGATCACCCTCGAATAAATCTTTCTCGTCGCCAGAATCTGGTTTGGGAAATTCAAGATGTCCGATCATGATATCGACGAGGTTGGAGTATAAATCCAGACACTGGTTGCGTGCTTCGGCATACTTGTCGAGGGTCAGATATTGCTTCAGGTCATACCAGAACTTGAATGTGTACGAGATGGCATCCTTCTCTTTGTCCAGCGCGGCTGTTCTGAGTATGACTTCCACCAGGGCGCGGAAATTGGTCGGCAGGCGAGCGATCATAATGACCCAAGACTCGCCCGCCTCGGTAAATATCCTGGCAATGCCCTTGAACTTTGTAGAGTCCTCCTCTTGTGCGGCTTCTGCGAGCTTGGTCTGGAGGTTGATGACTTGAGGATATAGAATCATGATGGAATTGAGCGTCTCGTCGACATCTCTGGTCTCTGAAATGAGGGCACTCAAACAATTCACTGCAGCCTCGAAGGCATCATCCTCCAGGTCCAGGCCATCAATGATGATTTTGAGCAGAGGGGAATTGATGATGGCATCAAGTGGGATCTCTCGTATCCATGCAGTGATACAGTTCAGTAATTGGGGGTTCTGGGCTGCGGTAGCTGTGGAATGTCAGTAGGGGCGGGCATGATTAAGGGGTGCTTGGACGTACGTGTAGTTGTGGCATATTGGAAGAGGAAATCCAGGACTGGCTGGGCATTGCTCTCGATCAACTCGGCCGTCCTCATCGTCAACTCGTGTTCCTGACCACCAAATATTAGACTACAACTCTGCTAGCATATGTCGGCGCTACGGGGGATTGCCGTGGTTTTATCATGGGGCGAGGCTCGTTCGGACGTACTGTGAGTGCGATCTTTCGTCCATGCGTAACTTCCTCGGGGAGGACATGGAGAAAGTCCAGGATGCAAGGAAGGTTTGCTAGGTTTGAGCTAAAAGCGCTGATGACATCTTTGAGCACGTCTTTCCACTCGGTCATCTGGATGGCCAGGTTCGCCAGGCACAGGCACAGCTGCACACGAATTGGCTTGGGACCAGCGTGAAAGTTTAGCAGATTCCGCATAATCGAGGCTCGGAGCTCTGGAAGCTGTGCGCGGGGTACTTGGTGGAGGTCGTATATAATCTGATGCTATTAGAAAAGAAAAGGCGCACGTTGGAGTGAAAGCAACACACCTTGCCCTTGAGTGTGGTTGCAGCAAACATCTTGGCGCCTGCGTCTGCCGAGTTTGACTCAATTATGGCCAGAGTCGTTGTCCATGCCTCTTGCTATATGACCATGTCAGCCTACTGTATTCCTGCAGGCCTAGTCATCCATGCCCGCCTACACATACCGACTTCTGAAACTGCTCCAGGTATTGATGTGCCTGCTCTTTTTGCGCGCGGTCCACCTGCGCCGACATTGTGCTGTGTGCCGCGAGCACAGGCTCGAACAGCTGCTGTCCGTTGGCGGCCATGGTGAGCGTCTTTGGGGAGAGGAGGGGGACTAGTGGGGGAGCGGATGCGGAATACTGCTCAGAGAAGCGGCGGGGAGGCGTGTTATAGTGCGCGCATTCACTGATTAATTAGCATGTATTCCCGGCAAGCGCGAGTCCAGGCAGGAGTGGCAGCGGCGATGGTGTGGGCGGCGAGAAGGGTTGTTAAGAGCCGGATGGGTTTGTTCAAAGATGGGAAGTTGCGTTTGGGCGCATAGTCAGAGTCCACAGCACCAACCAACATGCCCGCGCTAGCGCCAAGCCCTAGTGACGGCCCAGAAATGTTCCTTGACCATAGTTCCACCCTCATCCAGCGCCGCTCCCCACATTGCGCCGCAACCTTGACCTCTACACACTTGGTCAACATACCAAAAGACGCGTAATTAACCTGCAAAAATGACTGGACGTGGCGGTTAGTATCTCATAATCCTCCCATCTTCATGCCCTAGCTAACATGTCCCAGGCCGCGGCGGAGGTAAAGGTACGAACGACAGCTATAACACGCATGTGCGCAATAACTCAGGCTAAACATGCGCAGTCCTCCTCCCACCTATCAACTTCATTTTCAAGCTGCTACAATCGCGGGCCACCATTTCAGTTTGGCTGTACGAGAACCTGGGCATGCGCATCGAGGGAAAGCTCAGGGTATGACTGCTTCATGTCTATCTTTTTTCTGCCGCGGCTACTGACACCTGCACAGGGCTTCGATGAGTTCATGAACCTCGTCATCGACGACGCGATCGAAGTAAAGCTCGCCAAGAAGGACGCGCCGGAAGAAAGGCGCAAGGTTGGCCAAATCCTCCTCAAGGGAGACAACATCTCTCTCATCCAGCAGCTGTAGAGGCTGCCTCCCATCTACACCGGCGCTCGGCTTCGCTCTTGGCCGTCACGCCTCGCACACACTTAGAGTCAACTACAGTGGATTATGAAGGAAAGGAAGAGTCGAGTCAAGATTAAGCCTCGGCGCGAAGGAGCTTGCCATCTCCAGTCACGATGGCATCGAGGCGAAAATCAGAGGATGACATGGGAACCGGCTCAGTTGGCGGAAGGAACCGCTCGGTCAGCGAGAGACCAACTGTGACGTGGTCAGTCAGCCAGCCCTCCACATACACAATACCAGTAGTTCTTACCGCGAAAAGGCATGCGCGACACTTTGTGACACCGACTCAAGAAGTAATCGTAGTAGCCCTTACCGTGTCCCAGCCGGCCAAACTGGGCGTCAAAGGCCATGCCCGGCATAACTATGAGGTCGAGGCCTGTGTGCACGGCTTCGATGTCTCCGTTCGTGATGCCAGTACCCCCAAAGCAGTTTGCACGTGATGAGATTGAATCTTGGCTAGGAGTAGGAATGCCCCATTTGTCTGGTTGCAGAGAGTCAAAGTCGGCCATGGACTGTAGTTCTACCATGTCCATGATGGATTTTGGCTGGTCTTGTTTGGGTGAATCCAGATTATAGGTATAGGGAATGAAGACTTTCTTGCCCTGGTCGAGCGCATTGCGCACAATGTCCGTGGTAGAGATCTCACCGCCAGGCATGGAAAGATAGACACTTATTCTGCGTGCTGCCTGGTACTCGGGCATGGCTAACAGAGCTGCAGTCGCATTGGATGCTGGAGAGCATTAGACGAGCAATGTGCAGACGGGCAACATGACATACACTGAGAAGCAGCAGCCGCATGGGGAAGATGCTTTAGTGCATCTCTAATCTTGTTCCTTAATTCCCTCTTGACAGCTGCTAGCGACCCCGCCATAGTCCTTTAATTGCAAGCCTAACGGCGTTCCAGAAATAGCACCGTTGGGCCCGAGTCGAGATGCGCCGTGTTGCAGTGTTGCAGTGAAGGAGCAGAAGGCCAATGTCTCTCCCCCCACGATAGCGAACAGCTTAGCGATGTGATGGTCAGTGAGCATAAGCACGGTGAGAAGGCAGCGGCTGCAGGTACGGGTGATGATGTTGCCGTCGCCCATCGGCGGCGGCCGGGGATCTGCGCATAGCCGCCTTTATCCCTGTTGAAAGTGGTCCAAGCCAGGAGGCGGCGGCCATGTCCAACATGAGCAAACATCGTTCCTCCTCAACACCAGCTACCAGCCACGAACACTACCACCACCCCAATCACGCTTTCACGCCCACACGCTCGCTTTTCTCGACGGCCGTCCGACCGCACACACTCGTTACCCTCGCATATCCCACCCGTAGTCATGGTTTCACGGATAGTAGCCCTACTCCTCTCAGGAGTCGCCGTCTTGCACGCGCAAGCCCAGACAGTCGCATTTCCCGCTGAGCTCGTCGGCACGTGGAACAGCAAGGCAAACTCGACTATGACCGGACCGGTACGTAATCGTGGCTTCCGAAACTTGTCTGCGCATTCTGGCTAATCACTTCCATAGGGCTTCTACGACCCCGTTAACGAGAAATTCACTGAACCCCAGCATACCGGTATCAGCTACTCCTTCACCGCAGACGGTCACTTCGAGGAGGCATATTACCGCGCCATCGCGAACCGTACGTAGTTCCCCGACGTTGAGCCGACCCACAACTAACAACCATGACAGCGCAAGATCCAAGGTGCCCAAAAGGCATAATCCAATGGCAACATGGCACCTTTGAGAAGTTTGAAAACGGTTCCCTGAAGCTCTCGCCCATCAAGGTCGACGGCCGACAACTATTCTCGGACCCGTGCCAGTACAAGAACGCCGTATACACCCGCTACAATGCGAGTGAACTATTCCAGGTACGCCTTTTGCCTTCGGACCCAACTACTCCTACAATTGCTAACAACCGTGCTAGAAATACGAGTATGTCGCTTCGGACCAGTACCACAAGATTCCCCGCATTACGCTCTACAAGTGGGACGGCGCCCCAATGATGCCGCTCTACCTCGCCATGACTCCGCCTACCATGCTACCCACCACCACGCTCAACCCGCTCGTCACCCAAACCGCCGCTCCCAAGGCTAAGCGAGGCGAGCTGCCCATGAACCACGAGGTGCTTTTCAAGAGGACTCCCGGTGCCGTAAGGGCAGATCAATGGTGGTGGTTCGGTGTCTTCATGACAGCAGGCGGCAGTGTGCTCTACTACTTTTTCTAGAGCATTGATGGAAATTACGGCAAGACTGTAGGATTAAAGGACGGGATGAGGTTAAACAAGACGCGCATAATGGGCGTAATCTGGGCGTTTGGGGGCATTTTCCATACCACATATACACACGACAATACCCTGATGGGCTGGACAAGGTCGGCGAGACGGGCGTTTTTTTGTTGTGGTTGTTTGCGAGCGGCATAGCTGGATAATCCGAGTCTTCGCATTATGCTTTTTTCTTTATTTCATTTAGAAAATTCGACGGCTTTGTGACGAGCGCGTGGGAACGCAAATATCTTATTTACTCTGTAATGAAACTTTGAACATGCAATATGACCTTTGCCATATTCGATATGAATCTTACCTGTTCGGGTCTTTGGATATGTGATACCAGAACTCGATTCTAAAATTCATAATGCCAGCACCGGAAAAGAGAAGAAGCTGATAGGGGGATTCCGATAGAACCACCTTCTCCATCGGCTTCTCAAATCTCGATTCCACACTTTTTGATAAACCAAACGGCGGTACACTAGTTAGTACACAGCACATTCACCTCAACGCTTTTCGCAGCTTTGAACAGTCAGTCGCCCACGGCAACCGTATTTATACAAAAATATATCAATTAATTACAGTAACCGCGATGATAAACACAGATATAATACTAAATACACTACCTCTCCTCCCAACTTTGCACAACACTATACCAAACAAACATTATCTGATTTCCAATCTACTTTACTAGATAACAAAACATGACAAAAGAAAAAACCGAAAACAAGGTTTGAAAATTTGGACCGCAGTCCATGGGAAGAAAAGGGTATCATATCTTGGACTTTAGAGATGCGCTTGTGAAAATGTTTTGTTGCCTGCGTCGCGTTGTGTTGTGTTGCATGAGTGGAGAGGCTTGTTTCTTTTTTTGGTGGGGGAGTTGGGATGAGAAAGAGCGGTCGGGTTGCGTGTGCTTGCGTATGCATGAATGCAACCTTTGTTTTACAAGAGATTTTCCGTTGGGAATAAAACACAGCTTTGTCGGTGTCGCACTTCTCCGTTGTCGTTACTTTTTCTTCAGCCGAGGGGAGAATAGTGGCACATGCATTGATTTCGGTATGTGCGAGCCTGGTAGGGTTTCTGATTGTGCTCCTTCATTTGGTCTTGTTCGTTGTTCTGTCGGTTTCCCCGTCTCGATTTTCTCCTCTCATGGCTTGGTGGTCTGGTGGCTTTTCGTTGTATGCGCATCTCGTATCGTCTGTTCACTCCAAACGAACGTCGGTTCCTGCTTTCGTCTTCACAGCCCAAATCTCTCCATACCCTGTCGAAGATCTTCCTCTGTACCCAACAAGTTCACAGCCCAAGTACCGGTCACACCACTCTTAACCACAAACCGAGTCTCTTGTTCTCGTGGTTGTCTCTCCTGTACCCTGTTCCTTTCCCTCCGACTTGCACTATCTTTCTGTTCATCCGTGTACCTTCCATCTTCGTCTTTTGTGATTGGATTCGTCCTCCTAGTATACGGCGGGCCTCTTCCCATCTCGGCCGTCTTCTCCCATGCCGTCTCACACCCCCTCGCAATGATACCCGCAGAAGCCCATCCTGTTCTTTTGTCGATTTCCAAGAATCGCGTGATCAGCCATTCGCGTTGCTTTGCATCCTGGAACGTGATTCCTGCAAAGAACAACGGCATTGCTGACTCTGTTAGTACGGCGCCGAGGAAAGGTGATAGGTCTGGAGTGACGGGAATTTGCATGCCTACGGCTATACGACCGATGAGCATGCCGTATGGTGTAGCAGCCGAAGCGCATACTCCAGCCGCCATCGTCGCTGCGGCGGGCATGCCTGGGTGAGAGCGTAGAAGTATTATCTTCGAAAGGTGAATCATCATCCAGATGATAGATATGTCATAGCTTCTATACAGGATCGGTGGACCAAAGGGTACTGATAGTCCTTGGTCTTGTCCTCCAGGAGCTGGTGGCAAAATGTCCTCTGGTAAAGGACCGAAGCCGTCCGCCTGTTCCAGTAGTTCTGAGACTTTTGTATGCGCATCGATTATGCTTTGCCACTCCAAAACCGCATGCTCATACGCAGCGGGGAGATCAGCGTATCTTGGATGAGGCGTGTTTGGCGTTGGCGGAGAGCGTTGAAAATTTGGATTTTCGTAGCTGGAATGAATAGGTGCCATTGCTGGTGATGGGGCCATTCCATAGAAGCTTGGAGCTACAGGTGGTGCTGGGCCTTGAGAAGGTGGACCCGTTGGATGCTGTCCTGTCCAGCCAGGTCGTGGTGGGCCTTGTGCATGTGCTGGAGGTCCTGGGGTAGCTTTCTGCGTTGGCGGTGGTCCCATGTTGGCAAACCCAGGCATACCAGGACGAGGTCGCCATCCGCCATCTGCTTCTGCTTGTCGAAGTTTGCGCTCTCTATCTCTAACCGTGAAGTCTGCAACACGAGCTAGAAGTAGCACTATATGATCGTGGGTACCGTAGACAGCATCAATCTGACCGATAGGAGCCCGCGGAGGGCAATCGGACCACTTGCGGTAGGGATTACTGCTACATGTTAGCCTTGATGTTGATGAACGGGATGGAGATTCTTACATAAGACGATGACCGCTTACGATACTCTGGTACACATCATGCCTCGAAAATGCCCAGCACAAATCTTGGAGGGTCTCGTAGGTTTGAAGATCTAGTTTTTCTGGTATTTTGGGCCTTGTGTCATGCCTTGCGCCGTTGTCTTCAAACACCATACCAAAGTCGTCGTAGCTGACCTTTTTACCCACAATAGTGCTCACAAGGCGCTCATCTGGCATGACTACGGTCTCCTTTAGCTTTTGATTAAAATGTTTTTGGTCAATCAGCATTTCCGGGTTCTGATACGGAAATTGGCGCATCATGGCTGTTTGCGCTGCTCGCAGCCGTCTTGCCTCCCGTGTAAGCGACCGGAAATCCAGCTCATCGATAAGCCGTTGGGCACCAATGAGATGTGTACCCCACTTAATATGCTCCGCCGTCCAGACTTCATAGCACGCTAGAAGTAGAGATGTGGCTAATGTGAGGATTGAAAGGCGTTTCTTTGGATGCCCAAGGGAGCGCACAAGGCGTTTGAGAGAGTATGCGTAGTGCTTGTACGAGGGTGTTATAGAGGCGCCTTGTAGTCTTGCAATATGTAGACTGGCAAGAGCCAGCATCGCATGTAAGAGGCCCTGGTGGCTGAGAGCCTTCAAAGGCAGTGTATGTGTCCATAGCCCTTGCTGAGCTGGAGGTGTTTCGCCCTCGAAGATAAGAGTGGGATTTCTAGAGTTTCGGTCGAAGATCGAGATAGTCGGCCCTGTCTATCGGTACAATTAGCGAACTGTATAAATTCCAGGGAACGTGTCGGGCGTTGAACAGAAGTTCTGATCCGTACATGAGCCCTACTGCCTTGCGCGAGCTCTCATGTTCGACGTCAAGCAAAAATGACTAATCTGTGACTTACCACATGGATGTAGTGAGCAAAGACTCTCGCGGTCTTCGGATTACGCAAGGGGTTCGCCGCATATTCGGGCCTGTAGTGCGTCAAGAGCCCATCATACAAAAACGCATCGTACCGTCTGATGCCCAGCTCATTAAAATTCTCTAAATGTATGCGACGGATGTTATTAAACTCCTTGCTTGCCATCACTGCGTTCTCGTCGTCGTCAGGTTCTGCATCGAACATGTCTTCGTCAGACTGTACATCCCAGTAATCGTCGTCCTCGAATTCGACCGCTGCTTCGTCAAGCACCTGTGTAGGACTAACGTGGTCCGCGCCGCCGAATCCGCTAAGATCTAAATGTGGCTGGCACTTTTGCGATTGGGACGTGGTGGGTCTCGGTTCTATACACATTAACAGTTAGCTGTCTTTCTTCATCGCTTAAGCCGACCGGCTCGACGGCAATCGAGTGGACTGGGTATTGAATCCCGCGGAGAATTCCAAGACATGCACTATATGTACGGAGATATGATGGACATGTGCTTGGACACGAAGAAAAAGATAATAATAGTCATTGGGGTATACGAGGTATATAACTAGACACGAGACATACCGAGGACAGGCTGTGGCATATACTTTACATCCTGGTTGATATCATGTACGGGCATCTGAATAGTAGAATAACTTGAATGACTGTAGTCAGTATGAGGGACGCTATAGTTTCCGGCTTGGCTGATGTTTCCTGAGCTGTGTAGTGATTGTTGCAATGGCACTTGCGGGTGGCTGTTGTATCGCTGCACCCCTGGCCTTGCTTCTGTATATTGGACATATTCATTGCTCGGAGGCGATGCACTGGGTTGATCGCGATATGAGCTTTCTCCTTCCTGAAGGCTATCTGACCGATAAGGTGGCTGGTAAATTGGCTGCCTGGGTAATGGCTGAGAGGCCGTGGGCTTCAGATCAGCCGTGTTGTTGTAGGGAACAGAGACTGCAGGATATGACGGGCCCTGTGTATACTGAAAGGGTGCTTGATAGCTGCTGCTTTGACTGAATTGTGCTGGAGGACTAGTATGCACGGCCGGGGGCTGAGGAAAGTACGAAGCTGGCGATGTGTGGCTCTGGGGCTGATTATGGGGTGAAGCAAGCGGCTGGTGGTGAGGAGGTGATTGCAGTGGCTGCTGATAAGGTTGTTCGTGTGCGTAGCCGGGATTCCCCCCGACAAACGTTTGGTGTGTTCCTGAGGAGACTGCACCAGCATTCGGATCGACTTGGGAGAAGTTGAAGTCATTAAGTGGCCGAGGCTGGATAGAAGCAAGCATGTTCTCCTGCATCGGTGCACTCGGTTCAGGGCCTCGATAAGATTGATTGCGTGTTCCAGGCAGCATCGAAGTATGATATTGTATCGTGCTGACGACGCCGGGGTGATTTGGCCAGTCCCCAATAGGAGGTTTGAAGATGACTCGCTGATTGTAGCCCTCGCATTGGCGTTTGGACTTGATGCAGTTTGCACAGGTAGGCCTCTCTTCACCACACTTTATGCGGCGTTTGCGGCAGGTGAGACAACCAGTCTTGGTCCTCTTCCTCATCTTTGCATTGCTAGCTGACCCTGAAATCGCAGTTGGTGAACTGTCGCCGGGGCCGGCTGAAGAGGCTGGCTGGACTTCGGCCATGTCCTCGTTTGAGGGAGGATATGTGGGAGAAGAGCCAGAGAGACTGGTAGGGCACTTAGTTGGAGGGTGCCAGGGATATAAGACGGGAGAGTAGGATGGCTGCATCGTACCTGAGTGAATGATGTTGAAGAGAAGAGAGAAATAGGTTCGGCCAAGGGATGGTGGTTGGGTGGGTAGCGGGTACAGTGGAGCCAAGAGTGATGGGCCTCGCAACAGTGCCGATCTGTTATGGGAGAGATTCGCGGGGCGCTGGCGAGTAGGGTTTTAGGCGTGACGCCTAACGGGTATGATGGCGGAACTAGGGTACTTGTATGCAGAAAGTCAAGTTCTCGGATAGGATATTAAAGAGCATGCACAGGTAAGCCGATCTTTCAAGCCCACGGGAACCATGTGGAGTCAGGGCTGGAATGTTAGTTATAACGAAGGTGGGAGCACGCACCAAGTGTCAAACGCCGCTGGTGATCCCTAAAGGGGAGCAAGCGGCACGCCGGCTTCTGTTTGTAAGAAGGCAAAGGCTGGGGGAGACTGATAGCGCACCCACAATACCTACATCAGGCGTCAAGAGACCAGAGAGAGTGCGGGTGGTCTAGATTACACATGAAGCTATACTGTACTGGGTCGGGCCAGACACTTGTGGTTCGATTCAGGGTGGAGAATTGGCGTCTGATGCAAAAAGAGCGGGTGCGAACTTGGAATTGGTTAGAGGAGCAGCGCAGAAAGGCATGTTGCGATTCGGCAGTGGTAGTGCGAAGTGTGGTCAAGAGTGCGTGCCAATGGACCGGGGGTTGTGAAGGGCTTACGCTGGGACTGTGGAGAGGGCCGGCCACAGGAGTAGAGGTGGGAATTGGGGGCCGCGGAGGGATCCACGGATCTGAAGCCGGGTAGGCTAATGAAGGGGGTATGATGCTATGCCAGGAGGTGCGCTCACAGCCAGTTTGCCCGATATAGACGCACGACGCAAGTGGCGACGAGGGTTGTTTGGTTGCGAGCGTTGGGTGACGGACGGCGGGCTGCAGTGGATGAGGCTAACTGAGGGAGCTTGGACACTGGCCGGGCTCGGAAAACTCCACCATGCAGATGCTTTACCGAGGATCCTCCAGGGCTCACGTACTGCAGCATGAGGATGAGCATCAGGCTGCAGGCGTCCAACTGTTCGGGATTCCAGTCTTTTGCGCTGCAGAAGAGTCTACTTGGCACTTACTGTGATGTGACCGCAGGCCAGGTTTGGCTAGACGATTGGACGGCTGTCAGCGCCCACAGCGAGGACTACTGCTCAGAGTGAAACGTAGGACTCGGAAGCAGCTGGGCTGTTGTCTCTACCACGACGAAGCTTGTTTCTGGTAGTTACACAAGACGCTGGACACGCTCTGACGCTGTACTGTACGGTATTTGCTGCAGCTGTTCGTTCTCCAGTCCATCCGACATGGCAGCTTGCCACTACAAGTTGGGTCCAACATGGGTCCATGGATCCACGGGTCCAACATGGCTGCCAGGTGCTCCCTCGCAACTAACTCTGCTCAATGGCTGCTCGCCGCCGCCATTGTAGCCGGCTTCCTCGTCCACTTCCTGCGCCTCGGGATACTTGGCGTCGCCCAAAGCGGAAAGGCCCTGATCGACTAGCGTCGTCGTCCTGACCATGCCGCCGCAATGCCCATCAATCCATCCGTCACCTATCCCGTCAATCCATACCGCCAACCGCCCGCCCGCCCGGTTGCTTCTTTTGCTGTTGCGTGCATCGCATCATGTCCAGCACTGCGGCCATTTGTCGTCGGCGCCGGCATGTCTCTCCCGCCAGAACGAACGCATGCCTCGCGCTGGTGGCTGACCCAGCGCAAGCTGAATGCTGGCCGAGTCAAGCTGGGCCTCCAACCTCCACATATGTGGCCCGTGCCCCTACCCGCCCAGCTGCCCATGATATGATTTTCGCCAGGAATCGCGCGTTCCCGACAACTAGGCACCCTCAGCCTCTGATTGTGACATGTTTAAACACATTGATTGCCTGTAACGACTCACCACTACACTCTGTGGCCATCGAAATGCCTTCTTGGGGGACTATTGCCGCACAATCAGCGCTCCACCGCCGCAATTCCGGCCCTTCGACGAGCAAATATCTACAAGCAGGATTCCGATCGATGATCATCATCTAGTCTTTTGTGGGGCTCGGGATACCTCTCCTTCCAACATTGGCCGGCGTCGGGGCTCGAGATGCTAAATGCAGTTTCGACAAGACTTGCTCTCTTTCAACAGCCTCACTCGGAACGCTAATGCAGTGTCCTGCGTGCTCACACCACAAGGGCATTAGTGCGGCACTTTTCCACGCACTGGCTCGACATTGACCAAATCACCTTTGGGTCTGCTTGCTTTTTTCAAAGTCAATTGCAGAGGGGCCATGTGCTGGTTGTTGCACATGGTTCACTTGGAAGGCCGACCGCATGCCCGCTCGGCAGGACCGCGGCGTCTTGTTAGCTTTCTGCATCATTCTGCATGGCCATGGTTAAACAGGTGACCGGTCTGCCGCAGCAGCCATGTTCCGGAAAGTATACACATGCACGTGCATCAGTCTGAATAGCAGCACCCCCAGGGTGTCATGAAATACGTGACAGTGTGGGTAAGCACTTAATAAGCGTGTTTGGCGACTACAATGACCTTGATACACTAGTATGTCAAGTGTTTTATGATACCCAGGTGGCAGTCAGTAGGTGACGTAGCCAAAGTTTTATACGATACAGACAGGGGTTGCGAGTGCATTGATCAGCCAGGGTTGCGACCCGAGCGATGCTGGACCTCACAATCTGGCTGTGAAAAAACAACACTCATTCCCGAATCACCGGTAGCTCCCGGCCTCCAATCCAGACCCTAGAGAGCTTCTGCAATCTTCTCCCAATATAATATCAAACGGAGCCTGACGATGAAAGCGAAAGCGATACTGCGACTACGCGCATAACGCAATTGCGATGCAGGGGTTGATTAGGCTTTGCATTGGCTTCTACCAGACTTGGGGCAGCGCTGACTGAAATCCGACTACTAAAAACTCGACGCTCCGCTGCCTTGAATCAGCACTGCTTGGCAGATTGGACCCTGCATCTACAGTGTGAACAGCGTGAACAGCGTGAATTTCTCAGATGCGCCAGCACCTAACCCACTCCCGTTCAGCCGCTTACCACCTTCAACCGCTGATTGACAGGCACACCCCACACTCGCTAGCACTTTTGTTAGGTATTGCGAGCCACACGTGATGGTGCTGAAAACCCTGACGTTGCCAAGCTGTTCAGGCGTGCAGCTCGCGACTCCCCATTCGTGTGGTCGTATATGCTATAGGGCTGCATTTTGTCTTCAATCCTCCTAGGCACCCTCGTGCTCAAAATACCCCGGGTGGTCGCGCTATTTGAATGAAATGTGTATTGTGGCCTCATACTTCAGCTGGGGTTCTGCTGCTGTTCTTGGAATCAAGTCCGAGATGTTGCTTCTTCGACCCCTTCATATCCAACTGCATCATATCCAACGACGCTAGTGAAGCCGTCAATCTGACAACGCTTTTGACCATATTGCTTTAAGACGTCGACGTGGTCCGTATGGCCTTGCATGTTGGTTGCCTGCAGTATCTTATATCTCACATGCCGGTAGAAATAGGAAACACTTCTCATCTGAGATTGTGCATGGCCCATATCCCAGATCCACGCCCTCGCTAATTGATAGAACATGTTACACAAAGCACCTATTTATGGATCCACTGAAATCCCGGGTATTAACAGACGCACCCATTTTCCCGGCGGCCACGTTGTGACCCGCGTGAGCCATGTAACATCCACTGACCCGAGCCTTGCGCAGGTACAGCCAGTCTTTTGGTACCAGAGCTTACACTACGCATTCTTAGCGTACTTGCAGCGGCATATAACACTGCCTTCTGTAAGCGGAGACTGAAAGAGCCAAGACGGAGTTGTTCAACGCCACTCATAGTCTTGAAGTGGCGACTGTCATTTGCATATAGCATTGACAACTTTCTACATTAACCCACACTTCATTTGCCGCCAGACCCAATATTGAGTATAAGTTGTTCCCACGTTTTGGTGCCCGGGATCTTCCCGAAGGAACGGGGCGCGCCTTTGAGCTTCCATGTCCTATATAGATCGGCTACCCATGTCGAAGACCCTGGTTCCCTCCGTGCGCGCTATTACAACAACATGCAATCTTTTACAGCGACTTAACACCTCACAAGTCTAAATTACCAGCACTTACGTTCTTTGCCTTGGTCCCGTCCAAGATTGCGCAACCTCGAGCCTTACAGCTTGTCTCTACTCGGAACGCCAACTATATAATAAGAAAGTACCTTTAGATCTTTCACATACGACCATAGGACATCGACAATAGCGCTTCCCGTTCGCTCAGCGGTACTCAAGCGGTGTACCGGCGGACTAGTAGTCAGGTGGGTGACCACTGGCGAATCCCCGCTGTTGTATGTTTTTGCCATTTTGCATTCCACCTTCATTTCTACCTTTGTTCATAACGCTAGCAGTCCGCAGATCTTTCACATACGACCATAGGACATCGATAATAGCGCTTCCCGTTCGCTCAGCGGTACTCAAGCGGTGTACCGGCGGATTAGTAGTCAGGTGGGTGACCACTGGCGAATCCCCGCTGTTGTATGTTTTTGCTATATTTTTGTTCCGGTCCCTGCATTTTCGTGTTCTTTCTTTTACGCGTATAGCCGTATCCCTTAGCATTATACTGCGATTTCGTTGTAAACCTTGTCATTTGTTTTGGGTCAGTCAAGCCGAATACAGATATAGGGGTCTACGCCATGTTTACTTTTGATATGGACCCGAGCCATCGCTACCGCTATCTTTTCGCTGTGGTGAGTCAGCGGTCGGATGCTGATAGGCGTGCCTGGCGCCTACAGTGGCCTTTGCACACTAGTATATCAAGAACTTCTTGTCACCCAGGTGGTCCCTGAAGTTCTTAGGCGCCCGCAGAAAGTAATGCTGGGGTATACGGACAGCTCAACGGTTTCGTAAGTGAGTATGTGATACAAACGGCCTGCACATACATATGGGATCCTGTTTCGTAGAGCGCTAGTATCATGTATACTACTGCATCATTGTACTGTATGATCCACGAATACTAAAGTCTCGAGATGTGAAGTCATAAATAACATCGCAAAGCACCACCTCTTCTAAACATCTGTATTAATGCTAGGATAAAGTTTGACATTGCCTAGCTTATGCATCGCAGTTTTGCTTTTCGTCTATTCGTGGTGTCATGCAGACCCTGTATGCATACCTTGTTGGCGTGAACTTTGTACCTGTAACCGACCTTTACATACATCACCGTGGTGCGGAGAAGAAAGTTCGATACGAGGTTTGCAATTAGCTGACGCATGCTAGTAGCAGTGTTTTGGAAGCTGCTGCGATGCATCGACCACTAGTAGCACTTCGATGGACAAGTATCTGCACGTGTCATTTTAGAGGCGAGTCTTGCATTTTGTGTCTCCATCGGGTTTGCATGCGTAGAATTTTTCCTACGATATCTACGTCACCGAAGTGTTAAAAAAAATTCTTTGCGGGTTATATATGTGGGGTTCGAAAAGAATTACCCGAGTAGTCTCGAAGGTGCAGGCCTTCGTGGCTTAGTAGATACCACAGTCCGCAACAATCAATTAAGTGGGTCCTAGAAGGTTCAGATTGGATTGATTGATTACCGCTTTAAGCCTAGTAGTTACCTATAGGAGTTTAAGCCCTACCTAGATAGGTAAGTGGGTCTAGGAGAGTGACCGGATTGAATTGATTGTTGCGGAGTCTAGTAGATACACGGAGGTCTTTCCAAACATCTATATTCGTTACTGCCTCATAAGGTTGTAGGGTCAACTAGTTAACGAGAAAGGAAAGATAGAGAAGAAAGAAAAGAAGAAAGTAGACGAAAAGAGTACAAAGAAAAAAACAAGTAGAAGAGAGAGAAGTAAACAAGAGGAAATAAAGAGAAGAGTGAAAAGATGTAAGGAAAAGAAAAATAAATTTTTGTATAACTACGTAAACGCAGTATAGCTTATTACTTGTGAAGCGGACGCGTTATAAAATTTGCTTGGATTTATCGCTAGCTGTCGAATCGTGAGTATCGGTAGAGACGTCGGCTGCTTGACACTTCGGCCCGACTTCGGCCCACCTTGCGCAGAGCTTAGGTGTACCTTCGTAGCAGCTATGTTCGTAGAAGATCAATACCAATACCAGTCACCAGAAGAACCTCGTTGTTGTTATTCACCCGTACGATCGTACAAGGCCTACCAACACTAGCTTTACAACATATGCGGGGTAGCATTCTAGCAAGTGCGTGAATCACATACAACAACTTCATGTTTACGCATTTAATGGCAGTCGTAGATGAAATTATTTTAGCGAAATTGCAGTGTTTGCCGTAAGTGCGTTTAATATCATTCTGCATATGATATCGTAGAGTACAACAGCTTAGGGTCCCGAATCAATGAATTTCCCCAAAGCGGGGCAGTCTGAAAACTTTTCCCACTATCACTGTATCCGCCCCACCACTTATCTTGCGACACCGCTCCCAACGCGACTTTCCTGTTTCAAACTCACTTTATATTATGAGAAATCGATCATTCTTCCATCAATCAACAATATCCGATATGGTCTAGTGGCTAGGATTTGCCGCTCTCATCGCAGAGTCAGTTCACTGTATAGTGCCGGCAAGGCCCGGGTTCGATTCCCGGTGTCGGAAACATCTTTTTTGCCCATCTTTTGCATGTATTTGCTTAGCGAGCCTTTCTTTTTTGCTTGTGGGAGATTTTTGTCCAAAGACAGCGGTGACTTCAGGGCAGACCGAGTAGCAAACCCCATACTGACTACACGGCAGTACAGGGATTGTCTCTTGTTCTCCGTATGCGAAAGCACGTTATGGTTTATACCCAGGCATCTGCATTCACCTCTGCGAGCTTCCAATGCTGCAAACCACCCTCTTCTACATCTATTACGATTAGAGACCAGCTTGTACTAAGCGCGCTTGTGAGGCTAGCAATTTTAGTTTGTATGTTAAGTGATTGATAGGCCTATGAAGGCATTTGACGATTCTGAATATTCAGCCAAAAAGAAAACGCCAAAGAAAAGGCTCGCTAAGCAAATACATGCAAAAGATGGGCAAAAAATGTTTCCGACACGTAGCTGTATACGGTCAACGCATTGTCTAAATAAACGAAATGATGTTGTTACACAAAAGTCGTCGTCAACACTCCGAATGATCGCTTATAACACAGATAAGAAAACCCGACACAGCTCTGTGATATGCAGGTTCAACGCCGACAGCTACTCCTTCAGCACCGCCGCAGTGTACCCAGTCTTTGCCGTACTTGCACTTCCAACCCCGCCCTTGAGCCAACAGTTGGCGCCGATCCCACTCTCATAATTCTTCCGGAAGTCTGAATTGATCACCGTCGCCTTACATGTAGTATTCATGTCATTCTTCATGGCGTTGTATTGACTACACGCGTCAACGCATTGCTCCAAGGTATATGCAGTGAAGCTCATGAGATTCAGAACCAGTATGTTGGTGCTATCGAGGCAGCTGTACGTATAACGACTACTGATATCCGAGGTTTTGCCTTCCAGTTGGCTCGAGACAAGAAGCGTTGATGGACATGTTGTGTTGATTGACTGGACGGCACCAAAGGGCCGAGCTGTGTAGGCATCTTCATCCTGGCCTGAGTTGGTTGGACTCGCCGATGCTGTGCTTGTTGGTGTCGCCAATGCGGTTGAACTCGCAGCAGCCGCAGCCCTAGTCAAACATTAGAAAAAATGGATAATATCAGTAAGTGAACATCATACTTGTCAGCTTTGTCCTGTACGAAAAGCGCTCCTCCAATACTACCGCCCACGAGCGCACCCACTATGACGATAGAAAGAGAACAGAGGATCCAAAAGTTGCGTCGTCGATGTGCAAAGACCTTTCTCCACATTTCAGCGGGAATCTCGAGTGTACCGTTGTATTCAGATTGATCACTACGTGAGGGCGGATTGGAGGACAAGTGACGTTGTGTCGACCGCGTACGTGTCCGTGTCAAGTCATCAGGGAGGTATTCGCGGTCGTTATCGTGGAACTGTGGCAATTTGGTATCGCTGTTTGGAGAATACCGATTGATTGCCTCGGGGTACGTTTCGGGTTGGGCAATTTGCAGACCATCGGACATGTTGGGCGCCATGGTCCATCAGGCCGAAAAGCCCAAGGTCGGTATTGGGACGGTTAAACGAGTTGTGTAATCAATGTGAGGGACCAAGCAGAGTAAATATGCGTCTTTCCGCTGGGTCGAGCCTCTCGGAACTCGTAATGGCGGCGTGCTCTGTTTGCTGGGCCCAGCCTTCGAAAACTAGTAATGGAGGTGTGAACTCTTGCGGAGTCCAGCCCTGGATGACTAGTAAGTAGGTATGCTAATAATTCGGTTGGATATAGGCGCACTTGCTGCATAACGGCGTGGGGTTGCAGAGATCTCCTGGATTGATCGCTGAAACCATGCGGAGCGACGTCCATGAAACTCTTATCGCGGTACTGAGCGTACGATGTACAATGCTCCCACGTATAGGAGGGCTTGACCAAGTAGATTGGCCACACCGGTGATCAGATAGAGTGGCCCAATGTGGAAATCCCTTGGACCCCCCCTTTATGTTATCTACCCTTACGCAAAGCTTCACAAGCCATTATGCATGAGTTTCAGATGTGGTTAGTACTTTAAGATGAGATGATGTTAGTTGAAATCAGCTTGACCGTTCTTGGTGCTGCTCCTTCTTTCCTCTCTTCAGAGGTCAGTATTTCAGTCAGAAAGGTATGCCCTCGTAGATAGGATGCGATGGCCAAGAGCGCCTAATACTGATGAGCAAACAGCCCCATGTACCGCTATCCAAGAATAATTCCAACGCATATATGTTGAATAACGGACGGTTTTTGTCATCGACAATGCCTGGACCAGACGGTGACAGTATAAGCCCAGCACGAAGGGTTACTGGTTATTCTCATTTGCATTTGACGGCAGCTGACCAGACATCCAACATCAATACCCACGCAGATCATAGCAGAGAAAATTATTCCTGGTTCAGCTTTGCTTAGAGACGATTTTTGGGTGTGCGGTGAAAGTTGAGAGTGAAGACGACAACGAAAGGCGTGAATCGAGCACAGACCACAGTGATGACGTACGTCTTGGACAACACCGTCACAGGACACACAGCGGCGAATCTTGTTGCAACAACTAGACTAGCGCTTCGATATGATCACATGCTGTGGCGCAGCTATGAGGGCATCGTCACCTACGCCAAGTCTTGCGGCTTCCTCACGCGCTACCCTTCTCCAGCTTCCTAGGCAGCAACGAAACACCGCTCTTTCGTTTGCGGTAAGCTGTTCTAAGTTTCTTGACTTCACTTCATCATTTGCACCTTGAATTCTTCTCTCCGATTATTTCTTTCCAAGCGCGACCGTGTTAACAATCTGTAAACACAACACCTCGCCACCTCAACCTCACCTACATCATGGATATCCCTCGCGGCCACGCAGCGATGCCGCTCACAGAGCCTGATTTTCTGGACTTTGTCTACAACTACTTCAAGGCTGAATACTACCCCATCCGGTCTTTCTGGTCTACAGCTACGGCATTTCCCAACCAAACCCAACGATGGATAGCCATGGGTCACGAATTAGCGCCACAGGTCATTCGGCCCGCCAACGCGCAGGCGCAAAAGGATTTGGAGTCTCTGGATTACTTTACAAGAAAGTGGAACCTAGACGCTAGTTTTGTAAGAGGCTTGGTGATTAGGTTCTCCAAGTATGAATTGCACGAACGGCTAGAGAAGAAGCTGTACGAGTGTGCGAGACTGGATTTGATGGTGCGCAAAGCACTCAAGGAAAAGCACTTGATTGATGCATTGTGGCCTAGTCCAGCGCCGCGAAATATTGCAAAGGATTTATTGCAGCAAGGTGTTCAGGTTCGGCAGTGGTATGGCGACATGTTCCACAAGTACTTCCGCGTCTTGCATTCTATCGAGTCGTTCCAACTCCGCCCGGAAGTCGACCACCATATCAAGACAAGCGGAACGCTCATGCTTCTTCCTCATGTAGATCATCTCGTGTTTGGAAATGTGGATCCCATCATTCCTATCGTAGCCAGAGGCGCAGGGTATGCGAATGCAAAAGGACATGACAGGAGGGATAGGACTGTACCGGGTTTTGGCGAGCCAGGCAAGTTCGAGATTAGGTTCGATGCGCCTGCTGAAGTCACCGACACCTTCACTACGAGCGTAGTTCGGCAGTGTGAGTGTATGAAATGTGGGACAAAGCGAGACGTACAGGTGGTGATATCCGTCGATCCAAATCCGACCACCAGAAACGTGAGCAGACACCAAGGAGCGAGACCATCGGCGAGAACTAGTGAACCAATACCTCCCCGCCAGCCTCCCAGACCACAGGCTGTAACTCAGAATGCCAACGTCCCACGGCCATCGACACCGGAGCTCAAAAAGCAGTGTCCCCGCTGCACGTTCCTCAACGACCCCAATCTCACCGTCTGCGAGATGTGCGAAGCAAGCCTCCCAGATACAACCATCAGCAAGCCCCCCAGTCCAGTAGCAGTTACAAGAACACCCTCGCATTCCCACTCGGTATCCGCCCCGCCCCCTACAGCGCCCAACCCACGCCAAGAAGCTCTCAAGAAGGAACAAAGACCCGGAGCGCCAAACAGACACAGTCTAAGCGCCAGTCTCTTCTCAATCTTCCCATTCTCGCAGCAACAGCAACAAGAGCATCGTGCCAAGCTGCCGCCTACGCAACAAGTCCAAACAGAGACAGCCGTGCCATCCAAACCTCAGCAACAGGAGATGAAACAAGAGGCGAGACCGTCTTCCAAAGAAGGCAAAAGGGCACAAGCGGCACCCCCTGTAGTATCTCACGCAGAATCTTCATCAAGACAGCAAGGTCGAGCCACTACCCTACCAAATCGCACCGACACACCACCGGAGCCAGAACTCTCGCGCCATCCCGAAATGACAATGATGCCACTTTCACCCTCACCCCCATCATCTGCTTCGAAACGGCCCGCACCCGCTGGTCTTCCAAGTAATCTAATGGACGACTTTGTGCCCGTTTCCCCAGCATTTGTGCGAGAGGAAGAGGATGAAGATGCGGGATGGGGTTCCATGAGTCGTGAAGAAGCTAGACAGGGAGATACCAGTAGTGATGAAGATGATGATAGAAGAGGGAGCGAAGAGAGGGGGACGGGTATGATAGATTTGGATGCTGTAGCGAGAGAGGAAGCGGATGTTTGGGGGGATAGAGATGACTAGGTGGATGTCGGACTTATTTGTATATACACGGCTTTCTTCTAATATGCATGGATCTTAAAGCTATTCTCCGATAACGCCTCTAGGGATGTCCCCTTTAAAGTGTTGCACTCTTTAGCTACGTAGTGTGATAAGGGTATAATAGAAAAAAACTAGCAAGGAGGAACCTGTCCGTCTCGACGTCTATTCGACCTCCATTCCTTGCTGTCCTGTACGAATCCCGTCCAACGTTACGTCGGTTTCGGCCTCCGGAAGGGATGCGCTTCAGTGTTGAAAACCCAGTCGTCCAGACTGATCATATCGGGCGTACTGAAGATGAGGTAGAAATACTTCAACGTTTCCGCCGTCCAAAAACTCTCCATCTTGTTTTCGATGTTCTGTTCGCGCGTACTCAGCTCCCCATCAGCACCCGGGGCAGACTGGAAGCCTCGGCCGGGGGCTTTGGGCGCAACAAAAGTCACGTCTCGTACTTGCCCATTGGCGTATGGTGTTCGTGTGGCGGTGACGATACTGGAGAACATGTCCCAAGCGTCGTTGAGATATTGGCGATCGCCAGTGATGCGGTACATGATGAAGACGGACTCGATGGCTTCAGGTCTTAGGAGGTACCGTTTATCGCGGATGTTGGTAAAGCCAGTCGGAATTCTGTACTGTTTCACGGCGGATTCCAGGTCCTTGACATACTTACTGCTGTAGTGACGCATCACGCCCTCTTCCCAGGCTGATTCGTTCCATGGGCAAGAGTTGCGAGACTTGCAGGGGACCATGTCGAATGTCTCCGGCATGATGCCAGTCTGTGTAGCAGCATATGCGTAGATGCACCCCTTTGTGAGCTTTGCGCCAAGATCAACATGGCCGGGTTCGTTAAAGAGGCGACCTGCCAAACCAAACATGCCGCCGATGAAGCACGTAAGATGCTGCATCGTTGGGTCTAGATGGACTCCGTCGTCATATGTATAGATATCGCCACACATTAACAGATCCTCCCCATGTGCCTTGTCAGGGACCATGGGCCGGAAGAGCATATGCTCGTCAATTTTCTTGGCTGACTCGCGGTACAGCTTCTCGTACGCCTTGTCCAAACCGCCAAGTAGCGCGTGCATCTTGGGGAAGTACTCGTACGTGCTATCGGCAAGCGCGCCTATAGAAAAGGTACTAGACACGGTGAAATCCTCATTGGCCGCACTCATCATTGTTGGCCACAACCCGGGTATCCTGGTTTTGTCTTGTGCGCGATCCATAAGCCGAGTGATGCGGGCGACGGCGTCGTAGTACTTTGATTCTTCTGTGATTTGGGCAAGCCGAGTAAACTCCATGGTCAGCGAACCAAGGCAAGCAAAGCAAAGGTTGGACTCGGGAGTAAACGCAGTCCTGTCTGTCGCCTTTGCATTTTCCACATGAAGCCAGCCCAGAGGAGTGTTGTTTGTGGTGTCAAAAGCCCGGTAAAGCATCTCTCCGAGTTGCAATGCTTTCTTAAGCAAGATGGGCTTCGCACTCATGTCGTATGCGCTCAACAGCCCTCCCAGGTATCTAATCGTCGTCTCGAAGACGCTAACCGTGGTAAGGTTCGTCCTGCCAAAATCGATGGCCGCGACTGCCTCAACAGCCTCATAGAACTCCTCTTTGAAGCCCATGATCCACAGCGTATCTAGTGAGTCGACCAGCGTGGCGCCCCAGCCGCCAAACGACGCCTCGCCCTGGGCTGTGACGGGCCTAAGCTCATCCTGTGCCCACGCGAACTCCTTGTAACTATTCCAGCTCTGTCTGAACTCGTTCCGTATGGCGACCCTACGTTCCTCACGGTATCTTCGTTGCGCGCGTGTTTCGGGAAAGTGCTTGGACTGAACGGGCGGCAGCTTAAGCGGCGTGCCAGTAGGTAGCGGTATGTAGGATGCGATCTTGTTCACAAAAGGCGCCTCGCGCCAATCGTACGACTGCTTAGACTTGACGTGATCAAAACTCGAGCCATCCTGCATGTAGGCTTCATGATCCTCAAAGGCGACAGCCAGGGGATCAATGGGCTGTGAGAAGAGCCAGTAATAGGCGCCGAACGTGAGGGTACAGAGAAGAGCGTAGAGCAGGAACCGCTTGTGTTGCCTCGTCATGGGTTGTTGGTATGGCGCCCCGCGCGACACTTTGATCCTACGCATTGTGAGATAATGGCTGGAGGCTGTAGTCTCTCATTGAGAATACAATAAGAGCAATGTGGTCGTAAGAAGGCGTAATGCAAGATACTCCGGGTCCGGGGTATTGAGTTATGCAATGTTATACGAGAAAATAGGTGCTACAAAGCAGAGAAGAGTCGCTGTCCTCATGGAATCGCCATAGTAAAGGCCGGGTGGGCGCTATAGGACACCTCTTAAGTAACAAACCATGTAACAGAAGTAAGCCAACTGCCAAGGCAAGACCAATTGCCGATCAAGCGGCAGCTACTGTCCGCTGTGGCGTCAGTCGGCCAGCGCGTGCCGGAGAAATTCAAGAAGGAGCTTACGAGCAACCGTGTACTCTCTTTAAATTGAGGTGCATGTCGCTGATGGTTGCCGGACGCGCTAGAGGCACGCTCCTGCAGATTGGTTCCCGACGTCGCCACTTAGTTATGTGAGGCCTGCAAATGGTGCCGCAAGCCGCGCCACTACCACCATTTTCGGCCACCTGTAGACCTCAAAGCTTGTTCAACGACAATATCCTAGCCCGTGAAACCATCATACGCTCCTTGTTCAGCTATCCAGACTGGCCTAATCCTAAAGACCGATCTTATTATAAATTGGACACAAATTATGTGGAACCTAGCTTTCCTGAGGGGGAAGATATCCAGGCAGCCTACCAACGCCTCAAAGGGTAAGATATTTTCTACATGGTTATTGGTATGCAGACTGATTTTGGCAGGCTCAAGACTGAACACGAAAATGTCAATACCAAGTGAGTGAGACACGTAGCCTCCATTATGGTATCGTAAGATTGATCGACGTTTTGTAGGTTGAAAATTCTTGATCAGCAGAATGAAGAACTATACATCAAGCTGGATGAACTATCACGCCAGCTGACAAAGAAAGAGTAGAGACATCTAGAACCAAGCAGGAGTGCAAGGATCTTGGGGTCAGGTACGTTTACTATGATTATGGCATTACAATATCTTCATATCGCTAACTGGGTAAAAAGAAAAGTCGAGGAGGCTGCCACGCAGTTCTCTAGAATATGGAATCTTACCTGTGCTAGAAAGCTGCAGGCTCGTTTCCCACGCGAAATACGAGACCTAGTCTACAAGCACATGTTGGATGCCGAAACGATACAGAAATGCTACACGTACATGATAGACAAGCCACCAAACGTCAAAACTGTCGAGGACCACTGGGGCTTGCCACACTTCTTCAAATCTTCCTACATGGGTCGGCCCATAGCTCGCGAGATCGTAGAGATGTTGTATACTCTCCTGCCCACTGTTCTCCAGGTCCGCGGCACAGGGAGCCGTGATACGTATGTCTTCGGCTCAATAGTGGCGGAGCGATTCATCTCAGAGGATATTTGGCGCATTGATGTAGCTCCTGCAGAGCTACTGAAAGATTTTAAAATTCTAGTGAACCTAGAAGATGTTGCACTAGACCCAGAAGAAGGACAACTGCTCACAGACCTGTTGTTGAGTATCAAGAACAGAAAAGGCTTCAAGCTCGAAATCCACCTTCACCAAAACAAACTACGACTAAACCTCTGGCCACAGGCCTTTGAGGTTCTTAAACCTATATTGGAAGAATACGAGCGCCAGGATGCAGCAAAGATACTTATCATTCATCGATATGAGAATTATCCCGCTCTTTGGGCTATCGAGGACAATCTCGACAGAGTAGAAACCAAGCTGGAGCTCAACGAGATGATTAATCGCCTTGGGAACAACTGGATGGAAGATGCGACCAAGTTTTCTGAGTCTGTGAGTATTCCCTGTTTCGATATATGCGTACATATCTAACACTCTGATCCAGCATCCCGAAATTGAAGACCGTCACCGCTATTACCTCGTCAGAACAGATGCAGACTGCGAGTCCGACCGTTATCCTGATTTTGCTGCAATCCGAGCTTAGAGACGAGGGTATTACGATTACATGTAACTTAACCACTGCGGTTTAGATATGGCGTATTCGATCAAATGTTCATTAATTTGATTCCATCAGTTCGTCTTACATACGTACATAATACACAGCTAGCCCGCTCAAAGACGCGCAGATCCCAGCACCATGCCCTTTTTCTAAACCCTCATCAGGTCTTTCTTCCAAATGAACGCCAGCTATTGTACAGTGGGCACGAGACCCGTGGAGTGGTGAGGAATATTCGCTAAGATGGACCGTGTAGATGCAAGTAATGTTGAACATGGAAGAGAAGTAACGTGGCCGCGCCTGTCCGGAAATGTGCCCGGACGATGACGATGACGAGAGCGTTTCCGTCGCGTAAAGTGCAGCAAGGTTATCTAATCGATTGCTCTTTGGTCGGGCTCGAAGAAGACCTTTCGTGTTATCTGGGTCAATGTTAGCATATGTTTTGCCCAGGAGTAATGTCTAAACTCACAGCCCAGCCTCCTGCCACAGTCGCGCATATGCCCGAGCTAATGGCCATTTGTCTTGTCCCCCGTGTGCTCTTGAAGAGGGCGCCACTCAGCGCGCCCGCCACTATACTGTTACTTGTCTCATGCTTCCCCCGGTAGTGACCAATGGTGCTGTTTATTCCATTGTAAACCATGGCAATCACGCCCGCGCTGTTGCCCAAGAAAGGCCCTCTCCGGGTTACCGCATTGAGTACACCGTTGATTCGCAACCGTGGCGGCATACTCGGCGGGTTCTTTTGTAGCCCCTCAGCTAGTCCCCATGCTCCCCCAATTGTTAGGGCAGATAGATACGATACTCCGGTGCCATAACATAAGTCGTCTGACCAGCCGCGAGATGGGAGGGCTGATTGTGCGCCGGGTAGATCTGATAGGACTGAGTCTTCTAGTGATAGATAGTCGAGTGTGCCTTGGTTAAGGCCAGCGAGCGGGTGCAGTTGCGAGGGATCGAGAAGAAATTCTGAGGGGTTCTGAATGGCCGTGTTGGGGTCGAAAGGCGTGGGTTGGAAGGTGTCTTCTTTTACAAAGTCGGAATTTTGGGGCGATTGTGTAGCCGTTTCCTTGGACTTCCGCCCTGTTAGGGAGTCCCAGCTAGATGCAGTCAGTAAGGGCGAAATTGCCAGGAAATACATAAGGAAGATTGACATACATGCCCATCTTGAAGAGGTCGAATTATGAGGGCGTAAAGATGGCGAAAGGCTACACCTGGCGACGACCAATACTCCGGAACACACAGAGGACCAGAAAATACAGCCGGAATCAAAGGAATTGTGCACGATTCAAGGTGGAGATGCGCAGACAATGGCGGCGTGGGCTGGGGCGGCGGCGGTGATGTCGCGAAAAGTTCTGGCGAGCAAGCCGGGGCAGTGACGAACGACTAAACGCACAGACCATGCTCGAAGGCTCGTTGCTTCCGAGCTCGGAAAGAAATGTTCGCAAACAGCCCACCACTCGGAAACATAAGACAACAACGTCATTAAACACGCCCACCATGTCGCTCCCCGAGTTCAAGCAAAACTTCCTCAAGGACTGTGTCTCAGCTGGCGCTCTTAAATTCGGCACCTTTACGCTCAAATCCAAGCGCATATCACCTTACTTCTTCAATGCGGGACTCTTTCACAGGGCTGACCTGCTGCGCTCCATATCCTCAGCGTATGCGCACACACTCAAGACACATGGCGACTCAGACCCTTCGTTCCAATGGGACATTCTGTTCGGACCGGCCTACAAAGGCATTCCCCTAGCCGCCGCATCAGTCGACAAGCTCGCTGATCTAGACCTTGCCAAGTACGGTCAGAAGAGTTACAGTTTCAACCGCAAAGAGGCAAAGAACCACGGTGAGGGTGGAAACATAGTTGGCGCGAGTCTGAAAGGAAAGAAGATTGTCATTGTTGATGATGTCATCACTGCGGGCACTGCCATCAGGGAGGCTATCGACATCATCAAGAGGGAAGGCGGGGAGTTGGTCGGAATCATCGTCGCTTTCGATAGGCAGGAGAAGACACCTACACCCAATGACGATGACGGGAAGCCGGGACCAAGTGCGATTGGCGAGGTCAGGAAACAGTATGGCATTCCTGTCCTTGCGATCTTGACGTTGGATGATGTCGTCGAATACCTGAGAAGTCTGGGCGGAGAAGAGGATTTGAAGAAGCTGGATGAGTATCGGGCCAAGTACAAGGCGAGCGATTAAGCGCTTTGCAATGCGATTCAAGACGCACCATGCTCGGATTCCAGTTTGTTCATGATATATGACTAGACTCGACTCTATTATCATTCGTAACATCTACAGAATATCGTTGATGGTTCGATTGCACAAGAACCCCGTAATGCAGCATGTAATGAAAAACGCTAAATGCTGGTATAAGAACGCTACAACAAATAAACCAGGTATCAAAGAAATAGACAGAACAGAAGCTTCTCGCTTCCCATTAAGCAATAAAGCGTCTCATCTCTACAACACGGAGTTGTCTAGGGACCACATTCACCGGAATCATTGAAACAATCATCCCCAAAACACTCAACGTCATTATGCCGCCAACTCCTGCGCCTCACTCTTCGGTCCGTGATTATGCGCATACTTTGTGCTATCGGGCATCTCACTCGTGCCGTGGCCATCCACCTCCGCGGCAGCATGGGCATCATAATACGAGTGCCGCGTATCAATTTCTGCCGGACTATAGGCAGGGGCGGGCCCGTATCCTGCATTGCCCATCGCATGTCCATCTTTATCTGCACCAGCACTCTTGGCTGATTTCCTCCGACGCCACCAAAAGATCGCGAATCCAATGGCTGCAAGAGCGACCACGCCGCCGACGGCGGGGCCGGCGATCCACGCTTTGCTTGACAATGAGGTGTCATCGTTGGCAGAAGGGGCTGGAGTGGGGGCAGAAGAGGGAACGTCGATGTTGTGGATGACAGCGTAAGTGGAGAATGATTGGTTCGTGATAATGCTCGTGGTATTTTGTAGGTAGCAGTTCTTGTACCCGCCCTGGAGTGTGGAGTCGAACAGTATAGCTCTGCACGCCTTGTCGCTGGATGCACAAGCTTCCATGCAGGCAGTTATATTCTGCACATGTAAGCTCGTAATGTTTGTGCCTTGATTCAGCTGTCCACAGTGGATATCGAACATGACCCCACTCTGATTTTCGTCTCTACTATATTCGGTAGTATAGGAGGGGCGCAAGGGGCACTTTGTGTCGACCTGGTCAAACTGTGTTATCTCCGCAGAATGGAAGACACCAGTGTTCTTGACGGGGTCTCCGAATCCAGCATCCGTACCGGTTTTGGGCCAGCAGTTGGCGAAACCAATCTCAAGACCGGGATTCCAGGAAACAGAACGACAGAGTGGATGCTGATCAACACATATCGCCATGCAGTCTTCGAGCGTCGCCGCATGGTAGAAACCTGAGTATGGGCTTGGCAAACATGGGTATCCACTGAAGCAAAGGTCGTTGCCCCCAATAACCTTTCCGCAGTGGGTGGTGTATTGCATCCCACTGACGCCGGGCAGGGTGTTGATCGACAAATCGGTATTCGGGCATGCTGTATCGTATCCCTTCATATCTTTCCTGTCGACGAGTGCGGAATAGTGGCCAGCCAACGGCACAAGGCTTGCGGTAGAGACGTTGCTGTTCCTTATCCAACACGCGCCGGCGCTCTCGACCCAAACGACACCAAAGCAACCTTCGCCATTTCCCCAATAGCGTGAGCAGTGCTCCATACATTCTGGATAAGTGTTTGTCTGAAAGGATTTACCGAAACCGTTCTCAATTATTGCATCTACCATTTGTCAGCCACGGATCCTTTGGGAAACGCTAGCGCGACCTCGTGCTCACCATTGAACGGGTTGTTCTGCTCGCAGTACGAGGTAAAGTTGAGGCCATTTCGCGATGTGTAGGTAACGGGGCATTTGGTCGCATTGTCCTGACGTACTTCGAGATCGCGACTGAGTATACGGTCTGAGAAACCTGTTCGCGTCTTAGTATATGGTACTTATGATCGTATTTGATGTCCGATCAAACCTACTCGTAGGTGTTGCAAGGGCAGCATTTGCACATATCAGAGCCAGCAAGCTCTGTCTTGACAATCTTAACATTTTGCTGGCGATCTGCTTCGTGTAGCGCGTCGAATAGCGACAAGGACGAAGTGTTACCCGTAGGCCGTACAATGTACGAGGCCTGAGATATGTAACTCAGGTACAGTACCAACGGAGGAGAACAAGCTCAGGAACAAGCGAAGCAGATATGAAGTCATGGGTGGTAGGAATCCAGCGCAGAAGAGCGGGACATGAGGCCCCCAATCTACTAACTTAGGGGATCGTCCATAACACTGCCCGGATTGCACATTGCACAACGGGGTTGTGGCCCCAACATGCGACTCAAGGCTGTCAGTTCCATAAACGCTATGCAGCCACACGCATCGTGAGTGGTTGGTGTAGAAGAGTAGGGTTGATCGGATTAGCACCAGGCTGCCATGGGCGGGCTGAGCAGGACGTGAATGGAGGCCGTTGGATAGACAAGTGCCTAGATTAAGATTACCGACTTGATTACTGGGATATGTCGCTACTCAAATCGCGACTGCTCGAATCTGGTATCATATGCTGTATTCATACATGTGCTTCTCAATCTGCGTTTTGTCATGGGAAGTAGCTTGCGACGATTCTTGCGACGATTCTTGCGAAATACTAGGACGCGGCTCGCAGCATCATGCCAGATGAGGGTCCAAAGCTTAGCACGCACAGACACCACCCGGCGCCTACACGATTACTATTCTTGACCCTTCAAATCTCGGGCACACCATGGGGCAGCATCCTGTAGACCTATGGTTCCTGAGACAAGGTCATCGCATATGCTAGGCTGTGCCACCAGGAAGAACAAGCAGATTTGATCATGTAACAAGCGCGATCTAAGCCAACTCATTCAGCCGCAAAAGTCATGTGACAGCAAACAAGGATCAACAAACACCAATCGATTACAGGAGATGAACTGTGCATATGAAGGTTGCTTTTCTAGAAGTCGCGTGATGGAAAGAAGTATTGCATTACCACGCTGGTGTCGTAGACAGCGAGTAGGTATCTGATGCATCCTGAACGCCAACCATGATTTTTCCGAGCTACAAAGCAGCAAAGCGAGAATACTAGATACAACAACTCCGCTTATCTGTGGCTGGTCTTTCCGATACCACGCTTGCCAGCAGTCTAGGCTAACGTTAGCAAATGTGTTTTTAGTGGGGCGTTCGTTGAGATGACTTACCAAATGCTTGATCAAAGAGCCAGTCTGGTGCCTGTCGGCTTCACCCTGTCTGGCCATTCTGTTCATCTTCTTCTGCGACAACTTGGCCAGCTTCTCCGCCTTTGAAGCGGCAACCTCATTTGTGACACCGTCAGTCCTCCTGTTGGTGCTCTGGCTGCGTCCTCGGCTCTTAGCGCGTTCAAGCGCAGACTTGGGTGTATCGACATCCATAGCATCGGCGCCGGGGCCCTCTGATTTTCCACGGGCCAAACTGCGTCCTCGTGCTTCGGCTTGAGCCGCCGCACGCTCGACAACCTTTGATGTATCGTATCCAAGGCTCTCGAGATGCGATTCCATCTGCGACATTTGCTTCGCCTTCTTAGTTCTAGGAATGACAGCCCTGTTCTTGAGACTCTTGCGCATCTTGGCTTCGTTCCGGATAAGCTGCCTCTTTTCACGGATAAGCTCTGCCTTGTACCGGATATCTGCCTCTTCAGCATCTTCAAGATCGTCGTCTGATTCGTAGAAGCCCTCGCCCTCCAGCTTCTCCTCTTCGGCTTCGAGTGCCGCAAGCTTCTCCTCGATGTCAGGGTCGATGAAGTCGTACACGTTCTGGCCCTTGAAGACTTCGGGGATGCGATCGTGCTTCCACTCGTCGTTATCGAGCAGGTAGTTTTTGCGCAGGTCGATGTTGTATACACCAGCTCCACCGTTCTCTTCTTCGAGATCGCGCTCAAGCATAGGTCGGTCGGGGTCGTCTTTGTTGTACTTTTTCTTGTTCAGAACGGCTTCAGGTATCGAAGTCTCACGAGTGACGCCACCCAATGGCTGAGCAACGTGAATACGGCGGAGCAGTTCACCAAGACGGCCAGAAGGCTCGCCAGCGCTGTTGGTACCAGCCTTCAGCTTCTCGGCATTGCGTGCAGCGATCAAGCGATCACAGACTGAGTTGCGTACGGCCATGACACCCTCGAGAGTATTGCAGGAAAGCTCGAGCATCTCGACTTCGCCAGACTTGAGCATACCCTGAAGCTGCTCTTGGGTCTCAGCATCGAGCTGATCTGGGCGCATGAGGTCGATTTTGTTGACTACAATGGAGATCAACTTGTTTGCGAATAGAGGTTTGATATTGTTGAAGAGGGCGATTTGGGAGGCGACGGAGTAACCGCATTGCTCACTGAGATCCATAAAGTAGAGGATGTGAGCACGAAGATGAGCAATGGCGCAGATGGACTGATGCTCAATGGTGTTCATGTCCTCAAGCGCGTGGTCTAGAATACCAGGAGTGTCGACTGCCTGGAATCGGAGCATCTTGTAGTCGAAATGGCCCACGTACAAACTCTTGGTAGTGAAAGCGTACGGCTGCACCTCGACATCGGCTCTTGAGATGGACTTCAAGAATGACGACTTGCCGACATTGGGGAAACCGGCAATGACAAGGGTGCGCGTGTTGGGGTCGATGGAGGGGAGACGACCCAAATGCTGCCTAACCTGCTCGAGATAGACCAGAGGGTCTTTTAACCTCTTGCAGATGGTGGCCATGCGACCCAGCGCCGCCCTCTTTAGCTGCTTGCACTGGAAGAGAGATTGTCCGTACTTGAGAAGGCGCACATAGTCGCGCGCAACTGTTTCGATGAGTGACTTTGCCGTAGACAGCTGACCCAGGGCAATTCGAAAGTGATCCGCATCATATAGTGTGTTGAGAAGATCGCGATGGAACGGGTGGATATCTGCCAGACGGGGAAAGGCCTCGATGGTGGTGGAGAGGCGCTCGGTGAAGGTCTCGGATGTGTATTTGACTTTTCGCGTGTAGAAAGCTCGAATTCTGCTGATCTTGAAACCTGCGCGAATCTGAGTAGGCAATCTGGGGTTTCAGTCAGCTTTTGTGGTCCGTGTTGGATATGTGTGCGCGAGGCGTAGGGCGAATTGCGCGAGTGTGTGTGTATGAAGGAATTTTGCGTCCTACCTCCTCTGGGTCCTGGAGAGCACGATGTCCAGAAACTCCTGGCTCGTGGGCACGGCGGGAATATCCTTCCACTGGGTCTTCATTTTGGCGACTGTGAGCTGTTGTGGTTGCAGTCGTTGCAGTGGTTTGAGCAGTCTGCGACGGGCTGGCAAAAAGTTCGAGCGCGCTATCGATACCAACCAAAAAATACATTTTCCCCACTCAGCGCCAAGCCGTCGCCTCACCAGCGCTAACACTCGATTGAGCCTCAACTCAAGATCTAGCCATCCAGGGATGTCGCTGTCCGCCAGGGCTGTCAAACATCACGCCTTGAATTCCGCCGGCTGCATTGACACAAAAATAGTCGGTCGTGATCATGGGTGCCTTCCGACGTTACATTGGCTACAAAAGTCCGGACCGCAAGGACCTGCCGAATTGTCCGGCTGTGTCGTTTTACCTTGAGATGCTATATGTCTAAGACCATGGCCACTTTACAGGTCGACATTCAGGCTTACTTGTACCTGAACTGAGATTGCCTCGGGCTGGAATACGACCAACGATAGTAGGACCGAATCGACCGGAAACCCTCAGCTGGAGGACAACAAATCCTCAACATCCCCTTGATTCACTCCCAAGACACAACGTGCAATGAGCTGCCATCGGCCTGATTGCGAATGGCTTCAACTCAAAAACCTCACTGGGCTCAAGGTGCCGACACTCGCTGCAAATGCCGACCTTTCAGGTATCGGAGTGCGTATTCCGATCCATTCCGCGTGGGTCCGACTGACAGTGGGTACAGGTCATTGTGGGCTTCTCCATGTCGGCGTACCTCACATTGCTGATGCTCCTACTCCACTACATCACCATCTTCGACCTTGGGAATACGGGTAATGAACATACAGCACCTGTCAACTCAGTCGACTATGGAATCCTTACTTGGATTCGCTCTCACATCCTCTCCTGGAGACCCAGCAGACGCTTCAACAAAGCCATGGAGAAGTCGGTTTTGACTCTCGGCGATTTGAATGTTGTCACAGGCATTGGAATCTTGATTGCCGGCTACTCGCAACTCAAGTGTGGTATTTCTGCTTATCACTGGCAGATCATGGTCTTCATTTCCTGGTTCGCTAGCTTCTCTTTCGTATCGGCCATGACTTTTCTCCAAGGCTACTTCCGAGTCAACAGCACCATGCGCCTTATACGCATCTCTTTCATGGTCATTTTCGTAGGCTTGTTAATAAGCGCGTTGCTCCCAACTGGGTCGAGAATGTGGCTGAACGCATACCCCGACGACACCGAGGGCTTCTACCCTAGCATGAACGCCGCCTGCTTTTTCACTGAACTTCGCATGCCTGCCAAGTTCCATAAGGGCGCCAATTTCTGGACCATGATCTTCTCTGTCCTTCTCATTTTCGGCTCTCACTTCCATTGCGGTATACGCCTGTTCGACCCAACTGCAGGCACCTCGCGTAAATATCTTCGGACGATACCCGGTAGGAAATTCAAACAAGTCCTCTACTCCATGGAACGCAGAGCAGGCAAATCTTACAGTCTTCATGCTCTTGTCTGGAAGGCTGTATATCTGTTTACATACGCCATCTTTACCTTTGTTCGAGCTGTCTACGACATATGCGAATCGATGCTTGCAGAGATAATCTGGTTAGCATTTGCAATGGCATGGGGCACCATCAAAGTTTGGTTGACGCGCGCTTCAGCAACAATCAATTTCGACGGCAAGAATTATACCTCAAATTCGCTCTCCGAAGAGAACTTCTGGTCGTTCGGTCAAATCCTTCCGTTGGTCTTATTCCTGCTGCCCTTACTCTCCATGGCTCAATCGTACCTTGAAGACAATGCGAAAGAAGAGGAACACATGCGAGCAATTGCAAGCCCCGAGATTACAACGCGAAACGAAGAACCGAAGCACGTGACTGTAAGAGCATTTACTGACACCACCGACGCGAGCAATGCGGCTTTTGTTCACTCAAACACGTGGACTTCCTTCAACCTGGATGAGACAAAGCGTACTAGGCTTGTCGATCTCCCCCCTTACCCCTACCTCAACTTCTCTTCGCATTCATGGTACCGCGACCACCTTGCTCTTTTGTTGTTTCAGATCCTTATGGCAGCCACCACGGCGCTATACTTTCTCACGTCATTGGGCGACGTCCTCGGCATTTCCTCTATCCTCCGTAGCCGACTCTTCGTTATCTGGGGGCTGGTGTTCATCCCGCTGGCTTCGTTGCTCCATTTGACAATCTGGTATCTTGGTGCATTGGTCGTAGGGTCATGGCCAGGGCCAGGTGCTAAGAATTGGTTGATGGGAAATGGAGAGGGGTGGAGGAACAAGAGCAAAAAGAGTATGTTGGGGCGAACGGTATTTTGGACCTGCAGGATAGGCCTTATACTCGGTTTACTGCTGTTCACATTCTTCCTGAGCATGGAAATTGCAGGACCGCAATCGCTATGGCCGTAATCGTAATGTTGGGGGTAAAGGATTTATGTAAGATGACGTTTTGTGTTTTAGCAAGTTTTGATACCATGGACAATTTTTATTTCCACCCCTCAGACTAGAACCTGGAAATGAGCATCTACAGGGTTCTTCCCGTTGATGGTGAGGACATCTTGTGGACAGGCGCTCATCACCACAACCACGTCCCGGAGTGCCTCCAAGACGACGTAATCACCCGGCTTCGTCTTGGGCTCTTCGAAACTAACGCCACGCTTCGCCCCCTCGCCTTCTTGCGTAATGGGGATATTCATAAACAGGTTGAAGGGATCCGGGACTCTACCGCCTAGCTTGCCTTGCATTGCTTCCAACGCCTCTTTCTCCTCCGCATCAAGAGATGACGATGCAGAAAGCGCATGTAACGCATCCCAAAAGTTATCCGTACAAGACTCGTGGTATCCGTTGACGCCCAGTTCGCTGTACCGCCATCTGTCACACGCTGCGATCAACGTGTCGTGCACACCAGGACTCGTGTCTTCGACCACCTTTACCATCGGCGCTCTCTTTTGGCTGACCATGACATCGCCTACTGCGGGCGTCACTTTCAGCAGTGTCGCCCTACAGTGACACATGGACATGTATTCAGGTGCACTTGCAGCGGCATTGGCAACATCCGAGTACTTGGAGGGCGAATCGGAAGTTGCGTTTGGATATATAGGTGCTTCGACTTTTGAGGATGCTGTTTGGAGGTCGGTGGAAGGCAATGCAAGAGCCCACGTGTCGACTACTTGGTTACCATGCGTGTTTATTATCTTGATCTTTTGGCCGGCCTTGATGATGGTGGCTGCACCCCGGCGTGCGGGTATAGTCTGGATGGAGGACATGATGAATACTGAAATTGACAGAATTGAGGTTTGATCTTGTGAGAGAGCACTATTGATATCAGGTTCGGAGGGGTAGTGGTACATATACGTCTACCCCACTTGCTATTGCGTCAGGCGGGACAACATGATAGGAAGGTAGGATCCGATATCTGACCTGTTCCTGTCGCGCAAGATTGGGACAAGATAAGTCACAGTCATGAGACTTAGCAACGCTAGATGCGGGGGAAGGGGGCAAGTTGAGAAATGGACATGCTACCACGAAATCGATCATCATCTTTGTAGTTGGAACCCATCCATTTCTTATTCTTAGATTGTTCTTGAATCCCTCAGATTACTATTACAATCAATAGTTGTCGTGGTGAGTGTATGCAAAGTGGGGCGATCTGGGGTCGCGCCAGCGAGGTATCCATGGATCCATAGTCGTCACGTGTCAAGGGCGCGACTTCCCAAACGGCCACCCTAGCATCATCCCCGAAACGCCGCAACCCAAAATATCCCCACCCCAGCTTGACTCGACTCCTTCACCGCCAGCCAGGACCATTCCTACCCAACCTTCACCATGGCTGCCCTCGCGACCAAGACGCAGTCGCAGAATATTTTTACTAAATTGAAGTCGAAGCCTGCGAACAAGGTACGTCTCGCTCCCAGACAATGCCCAACCCAGACCTAACGCATGCAGATATGCTTCGACTGCGGCGCAAAGAACCCAACATGGAGTTCTGTTCCCTTTGGAATTTACCTATGTCTCGATTGCTCGTCCAACCATCGTAACATGGGTGTCCACATCTCGTTCGTGCGATCTACCAACCTTGACAGTACGTTGAACCCCTAAGACACCAGACGTCATACACCATGGGGACACATGCTGATTTGAGACAGTTTGGCAATGGGACCAATTGCGCATCATGAAAGTCGGCGGTAACGAAAGCGCAACCAAGTACTTCCAGTCGCACGGAGGCTCTGCTGCGCTCGCGAGTAAAGACCACAAGGCCAAATATACCAGCAATGCCGCCACCAAGTACAAGGAGGAGTTGAGCAGACGTTGCGCTGCCGACGCCAGAATGTAAGTCGCCGCATGCCAATGTGCAAGCCCATGTACTAATCATAGGCCAGGTATCCGGATGAGGTTGTCATCACCGATGTCGTCGAAACTGGCAGTGACGGCACCAGCACCCCCGCCGGCGACGAAGACGACTTCTTTTCGTCGTGGGATAAACCTGCTATCAAGCGACCCTCGAACCCACCCTCGCGAACCGGTACACCAAAAGTTGGCTCACCTTTCCTCAAGCCTGCCAATCCCAACGGGACAGATCGCCCAAAGTCGCCGCTTGCGGGCAGCTCCGAACCAAGCACGCCAACCACCGTCCCAGCTGCAAAGCCAGCAACAGCACGAAAGACTACCGGAGGCTCCGCACCAAAGAAGAACATCCTAGGCGCAAAGAAGAAGGGCCTTGGAGCAAAGAAGGTTGTCGCTGCAGACGGCGGTCTCGACTTTGAGGAAGCAGAAAGGAAGGCTCGGGAAGAAGCAGAGCGCATCGAGAAACTGGGATATGACCCAGACGCCGAAGCCGCTGAGGCCGCCGCAGTATCAAAGTCAAAGGCTTCCGCAGCTTCCGCTATTGTCTCTCCTACGCCTGTCTCTCCACCACGAGGTGGTTTTGGATCGACTTCCAAGCCTGATCGTTCGGATCAGGATATGGAGAGATTAGGTATGGGCGTACAGCGCCTAGGATTTGGACAAGTAGGCGCTGCAAAGAAAGCTGCGCCCCAGAAGAAGATGGGAGGCTTTGGAAGCGTGGGCAAGCCTGCTGTGGATGACAGCGAAAAGTATGCGCGGGAGAAGTTTGGCACACAAAAGGGCATCTCGAGCGATGAGTTCTTTGGCCGTAATGCATTCGATCCTACCGCGACCGCACAGGCCAAGGAAAGGTTATCAGGTATGCACATCTCAGCGCACATGTCTAAATGCCACGCATTTGCTAACCCACATCCCAGGTTTCGAAGGCGCAAGTGCCATCTCTTCCAACGCATACTTTGGCCGCCCCGAAGACGACGTGCCCGACGAAGACTACGGCGACCTCGAGACCGCCGCCAAGGACTTTGTCCGCAAATTTGGTCTCACTGCCGGCGACGACCTAGAGAATCTGACCAACATGCTTGGCGAAGGCGCAACCAAACTGCAAGGCGCGGTCCGAAACTACCTCAACTCGTAGGGAGGGCTTCAGGAAAATTGGCCTTGCGATATGGGACAATGGAGGGGGTGAGGTTATAGAGGTGATTGGGTGCATTGCAGGAGCATGGAAGAGGGCACAGGCACCGTGAGCAATGGCGTTAGGGGCGGGCTTTGTTGTAGCTTCTTTGCACTGAGACTTGTTAGGTTGTTAGCAATAGCAATTGATATCTTTGCCTATGCACTCGGACTATACAATCTCACGATGACACAGAGGGAGAGGAGGTGAATCACACTCGATCAAGATGCACAAAAAAATCATTGGAAAGTGTTCATTTGAAATCAAGGCTCGAGACATTAACACTATATACACATAACAGTTTTTAGATCAGAAGAAACCGCGCTCAAACAGAAATGTCGTGTCCTACAACTTGCTCGCTCCACCCATCAACTCTGCACCAGCACCGGAGATGGCAAGCTTGCCCGTCTCCTTGACCTTTGTCTGGAACATGACTGTGTTGTTCACCTTCCACATCTCGGTGATGAGCGTCTGGCCAGGCAGGACGACACCGGCGAAGCGAACCTTGATGTTCTTGAAGGGGCCATATGTCTGGAGGATGTGTTTACCCGAGATACCGAAGCTGCAGAGGCCGTGGAGGATAGGAGTAGGGAAGCCACCAGCCTTGCTGAACTGGGGGTCGATGTGCAGGGGGTTACGGTCACCGGTGAGACGGTAGAGAGCAGCCTGCTCCTCATTTGTGCGCTCCTCGACGACGGTGTCGGGGGCACGCTGAGGAGGCTTGTGAATCTTTGTAGCCGCACCACGGTCACCGCCCTTCTTCGGGCCGCCAAAGTTGCCTGAGCCACGGATGAAGACTGTGCTCTCGTTGTAGAAGATTTCCTCGCCAGTGTTGGCGTCCTTGGTTACGCTGCCGTATACAACGAGGCCAGCGGCGCCCTTGTCCACAACCTCGACCAGCTTGGGTACGGCGATGAGCTTGGCTTCTGTGGGGATAGGGAATTTGCGGATCTCGAGGTACTGCTCTCCGTGGAGGAGCATGCGGAAGTCGAAGTTGGGCACGATCTCGTCAAAGGAGAAGGGGTTTTCGGCGTTGAAGGGAGGGATGACACCAAAGGTGGGGACGACTTGGAAGTTCGGGTCGCCCTCGTAGACAAGGGGGAGGTCGGTACGCTTGGCGCCAATTCCGAGGTCTGTAGGGGTTGTTAGTCAGATAACGGAGGTCGGAGTACATGAGACTTACTGTAAAGGATGACATCCCTCTCGGTGTACTCAAAGGGAGTACCCTCAGGCTTAGCCGCGAATGCCTTCTTCTGAGCCTCCAGAACCTCCTCGTTGCTCTTGGTGGCCTTCTTCTCCTTCTTGCCCTTGCTAGTGTTCTGCATGTTTGCCATGATGGACTTGAGACCATCACTGTTGTCAGCTGGGTTGTCGGCACGGCCATCGTCGAAGTTGATGATACGTTGCCATTGAGCGAGAACAGCCTCTGGGGTAAGTTTGACGTCGATCGGGAAGCCGTGACCGCCAGTGCGCTGCCACCTAGTAGCCGCGAACCAGCCGGAGCCCATCTCGTACAAGCCACCAGTTGGTTGAGGAGCCTTGTCAGAGACGAGGAGAATGACAAGAGGGGCGTTGTAGTCGGGCTTTAGAGCCTGGACAACCTCCTCAGGCATGATGCTTCGGGTCATCTGAGTACCGGCGTTTGGTGCAACAGTGTTGACGAAAATGTTGTTCTTCTTGCCCTCAAGAGCGAGAGTCCTTGAGAAACCGAGGATACCGCATTTTGCGGATGAGTAGTTGGCCTGGCCAAAGTTTCCGTAGATACCGCTGGTGGAGGTAGTATTGAGGATGCGGCCGTACTTTTGCTTGAGCATGTATGGCCAGGCAGCCTTGGTGCAGGAGTATGTGCCGAAAAGATGAACCTTATGGATAATGTCCCACTGGTCGTCGGTCATGTTGGCGAATGCCTTGTCGCGGAGGATTCCGGCATTGTTGATGAGGATATCAATACGTCCGTAGGTGTCAATGGCAGTCTTGATGACAGACTCGCCGTCCTGTACATCGCCCTTGTTGCCGACAGCCTCTCCGCCAAGCTTCTGAATCTCCTGAACAGTGTTGTCAGGGTTGACCAGATCGTTTACGACGACCTTTGCGCCGCGCTTAGCCAATTGCAAGCAGTAAATGCGACCGAGACCAGCACCTCCACCAGTCACAAGCGCGACCTTGCCCTTGAAGTCAAGCGGCTCACCCTTGGGGTTGGGTGGCAGTTGGTGTGACTTCTCAAGAAGCTCTAGTGCGTTGGCAGGACCATCTGGGTGGTCGGGCTTGGAGAAATCGACGACATCCTTCCACTTGGCTGCAACAGCCTCAGGTGTGAGGGTCTCATCGGCCCTTAGCAGGGCGCCGGATGCGCGCTCCCATCGCAGCTTGGCTACATGTCCTGCACCAGCCTCGAATATTGAGCCAGTCTCGGTGGTTGACTTGTGTGTGAGGACAGCGACGATAGGAACAACCCACTCGGGCTTCATCTTCTCGAGGACATCGGGAGGCATGACAGTCTCGGTCATTCGGCTCGCAGCAATGGGTGCGATGACATTGCAGAGGATGTTGTACTTGAAGCCCTCCTTTGCGAGCGTCTCGGTGAAACCAACCAGGGCAAGTTTGGCAGCTGTGGAAATTAGCCTCTTCTCGCGTCATCAATCGAGTATGGTGCTTACCAGAGTAGTTGGCCTGTCCGAAAGACCCGAATAGGCCGGCAGCCGAGGCGGTGCTGATTACACGTCCATACTTTTGTTTCCTGAAGTAAGGCCACGCTGCACGCGCGCACTTGTATGCTCCCAAGACGTGGACCTTGTAGATGAGGTCCCAGTCTGCCTGCTTCATGTTCTTGAAGCTGACATCTCGTAAGATACCGGCGTTGTTGATGAGAACATCGACGCGGCCAAACGCATCAATAGCCGTCTTGATAATGGCCTCTCCATTCTCTACAGAGTCGTGGTTGGCGACCGCCTTGCCGCCTGCGGAGCGGATCGTCTCTACAACTTTGTCTGCCGCCTGTATACCGAATCAGCCAGAGGAACTTGGGGAGTTGGAAAAGCATACATACCGCTGAGCCAGCGCCCTCGCCCTTGAAGCTTCCGCCAAGGTCGTTAACGACGACGTTTGCGCCGCGGCTTCCGAAGAAGACAGCGTATTCGCGACCGAGGCCGCCACCAGCTCCGGTTACTACAACCGTCTGGCCGTCATATCGCAGCTCCTGTGCAGCCATAATGGGTGGTTGGGCTTCCTAAAGATGATGCCGCTTCTTTCGCGGTAGAAGATTACTGCGTCTGTCTACTGCTTCAAACAAGGAAAGCAGTGTTAAAAGTCAAACGGGGGTATCAGTGAAGATCCCAAAGTGTTCAGATAATGTACAGAAGGTATGAGATGAGAGAATAGGTGTCTTGGAGACGTGATGATCAAGCTTAAGTTGTTCTCCCGGCCATGTCTCGTGAAGCAACCGAGCTGTTCAGACGACTAGTTACCTCGGCCCCGACGGCAGTTGGTCATGTGTGGGGAGCTGCAGGCCGTGCATTGCTCGAGCTTTCACATGCGTCTTACATGCCTGTGCTCCCACGCCTAGACTTCATATGATACTGGCAAATCCTCATCTATCACATGACACTCCGGGTCTACCCATCTTTGCAACCGGAACATTGCTTTAGTCGAGCCCCGGGGCTGCCATGAGATCGCGATGGAAGCCTTGGCAAACTGGCGTGGGTCCAGATGATGGAAAGGCCCGCGAACCTCGGAAACCCCGGAACACGGCTGTACCGTTACGCGTTGAACACATCCTAGATAGCACTTCAAACCACATATCGTGACATCAATTTTGCCAGTACGCTAATTCATCTCGCATGCGCTAGCAGCAGAGGATCAATCTGGGGTTGGCTGTGACCCTGAACTCCGTGGAGAGGGGTTGCCAAGACAATGCGCCATGTATCACGAGGCCTGAGTGCTCTGCTGTGTGTGCTCTCCTATAAAGACAGTCTTTGTTGCCCTAGATTATTTTAACTTGGAATAAGACAAGACATCCGAGTTTCACGGTGTGCCAGGTGGCTTTTGTCCTCTAGTTGTAGTCGATCTGACATACTGGAAAACTTCGAGAAGCCAGTCACTGTCCCCTTTCATATAGCCTGATGTTCGAGGAGAATGCTCTAGCACCATGAGCTCGAACAACGCCGAAAAGGATACCGATCATTTTGTTGAATACCTAGATTCATTTTCTATCAATGTGACCGCAATATGTGCGGCTGCCACAGAGTCGGCCGAGCTATCTGTGCTAGTCCTCTTGCAACTTCTTCACCAGCTACGCTTTCACTTATTCCCGGTTTCCCAAGTTCAATGACGACGCGTCCCAAGTACAGTGTACTTGATGTACACAGGAAGCCCACAGGCTCGTGAAGATCGTTCCTTGGGCGAGTGGGCGGGTGGAGCTCGCAAGAAGCCGCAACCAAAACTTTCAGTGCTTTTGGTTCGACGGCCCTCCCAGCGGAGATGCGATGCGCGGTGGTGGGTTTGGAATACTTACAGATGCGCGTCAGTATTGTGTGCATAGGCCTCCTTAATGTAGCCACTTCGGCTAGCAGTGCGACTATCTCCGGTCACGGAGATTGATCCTCATCGTATACCTGTGTTTTGGACCTGTTCACGCTGAAATCATGTTCCAGGCACCGTCCTCGGCCACCGGCCTTTTTGCTGCCCAAATTCTATGCGTAGTGACACACTCCATATTGTACGCTTGCCCGATGGGACAGGATGCACATGTGTGGGGTCGATCCACCTCCAGCTACTGCATGTCTTCGCATGTGTTGTACAGCATTTTTCAGAAGACCCAATGATGGATTACTTTTGTCATGCAAAGTTGTGATAGCTCATCGCCTCATTCGCACATATCTAAACTAGACACATGAGTGAGGCTTCTTATCTGCAGAGCTCGGTGGGAGAGAATCCGTGTTCTTTGTAGTGACAAATGCAGCGGCCTAGACCGATCTTGACATAGCATAACCGTGGATTTGATGGCAACACCCGCCGTGTTAAGGAGTTCGTGGGGTTAGTGTGGTACCGTGATGCAGCCGGACTGACACCACAGACATCCTACGCTTACCAGACGCCAGCCGGTGTGTGTTCGACTCAGGACAATGACGTAGCAGTGTCGCGTCAATGGGGGCGTATCCCGGGGCCATGTCAGCGGTTTCATTGTCAAGGTGACTGTCAGCGGGGCTATCCGTCGCTTGATGCATGCACCACGTGCTCTTTAACAACCAATTTCATACTTTAGCGCCGAGAGCGTATCCCTTTCCAATCGGAAGTTATTGGGAGTGCGATGATGCCCACGAATGATTCTCTTCTAGAGTCATGATCGGAGGTAAATCGCAGATGCGAATATTCGCACATGTGGTGACGCCGGCGGCTCTTCCGATTTCCTAGACTAACATCAATTATATGGCTCATATACTCGCTAGTGCGGTAATACGGCTTGCCGGATATGAGGGTCCTCCCTAAGCACTATTGTCATACGCACTACAATTGTCGAGCAGACCGAGTTCAATACCCATATCCATGCTGCTTTGACTACCAGTGTTTGGTGAAAGCACGTCTCTTTCTCATGTTGCCCACTAACAACTCGCTACGTTCCATTTGGAAAGCAGCGTTGAAAGAGGCGCTGAGCGGTGTAGCACTCGTCCGCACTCCGCACCGGCCGTTACTTGCGCCGGTCTGGCATAGGCCTTGTGAGCGGCATATGTCACCAGATCGTGACAACCATCCTGTTTCGTGACGACAGCCAACCTTGTGGTTAATACAAGATGGCGATTGGATCCCCTAGGGTCCAAGGTATCCGGTCTGCAACGGTCGCTCTCATGCTTGCGGCTACTTCGTAAGCATCTTTTGGTGACGTTTCCTTTCGCCACGATATCGGATAATTTTGCGCTTTACCGAACCTGTTGCCAACTCACAGCGCTTTGCAGATCACGAAGCATATAGCGTCCTGCTACAGTTTCCTGCCAAGGTCATGTTCGGGTTGACTTACATCGGCTGCCTTATTGTACTCCTTCGTATCATTTTGCCTTGCGGGACATTGACTGCATATTACTCTCACGTACTCGGGGTTCCTTTGATAGGCTTTCTTACCGAAAGACTGGCCGGCGATGAGCGAAGATACAGAAAGAGTCGACGTACACGGCCGAGTATTCCAGAGAATTTCACTGGACGACAGAATTTACTTCGCCCCTGTAGCCATCGATGACCGCGAAGAAAGCAGACTGACGGCTCAGCATGAGTTAATGTGCGAAATATTTGGCGACAGATTGTTCTCCCCTCGGATACCGGTAGCGGACCCCCGCGCGATACTAGAGTGTGGATACGGTGGTGGCGACTGGGCCGTCCAATGTGCAGAGGAGTTTGAAGATTGCGAGGTGCGTGTTTGAACAAACCTAGTCTACGTCGGATGAGAGTGTAGTATCCTCAGTGGTACCTTTGGAAGCACGAGGAGATACTGACAGCCCCAGGTCACCGCTATCGACATCTTTCCCATGTGAGTAATACCGACGTAAGGGGCGCCTGCGAAGACAGATACTGAGCTGGCATCCCATGTCTAGGCCAGTTACAGACCAGCCCGACAACCTAGAATTGATCGGCTACAACCTCAACGACCCCCTCCGAGACCCTGAAGTATTCCAGGCAAATCAGTATGACCTCATCCACTCCCGATTCGTATTCCCGGGTATAAAGACGGCAAGGTGGGCTAGATATATACGGGACATGAGGTTGCTACTGCGTCCAGGGGGTTGGGTCCAGATAGTGGAGTATATACCTATCATCCAGTCTCACAACGGTCGTCTTACAGATGAATCTGCAGTACGACGGTGGTGGCAGTCGTATCAGGCTGCAATGCTGAGGGCAGATCGAGACCCAAGGATAGGTCGACGGCTGGGTCCACTTCTGCTAGAGAACCGGTATCGAGATGTCGAGGTGGACGTGGAGCAACTTCACGTCGGTGCTTGGTCTCCAGGTACGTAGTTCTTTGTCTCTTCTTTTTTTCTGTTTCCAACCTCGTTACTTCTCGTTCTATTATCGTCGGCATCCAGATTCTTAACAAAATCCTCCCAGTTACAGCAATGGAATGTTTCCTTGGCGATGTAGACCTTCTTTACGTCAAACACTGACAGTACTCGTATAGATCCGGCGAAGGCAAGCCTCGGTAGACAGTCCGCTGGGGTACGTAGATGGTCCAGGTCAAAGAATTGAGAAATGTACTAATTGCACATCTTCCTTCCAGATGGTTGGCGATCTTCTCGAGTCGCTTGGCGTTTGGCCGTTCACGGCGGAGCTCGGCTGGACGGCTGCGCAGTTCGACCATCTCATGGGGGAGGTGCGTCAGGAACTTGGAAATACGGATCTAAAATTGTACATTGAGATGTAAGTGGCAGCATGAAGCATCAGGGAGCGGAGATAACTGTCTATCAGATGTATCGCGCGAGGCCGTAAAAGCACTGGGTGATGCGAAATGCTTCTGTGTTATGGATAAATACTACAGTGCGGCATATTGCAGGCGAGAGGGAATTGTGTCGTATTAGAGTAGCACAGAAGGAGGGCGAACTGCTGCGGGCGTGGTGCGTGTTCCTATATTCGTCAGACTCACTTAGTCGCGGTGGGGTACTGTACATGGCTTCAGCATACTTTGTAGCTCTTGAGAGGATCCGTACATGCTCTGGAACAGTCTAGAATAATCATCACCTTCATATTGGGATTGTTTTGGCTTACACTTGCCCATGCAAGGTTTTCTAGGATGACCCTCGCTCCACTCTTTTCAGAGACCGAAGCTGCTGGGGTGCCCTCGCCCTATATCATCGAGATACTTCTTCGTCGCGCAGGCACTAGACTCAGACGCCGTACGTACAAACTAACCCATCGTTGACTTCTCGACACTACGAAGGTCTGCTCGCAGGTTCTGAGTATGTGTTGGCAGATGACATGCACAACAGCGGCGCGGTATTACACAGATCCTGTGCCGCGCACAAGTCGTCCAAGGTACAAGATAAGTGGGAGGATATCATTACATCAAGAACTGATGGAGGTTGAGGGAGGCAGCAATGATGAGAAGAAACAAAATGACGCTAGAAGGTCCTAGGAAGGTGGTTGGATTAGAAAGAAGGAAGGAGGAGCCACCACCAACGTCACCAACGTCAACCTCAGGGACCGGCCTTTCTCTCCCACAGATCGGGGCCATGGCGTAAATGCTATGCCATCTGATGGGCTGCGTTGGGCAGAGCTTAAGCCATGTTTCCCGACAGCTTGGTAGCGAAATTGTGGGCTATGATGCACTCTTCTGGGGGCCATTTCCTGGTGAAACCTTCACGCCTTTGCGACAGGTCAGCGAATCATCGTCTTACTGATAGTGGTCATCGGATTTCGGACCAGTTTTCGGCTTGCCGAACCTCCCACGGCAAAAGCCTCTCTATACAACACACATAAACATGCCTCCACTAAACAATGTCTTCAATTGGTCCGTTTTGTATTAACGTTGGACTATCGATTGCCGTAAACCAAATTGGTTAGGGCTATCCATCGTGCAAGCGCGTGCACCGGGGAAGCGGGTACAGTTGGAGAACCCACGTCGACTAATAGCCGCGTGATGAGATATGATTGATGGTTGCTCCGTCTCGGGTCCTCGGCGCTGCCAGGCACACCTTTTTGCTCCTGCGCCTCGGCTTTGTTGTCATTATCAGGTGTTTACTAGTTAGACATGCCAGCTAAGCGCATCTGGGCCCTGGGAAAAGTAACTACGAACATCTCGTCCCGATCGGAGAAGTACCAAGAGACACGTCAGCGATTCAAAGCCTGACGAATACTATGACGACTGGCATATGTGTTTGGGACATCTTCTCTACGTTGCTAGCAATGAGGCATCTCGGCAGCGGTTCATGCTTATTCCTTATCAATTGCTCTTTCTTAGCATCTTGGCTTGAGCATTCTTTCTGTTCTTTGATGCTGAACCATATGAGCGCACCTCCAAAAATTTTCTCGTATACTCCACGAGGCCGTGCGTCTATCCTGCGATGTTCATGTTTACGAGTACATAACTTTTGTGAAGCATGCCGAATGAACGATGCAGAAACGTTTCAACTGGGAATAACACGCACCCTGGTTCCACCTGGCAATTACCCGACAGCACCACACGTGATGAGGCATCAAGACGTCATAAAGCTTTAGAATTTAATCAAAACTTCATCGTGCGGTAATAATATCATGGGAAAAAGTAAGCGACATCTTCTCATCATGACGATTTGCTATGAAAACTTGCGATATAGCTGGTTTGTTACCTTTCGCGATGTGAGCCGGTTTCGCCGAGGTGTCTTCCAGAGGGCAAGTGCCACGATGCCGACCTTACGCGACGGCAATTGATAGCTAGCATTGTTCTCATATCCCCGCTTTCGTTCGCTGACAACGGCTCCGATCGGAAAAGCGCCTTGTGTAGACCTTTTAGCCTGATCCCATGGTGGCCACACCCGCAAAGCGTATAGCTCCCGCGAGCGACATCATGAACCGGGCTCCCGTCCACTATTCCCCCGCATAACAGCCTCAACCCATCATAGGCGATTTGCCTCGGGGAGGTACCCATGCGTCGGTAAAAAGGAATCGCTAGTGCTTCGACAACGTGCCGTCCGTCTCCGCAGATCCAGAGGTATAAATACCGATGAAAGTCTCCCGGAAAAGGTCGATCTCTCGGCATATGTACATGTACCAATAGCACCATCGGTCAATATGGTGTCTCCGTGGTCAACTCGATTCCTTGCCGCAAACTTGGCGATTGCTGGTGGGCTTGCTAGTGGCTTCCGAGAGGGCAAGTTCAAGACATTGGTGACGTTTGGCGACAGCTATACGGATGAAAACCGACTGTCGTACTTTGGCTCACACAATGGTTCTGCGCCTCCTGTAGCGTGGCAACAGCCGGTCGTAAGTTGCCTATAATACTGCTTTGCAACTATAACTAACAATCTCTAGGGACTAGCTACTGCTTCAGGCGGTCTCTCTTGGGCCCGTTATGCCAGTATATACTCCAATACGAACCTCTACAACTACGCTGTTTCAGGAGCCGTATGCTCAAATAAAATTTCCCCTCGGCTGTTTTCCTCTATCAATGCGCCTTTCCCTGATATCGACGGCTATGAGCTCCCTGCTTTCATCGCCGACTCCAAGGCCACCAACCCCAATGGCACCAAGTTCTTTACGGGCAAGGAATCTAGCACAGTCTACGCCATCTGGATCGGAACCAATGATCTCGGTAACGGCGGCTTCTTGACCGACAGCCAGATCCCCGGCAAGACGGTTGCAGACTACATAGACTGCGTGTATAGTCAAATCAGCCGACTGTACGAAAACGGCGGTCGCTACTTCGTCATCATGAACCTCGCGCCCCTCAACCTGCTACCACAGTACCAGCAGCCGCAAAATGGTGGTCTCCAATCAACACAATTCTACAATGACGCCCCCGGCAAGAACCTTACCGAGGTTCACGGCCGTATGCAAAATACTGTTGCTGCGCTCAACCAAGTATACAAGTACCGCACGCCATTTGACGCCGAGACAGACGACTTGTGGGAAGATGCCCGCGTCGCAAATTTCGATGTCAACGCTCTAATGACGGATATGTACTACAACCCTGCCAATTACCTCAACGGAACGGGTGTTCCGCTCAATGTCCAGGGTGTGGAGCATTTGTGTGATGCGAATGGGAAAAACTGCTCGAGTACGAATAGCCCGGATAGCTTCATGTGGTATGACCCGCTGCACCCGAGTGAGCAGACGAGTAGGGTTATTGCGAGGGAGTTTGTGAATGTGTTGGGGGGCAAGAGCAAGTATGCTAGTTATTGGGGATGTTAGAGGACGAAATTGAGTGAATGGAGGTGGATTTAGATATGATGTATAATGCCTAATAATACGCTATGCTATGCCATGCTTACTCAACTATAAAAAAAACGCCAGGCCGTTGATCTACTCTGCCCCTGATAACCTCATCTTACCCAACACGCTTAACTAACTTTCAACGCTAATCATATAGGATCTAAACTTAAATACTCCTACACCACCTCTCTAGCCCACTAACGCCACCCTTAATCCCCCTTAATACCTCACCCACCTCCTCAAGCGCAACATCGCATCTCACCATTCCAAACGCGCCAACCTGTCCCTGCAATACTGGCATAACAAGCCCTAGATCTACCAAGCTCTCCCACTCCCTCCTCGCCACATCCTTGCCCCAAACCTTACTCGCCGCGCTACTCGAACTCAGCCCGCCGGCCGCAGACTGTATCCTCGCGCGCGAAGCTAGGGTAACGTACTCGTCGTACGCCATGTTGAAGTTGCAGGTGTCCGTGTCGTGGATGATGTCTAGTCGGGCGGCGGCGATTAAGAGGGAGAGGGACAGAGTGGAGAGGGCGGGGATGAGGGCAAGTTTGGAGTCTGGGGCGGAGAGCAGGGTTGTGGGGGCGAAGGGCGTAGTGGGTAATAGGGAGGCGGTGGGGAGGAGGAAAGAGAGGAGGATTTGGGGGATGGATTTTGAGTGGTAGAAGGATGGGGCGAGGTGGGTTGTTAGGAAAGAGGGGGTCGAGAAGAGTTCCTTTGAGTGGTTAGTGGACTATCCTTGGAAGGTGGGAAGTGGACTTACGGATATGTTTGTGTTCCATTGTGCTAATGAAGAGGGCGTGGCTTCTTTTCGCTTAGTCTTTTTGGCGGGTGTAGTGTCTTTGATGCCGCCTTCCAGTATGCCTCGCTCTTGGACGCTGAGTTGCTCCGGCTGCAGGAGCAGACAGGCTTTGCAAATTTCTTGAAAAGCGGTGAATGTCGTTGCAAGTTTGAGATGCACGTAGCGGTGGCTGAAACGACTCTTGACGCGCTTCTCGAGACTGTTAGTCACGTCGATACGCGTTGTAAGTCCCAGTACTGCGATGGGAGCTTTTCGTGACTGCGCAATATCGAAGAGATTGTACAACAATGTCTGACGGGGATGCTGGGCAAAGAGATCGAACTCGTCCATGACGAAGATGACTGCTTTGGCTACTTCATCGGTGATTTCGCCTGTTTGCTCGGACGGATGGGAAAGTAGAGCAAGAAGAGTGGCTAGGGTGTCAGCGTAATTCTTCCCTGGCCCACTTCCATCTTCTTCAATGTCCATTTCCTTGCCTAGCTGACGCCAGATCTCACGCAGAGCGATCTTATCATCTGTGTGTATGAAGCCATTCAGCCGGACGACATGGTACTGCCCACCATTCTCTTTGGAAACTTCTGAGAGGACCTTGTTCACAAGCGCTGTCTTGCCACTGCCTCGAGCACCGATAACGAGCATCGAATTGCCTTCGCCGGCCGTGATTGTGTGCTCGACTAGCTGGTGTACTGATTTGAACTCTTCATCCAGGCCAACCAGGGGCGAGGGACGCTTGTTGGTGATTCGTTCGACAACGATGGTCTTTAGCAAGTCCAATTCTCGACCTGGCGCCAGGTTACTGTATAGGAGCGGTAGAGCAGCCTTTTCTTTTTCTTTCCGTGCAGACGTGGGCTTATTGAACGGACTTGGTTCGGTGGGATCTAGCACACTGCCCAAGATGCTGTTGCCATCTACATCCATATCATCTTCTTCGTGCCCATTTGTCTGCTCTTCTACATCCGACCAACGCTCTTCGTCGTCATTTCTAATCTGATCGGTGCGGTTGAAGCGTCGTCTTGCGCTCGGAGGTGGCTTCCTGAGGCTCGATGGTGAAGCGATGGCGAGTTCATCCTCGGTTTCTGGAATGGTTGTTCGCTCCTCGGTAGCCTTACGTCTTTTGGTAGATCTAGACGGGGTCACGGCCACGGCCTCCTCATCTTCAGTCTCTGTTGTCGCCGCTTTCTTTCTGGTGCTGGCTGCTGGCTTCCGTGTCGACCGGGGCTTTGGAGGCGTAGCAGCCTTGGTTTCTCCCTGTAGCTCATCTGTATCATTCTCCTCCTCGGAAACAGCACTGGTCTCCTTCTTCTTTCGCGCATTCGCTCGAGATGCTGCTGGCTTGCGTGTAGGTGCAGCGGGTGTTCGCTTTGCGCGTTTGGCTGGCACTGTCGCAGTCTTGACTTCTTCCTCAGCATCTACCCCGTTCTTGTCGCCATTTGCCAACTTCTTGGCAGCATTTCGACTGGCAGTTTCCGCTTTGGTAGGTCGCCCCTTTCCACGTTTCGCTATGGGTTTGATTGATGGGGCATCTGTGGGTGGCCCAGTGCTCGTAGATTCCTCTCGGGATGCTGCTTGTGGCCGACGAGACGGCCGTGATGATACCTCAACATTCAATGCGCCCTCAATGTCGTCGTATACGTCTATAGCCTCTACTACCGTCGACTTCGCAGAAGTGCCATTAGATGACCCCTTGAGTGGACGTCCTTTGCGTGCAGGTGCTGGCTTCTCCTCGACTTTCGATGCGCTGCCATTGGTGACTGTGGTGGAATTCTTCGCAAGCCTTCCAGAGGCTTTCCTTGTTGATGCCTTCGCTGCTGCCTTCGACTCGATGCGCTTCGGGGTATCGAGCTTTCTCCGCTTAGAGGATCGTGGTGAGTCGTCCATGTGCGCAATTGAGTTGATAAGTTTCAGGGTGAGAAACGGCCGTTGATTGATGTTCGTTATAGCATATGCGTCATGGCAGTCATGATGGGTGAAAGGCTCTCCTTGGAAATCATGAAAGTGCTGGCCCAGGCGCGTCAAGCCTCAAGGTCGCGTCGCGCTAAGTTGGGATTCTGCGGCTACTGCCGCTCCTGCACCGTCCCGTGCGACACACGAACACCATCACACCCGGGTGTCATAAAATACTCGACATACCAGTGTAAAACAGCCACTGTAGTCGCCAGGGTGTTATAATGTGCTTGAAATACTAGTGGAAAAAGGCCACTGCAGTCGCCAGACACGCGTATGAGGCGCTTACCCACACTGTAAAGTATTTCATTAACCCAGGTGCCATCAGTCACTTCTTGGCGTCAGATATACAGCAACCAGCTTTTCCTCTATCAGACGACCCAAATATCGTATCCGATGGCATGCTCTAGGCCGATTACAGCTTTTGCGCTTTCCGACGGATGGAGGGACCCCGCCGGACCGCACAACTAACACGCCCTACTAACACGCCCTACTAACACGCCCTACATATGATCATCGACGTAGCTCGGAAAATATATATAAGTAGCAAGTTGCTGTGAAATGCACTCGGTATCAGCTCTACATGATGGATTCTAATAGCACTAGCCAGGCTCAACTGACAGCTCCAAGTTCACCGACCGATATTGAGCTATTACGACAACATGACCATCACCCTCCCAACAACGACGCAGGCTTCTCCCTTCCCCCCACCGATCAAGGCAAGGATGCTTGGCTTTGCTTGTTATCTTGTTTTATGCTTGAGGCTATGATCTGGGGCTTTCCATCCTGCTATGGTGTCTTTCAAGAGTATTACGCTACCAGCAATGACTTCTCCGGTCAAAGCAACATCGCTGTCGTTGGTGCTTGTGCAATGGTATATTGATCTACAATACCAGAGATGCCTTTGTCTGACATATATTACAGGGTATCATGTATATGGACATTACGTTGTGGTTCGTCGTCCTCAAGTACTTTCCAAGATTCCGCAGGTGGGCGACCCCTGTTGGGCTGGCTGTTGTCTGCCTCGCCCTCGGTCTCGGATCTCTGTCGACTAGTGTAACTCACCTCATCGTTACCCAAGGCATTTTGTATGCTTTGGGTGGAGGTTTGGCATGGACACCAATTCTCTTCAATATCGAAGAGTGGTGGGTACGACGACGAGGATTTGCGTACGGGGTGACCATGGCAGGCCTGGGGTTGAGTGGTGCCATTCTCCCGTTGATATTGGAATGGCTGTTACACTCGTATGGCTTCCGTACGACACTTCGAGTGTGCGCACTTAGCTTCGTGGTCCTCAATCTCCCCATCGTCTTCTTCTTCAAACCTCGGCTTCCGCTTTCCCACGCATCGCAGTCCAGGGGCTTCGATCTATCTTTCTGGACTTGCCCAAACTACCTCATCCTACAGTCAGGCAATGTGATCCAGAGCCTTGGTTTCTTTCTGCCGGGAATCTATTTGCCCACCTTTGCTCGTTCGATCGGTGCGGGTAGCATCGAGAGCACTGTCACTGTCATCCTGGTCAACGCTGCTGGATTCGTTGGATGTTTGTGCATGGGTGTAGCAACAGATAGATATCATGTCACCAGCTGTCTATTTGTCTCGGCTTTGGGGTCCACCATCGGCATATTCCTCCTCTGGGGATTCTCTACGTCACTGGTACCATTGTACCTCTTTTGCCTCGTCTATGGTGCGTTTGCGGGGTCTCAGTCGAGCGCCTGGAGCGCCATTGTCACAGATACACAAAAGAAGCGTCGAGGCGCAGACTCTGGGTTTGCTTGGGCCTGTTTGTCTGCAGGAAAGGGAGTTGGCAACTTATGCAGTGGTCCGCTTTCGGAAGCCTTGCTTCATGCTGGTAACTGGAATGCCCACTTTGCTTATGGGAGTGGCTACGGAGCACTTATCGCCTTTACAGGCGTGACTGCACTGTTGAGTGGATGGGGCTATGCTGCCAGAAGGATTGGATGGATATGAGTCGATCGCTATTAACACCACACCTGGGTGACATGAAATACTTAACACACTAGTATAAAAACGCTACTGTAGGCGCCAGATAGGCCTATGAGGAAGAGAATATCGGAGTTTACCTGTACTGTCGCTGTCAAGTATTCTATGTCACCTGTTGTCCGCGATGGTGACATCGCAAGTCATACGTCACACAATACTATTGATCGCACCCCCAAGGTTAGGTATGGAAGCATTGAGGCTCTAATTAAACAACGCGCCTGTTACAGAGCGGATAAGGTTGTAGGGCGAAGTCACCAATGAAGTGCTTCTAGCCCCGTCTTGGCGTTTGGGTGTACGTACGCCTGAAACGGACCCACCGCTAGCCTTCATCCACTATTGGCATCCCCGTTTCCCGTCTAGAGCATCTCGACGAAACATGAGGTCTTTTTCACAATCTATCTGCAGCTCCCTTAACCGTGCTTTTGGCCTTGCGCCGCGCTGAGATCCTTGGCACTCCACACTTTCTCCATGTTTCGCTTCCGCGCCGTCATTTCATTGGACTACAACTAAGAAACCATGTCTGATCGAAATCAAAACGATCAAACATATCCTCCGAACCGCTCTGGGATCCTCGTTGCCGTGCGTGGGCTACCCCAGTCCCCGCCCGCGCCTACGCAATGTTTTGATTGATCATGTCGGTAACTAGAAGGTAGTACTCACTACTCCCTTGTCGTGTCGAACGACTAGGCGTTCAGAGTCTCTGAAAGTGTCAATGCGCTTAGATGAAGTCGTGACGACCGGGCTTCGGACTCTCCGAGCGAGAAACATATATCTTGCGTGTCCGCCTCGAGGTTTGAAGGGCATCGACAAGTCCTTCACAAGACAGTTGTACACCGTTCTCTTTCCACACAAACCTTCTTTCAGCTCTCGCTCTCTTGCATATACCAGCGGTATACCTACATTCTTTTGGCTGTGCCAGTTCTCTCTTTTACAACTCCGCAGTCATCCTCACTCTGACCGCACGCTCCACAACTTCTTCGCTTTAAAATCAATTTCTACTTCGACAATCAAAATGAAGGGTGCTTTTATCCTCGCTCTCTCGGGCTCTGCCCTTGCTGTCCCCTTTGGCGGCTTGGCCATTGACTATCAGCTCGCGCCTGCTAGGCGTCAAACCTACGGTACGCCTGGCGGCAACTCTCCAGGCGGCGGTGCCCCAGGCGGTGGTTTCCCCGGTGCTCCTAGCGGCAACGCTCCAGGTGGCGGTGCACCAGGTGGTGGCTACCCCGGCGGAGGTGCTCCAGGCGGTGGCTTCCCTGGTGCTCCTGGAGGCAACTCTCCCGGTGGCGGTGCTCCAGGTGGCGGATCCCCTGGTGCTCCCGGTGGTGGTTTCCCTGGCGCTCCTGGTGACGGTGCTCCAGGCGGTGGTGCTCCAGGCGGCGGTGCTCCAGGCGGTGGTGCTCCAGGCGGTGGTGCTCCAGGCGGTGGTGCTCCAGGCAGTGGTGCTCCAGGCGGCGGTGCTCCAGGCAGTGGTGCTCCAGGCAGTGGTGCTCCAGGCAGTGGTGCTCCAGGCAGTGGTGCTCCAGGCAGTGGTGCTCCAGGCGGTGGT